TGTGTAGGTGTGAGGGAACTTATGATCCAATTGTTCAATAAATTCCAACCATTTTAGAATTGTTTTTTGGATAATTTTGTCTTCGTTTGGATCAACCATCTTATTCTCTATGTCTAATTTGATTTTGTGGTTGATGGTTATTAATTTGAATAATAGGAATAGTTTCGTGGTGATGATCTGATTGGACACGGTGTAGTGGTTATAAAATATATTTTCTTTGGATATTTGGGCTGGTGTTTTAAGTGCCAGGTTTAGTTTTTCAACGATTCTAGTGATGTGTCGAGTAATATATGTGCAGTGTAGGAATATGTGTTTTGTATTGTCTTGGCGGCTTCCACAGAACTTGCAGTTTAATAGCTTTTGTTTTCCATTATGTCCCGGAGTATCGATCTTATGCGGGCTTTGTTTCCGAAGATGTATCCGTCCGTCACTATTCTGTATGAACATATTCTTTCCTTGTTTGTTAATTTATTCTTTAAGGATTTTTGCGTAGCGTGGACGTCGCTCCAGTCTATTCCAGGAGGTAGAGGTGACTCATTTTCCGGGTTGTGCAAAAGTTTTGCGTATATGTCCTTATGTTTTAAGGTAGCCCATTGTTGTTTTGTAAGGTCGAAATTTTTGGTCGGTTCTAGGTATTTCTTCCAAATTTGGGGGACGAAAGGAAGGTGGGGAGTCGAATTTGTGTATAGGTTTTGGTTGACTGTTTTGATTTTGGAGCCTAGTGCGTATATTGCCTCTTGGTGCCAAAATTGTTGTGGTGAGTCTATATTCTTTAACGCTATTGTTCTCTCAGCTATACATGCCAATATTTTCGTTTTGACGTGTGGCATATTTATGCCGCCTTCTAGCCATGGACGTTGTAAAGTACTTCTTTTGATGGCCACGATTTTTTCAGGAAACCATATGAAGTTGGCGATTTGCTGTTGTATTTTATTAAGGTGTACTGGCGGTATTTCTATAAATCTTGCGTGGAATATAATTTGGGACATTATTGCAGAATTTAGGACCATAAGTTTTCCAATCCAGGTGAGTTTTCGTGTTTTTAGAAATTGAGTTTCCTGGTTATTTTTACGAGTGCTTCGTTCCATGTGTGAGATTCACGTCCTTTCCCGTAGTAAATACCTGGTATTTTTGCCGTTTCCTTGTGGTATTCCTTGTGCGGGGATTTTAGAAGTTGTCGTTCTGCGCCCATTGTGAGGCTTAGTATTTGAATTTTATCTATATTGATTTTTTGACCTGCTGCTTTTTTGTACTTTTGGAGTTCAGAAAAAATTTGTTTAATCGAGGTTATGTCTCGTACTGCGTATGTGGCGTCGTCGGCAAATTGGTCCAGTTTGTGTGTAAATTTTCCAAGTTTGATGCCATGTATGTCGGGATTTAGTTGGATCGATCGAATCAGGGGTTCCGCGTTTAAAATGTATAAGAGCGTGCTGAGCCTTGCCGAATACCTCTATTAATTTATATGGGGCAGCTCATTTTACCATTGATATCGATAATGTTGTATATGTCCATGTACATATTTTTTATTACGTTAATTATTTTGGGACGGAGTCCAATTTTGTGCAGGACTTTGAATAGGAAGTTATGGTCTACTCTGTCGAAAGCTTTTAGGTTATCTATCATGATTAGGTATCCAGGGATTTGGTTTGTTTTGCAATAGCGAGAGACCGCTTCTAGATTATAATGCGCATCAAACATGGTTCGCCCTGGGAGGGTGCTTTTTTGCGCGTGGCTAATCAGTGTGATGAGCGGGGTTTCTAGTCGTTTTGCTAAGAGTCTTGCAACCAGTTTGTAGTCGATGACCTACATATTCTATGACATCACAATTGACCTCTTTACATAGTGTTCGTACGCGATGACGTACTGTTTATTCATTGGAGTTATGGTTGTCACCGAGTACGCGCCTTGCATATTATGTCTTTGTGTATAACTGCTAATAAATGATCCTTCGTTTCAAAGAACTCAATTACGAATGTAGAACAACATTCGACATGGTGTCAGAAGCGGGATAGACGTCGGATCGGAATAGTTACCTTCGAAAATTTTCACAGTAAGCCTGCTGAGCGCATCACAACAACGTTAGCCTGAAAACCTAACGATATTTTTCAAGATGGCGGACAGTGGCATACGATGTCCCGGACCATTGTTATTTCAAGGTAATATTGCGGAAAACTGGCGAAGGTTTTCGCTCGAATTTGAAGTCTATTTGGCTGCTTTGCACAAGGACAAAGATAAAGCAACACAGGCCAATATTTTTCTTAGCCTAGCTGGCTATGAAGCTATCGAGAGAGAGAAAAACTTCACCTACACAGATGAAGAAAACCGTGAAGACCCGCAGTGTCTCATGGAGAAATTTAACGCCATGTGTATACCGAAAACAAATAAAGCTGTTGAACGACACAAATTCAACACAAGGAATCAGCATCCAGGTGAACCATTTCAAGCATATTTGGCTGATTTGAGAGCAAAAGCTAGCACATGCAAATTTGGTGACATGAAAGATGAATTAATTTGTGATAGGCTTGTGTGTGGTTAGTGGTATAAGAAATGACAAAGTTAAACGACTACTTCTACGCGAAGATGATCTAACGTTGAACAAAGCTATCAACATTTGTCAGATTAATGAGCTGTCCGACCAGCGGATACAACTAATTGCGGATGATTTTAAAGAAGATGAAATTCATGATTTATATCGTCAAACACAAAAGCGAAAACAAAGGCAAGATTTTTCATTCAAAATTTGTCATAATTATGGACGTAAGCATGCCAATACTCGAGAACTATGTCCTGCATTTGACAAGCAATGCAGAAGTTGCGGAAAGATGAACCACTTTCAGAATGTATGCCGAACTAAGCCTGCAAAACCGCAGCACCAATTTTATCGAAAATTTCGCAAACCTGTAAATTCTGTAGATAAAGACACAGAATGTCAAACACAAGAAAAACAAAATCATGAAACGACTGATTTCGAAACATATGAAGTTGGCTCACTTGATGACAATACACAAGCAGTGTCTGAATTTTATGCCAAGTTACTAGTTCATGGGAAAGAGCTGAATTTGAAAGTAGATACAGGAGCACGTTGCAATGTTATGCCTCTTAACTTATTCAAACGCATACGCAAACATGAATGGATTGACAAACGAAATCCAGCAAAACTTGTCAGCTATAGTGGAAACAATATTGATACATTAGGCAACACTTTGATTAATTGCATTCGTAATGGCTCTACATACAAATTGAAATTTCACATCATTGATCGAGAAGCGAAACCTCTCATCGGTTGCGAAGATAGCATCAGGATAGGACTGATCAAGCTTCATGATGTGCACGGGTGAAACCAGAAAAGAAGATAGCAAACACGTACAACTTGATGAAAGAAGATTACATTAAACGCGAGTTCAGTGATTTATTTGATGGGGAACTAGGAAAGTTACCAATCGAGTACAAAATCAAGCTCGATAAAACCGTTCGTCCTGTTGTTCGACCTCCGAGACGCATACCAGTTGCTCTCCAGTCGAAAGTTAAAGCCGAACTCGATAAAATGACCAAAATGGATGTTATCAGACCAGTAACAAAGCCTACTGAATGGGTTTCTTCTATGTTGGCTGTCAAAAAGAAACATTCTGACGATATTCGGATTTGTATTGACCCAAGGGATCTTAACCAAGCGATAAAGCGACAACATTATCCTATGAGAACAATAGAAGAAATAGCTGCACGCATACCAGATGCAAAATGTTTTACAGTTTTAGACGCATCTAGTGGTTACTGGCAAATTCCCTTGCATGAAGATTCTTCATACCTGACCACCTTCAATAGTCCATATGGCCGCTACAGATTTACGCGCATGCCATTTGGGATTGTTTCAGCCGCAGAAGTGTTCCAAAACACGATGGATCAATTGTTCAGTGATTGTCCATGTCATATCATTGTTGATGATATACTAATTTGTGGTCGAGATGTCGAAGAACACGATAAAAATTTACGTCTAGTTTTACAAAAAGCTCGTCAAGTTAATTTGAAGCTGAAGTTGAAGAAATGCAAGTTTAAAACAACAGAAATTTCATACATTGGTCATCTACTTACCAAGGATGGTTTAAAACCTGATCCTGAAAAAGTTCGTGCAGTAAAAGACATGCCAGAACCTGATGGACCAAAAGCTCTTCAACGCTTCATAGGCATGGTAACATATTTGGGGAAATTCATACCCAAACTCAGTCAATTGTCTCAACCTTTACGAGAAATGCTGCATAAAGATATTTTGTGGTCATGGGACACACCACAGAAACAAGCATACAATCAAATCAAAGAAGCAATTATTAATGCGTCAACGCTCAGATTTTATGATGTCAATAAACCAGTACTTTTGACATGTGATGCTTCTAAAAGTGGACTTGGAGCTGCATGTTTGCAAAATGGACAACCTATTGCATTCGCATCTAGAGCACTCACAAAATCACAAGAAAATTACGCACAGATTGAAAAAGAATTACTTGCGATTGTATTTGCCTGCACAAAATTTCATGATTACATATATGGCAAAAGTGTAACAGTGGAGACTGATCACAAACCACTGGAAACGATTTTCAAAAAATCTCTTCTCGCTGCACCTCTTCGTTTACAAAAAATGATGATGCTACTTCAGAGATATGACATTACGCTTGTCTACAAAAAAGGAAAAGACCTTCATATCGCTGATACCCTGTCGCGGGCATATCTCGAAGAAAGCCCTGATGAAGATGAGAAAGAATATGAAGTTTTACAAATATTAACTATTTCTCCACCGAGAATAGAGCAATTGAGGCGAGAAACAGCTGCTGATGAATCGATGCAGAAATTGAATAGATTTATTCAACATGGATGGCCAGAACATGTAAAAGACATTCCACGAGATTGCAAAACTATATTTTGGTTTCAGAGATCAACTTACCTCGAATGATGGTATCATTTTTAAAGGAGAAAAAGTTATTGTACCCACTTTGTTAAAACAAGAGTACATGAATCAACTTCACAAAGGTCACCCAGGGATGGAGTCGACAAAAAGAAGAGCTCGTGATATTACTTACTGGCCAGAGATGAACAAGGACATTGAAACTTATGTCTCTCAATGTGCTGTCTGCAACAGTTATAAACCTCACCAGCAGAAAGAACCGTTGAAAATGCACCCAGTACCTGATCGACCATGGTCATATGTTGCAACTGACTTATTCATGTGGAACAGACTCGACTATTTAGTCACTGTTGATTCTTATTCTGGTTGGTATGAGATCAATTCTTTGCCAAATACTACCTCGAGAACAGTAATACAAAAGCTGAAAAATCATTTTTCAAGATTTGGCGTCCCAGATTCGTTATTTTCAGACAATGGTTCAGTGTACAGCAGCCATGAATTTAAACAATTTGCAAAAGAATGGGGATTCAAACACATTACCAGCAGTCCTCATTTTCCCCAATCTAACTCGTATAGCGAAAGAGCAGTACAGTCTGAAAAAACTTTACTTGAGAAGTGTAAACGAGATGGGAGTGATCCTTACATTGCACTTTTAAACCAGAGAAATATACCAAGAGATGATGTTTTGGGATCTCCTGCTCAACGGCTGTTAGCACGTCGTATAAAATCCAACTTGCCAATAGCAAAAAGTTTGCTTGAACCAAAAGTTGTTCCAACGACACAAGTTCATGCTCAACTTACTCATAAACGCATGCAACAGAAAAAGTATTTTGATAAAACAGCCAAGTCTTTACCACCACTTCAGAGAGGAGATAAAGTGAGATTACAAACAGACAAGGGCTACAACATAATTGGAATTATTAAAAAAAAAGCTCCTGAGCCAAGGTCCTACATAGTTTCTGCAAATGGAAAAGATTACAGAAGAAATCGAAGACATCTTCTACATGTACAAGAAAGATTTGACCCCTCTATAGTGTACGATGACCCAGATTTACCTATACCAATGTCATCTAACACTTCACAGTCAAATGCCAATATCCCTCCTCAACGACCACCTAGTCATGTTAACCATTCACATCATTACATAACAAGAAGTGGTCGTGTGTCTAAACCGAACAATAGATATCATGATTATGTTGCATAGTTATAAATGATTGATATTGAATTAGAGTGAAATTGCATAGTCATGTTTAACTTTCGTTGTTGAATTTTCATGTGATATATACATTGCAAAGCTTTTCATTTACAAAAGGGGAGATGTCAATATGGTGCATATTGTTTATTTATACTTATGACCTACTTATTCTATGACATCACAATTGACCTCTTTACATAGTGTTCGTACGCGATGACGTACTGTTTATTCATTGGAGTTATGGTTGTCACCGAGTAAGCGCCTTGCATATTATGTCTTTGTGTATAACTGCTATTAAATGATCCTTCGTTTCAAAGAACTCAATTACGAATGTAGAACAACATTCGACACAGGGGCTTTGGTATTCTTCATGTCCTTGATTGCAGAAAAGATCTCGTCTTCATTTGCCAGTTTTTCAATCTGCTCATTCATTTTGATTTTGGGTGAGTTGGGTAGTTTCCATCTGGTCAAGATAGTGGTGCTGGTGGGTGTTGTCAGTATCGCACTTTTTGCCCCAAAGATCGCTGTAAAATTCTTCTACTGCTGTTGTTATCTCATCCTCTGTGGTGGCTTGATTTCCCGTTGCGTTTTGGATAGCATCCATTGTTATTTGCCAGGTGCGCATTTTCATTTTATTGTAGAAGTACTTTGATGGCTTTTCCCCTTCTTCTTGATCTTCAATTCCCGCCAAGATTGCTTTGTATTTAGTTTTGTATTTTTTCCAAAAGTATGTTGAGCTCTGCTTGGAGTTTCTCGAGTTTTCTGAAGTCGGTGTTTTTGCCCTTGGTTAATATGTTATCTATGTTTTGTCTTATCGTTTTTTCGGTTCTATTGTTTTGCATTGTTATTTTTATCGAGTAAGCTATGGGTTGTTTTCTTGTACTCAATTTGAAACTATCCCACCAATCCTGAATCGTTTCGAACCTTTCCAAGTTGATGACGGCCCTGTTGTATGTGTTTTTAATTAGTTCCAAAAACTCTTGTTCTCTATATAACGAGGTGTTGTTTCGCCACATTCCCTTGCCCCACCTTGATTTTTTCAGAGTCCTAAGCTTAATAAGTGGGCAGAGAGCATGATCTGCCACTGTGTTGATAGTGTTCCCTACATGCGTAATTAAAGGATCTATTTCTCGCGAGTTATAAATTCTGTCCATTCGTCTGGCTTGTCGTTTTGTATTTCATATATAGGTATAAATTTGTTTGTTTTGGTGGCGCTGGCGAAAGGAATCGGATATTTTATATTTAGTTATGTAGGCATTAAAAATGTTCCCAGCACCCGTGTGCCATCTAGCGTTCGAATTCAAGGCGTCTCGGCTATCTAGGATCATATTGAAATCCCCCTACGACCAGAAGGGAATTCTGGTGGTAGATACCTTCTAGAATCTGGACCAAAGCTTTGTAGAATTCTGTTTTGAATGCGCCGCTCTGGGCTGGGGCATAGACATTAACAAATTCCACATCCATTCCGTCGATATCTATTGCGATACTGCAATATCTATATTTAAATATTTTGCGTCTTTATCCAAGGTGTTCCTGATCATTATAGCGGTCCCTTTCCTAAAAGATTTTAGTTCGGGGTCTTGCGCAGTTTCTCAGCCCACTCTTCTGCTATGCTATATTTAATTTTGTTCACTTCTTGTAGGCAGAGTAGATCCGGTTTTTCGTGCACTACAAATTGGCCTAATTTGGTACTGTTGTGGTTAAGCCCATTTATATTTAACGACATTATTTTTATTTCACTCATTTGTATGGTTTAGTTTGGACTCTAATTTGTCAATGTGTGCAGATACTGTTTATGCTATTTGCCTTTTTTAGCCGAAGGTTGTTTTAAAGAGGTATATGAGGGGGGGAGTCTGTCAGGCTCCCGTCCCTTTTATTTACTTGGCTTGTCGTGTGATTAGTCTGGGCGTCCTGGTCTTTTGTTTTGTTTCTTTCCGGTATTTGTGAGCCCAGGCAAGCCGGGGCAGACGACGTTTGAGGGGTGTCTGAGAATACCGGATCGTAAGATGTGGCCGAGTCTAGTTCTGGGATCACCAGTGGGAAATGACCTCCGAGCTTTGGAGGATGGAATGGAGTGTTCCCTATGGTAGAGGTTGTCTTAAGTTTGGGCCGGCGCGGTATTGCTGGGGGTGGTGGACTTAGGCGAAATGATTGCTCACTGATGTCGGGGCTAAGTGACCAGTCTTTGGTCTCTTTACTTTCCAAGTCTATGAGCTCGGTTTCAGAGCTGCTCCGCGAGTTGGTTTCGGTGTATTCGACACCTGGTGTGACGTTCTTTTTGGCGAAGCGACTGTTAGCGTTTTTGAGGGCGATACTTTGGCCTCTATTTGGCGCTTGTTCTTATTTGTTCGCGGCTTATTTGTAGTATTAGTTTTGAGCCAAGTTCTTATAGAATGTTGGGGGTCTTTTTTCTTTTCTGGGCAGTTGAAACCTATGTGGCCCTTCTTCCCGCACACGCGGCATCGCTTCATTTTGCTACAGCTGCGAGCCGTATGACCCGATTCTAGGCAATTGATGCATTTTGGCGTGTAGAGTTCTGTCGGTAGATAAGTCTTGTACCGCGCTCCGTCAATGTCTAAAAAGGGCGGAAATTTGGTTTGATCGAAATCATAGAGCTAGGCAGCAACGTATCCGTTAAATAGCGTCGTTCCTCGATGGTAAAGTTTGATTATGTTTTTAATTTTCCCGCAATTTGTCTTAATTAGTGCGTCGATTACTTGTTGTCGTTTGATTTCGTCCGGTACGCCCTTAATACTGATGCGCGTCGGTGGTTTCTTCGGCGGCAAGAATTGGACATTAACATCCCCTACCCTCAATATATTTGTATTGTTCTTTAAAAACTCGTCCCGTTTGGACTTGTCAACATTATTTTCATCAATTTGTCTAAAAGATAGTACCCAAAGCTTGGGCTTAGTCTCATACAAGCCGATTAGCTCTTGCATGTAATATTTTGTTGATACAGAGTTAGTGAGTATCTCAATAAACGTATTCATGTCAATATCTCTGCTCACCTCAGCAGCCACCGAGCGTGGTCTATTTCCCTGCAGTTCGTTCTGTCCGGATACAGCGGTGGAGTAATCCATTGTTTTCTTCGCGGTCGTTATACTCCACAGGTAATATCCAAAGTACAATTTTAATCAGAACAGCGAATTACTTTTATTGTACTTAGTACAACCAAATACTCCACTGTCTGGACTCCATCAACAGCATTTTTCGTCCAACGATAGAGCCAGCCGCGTCAGCAACCATAGGATATCATGAACCTAGATTCTTAGCGTACAACCAACAGAATTGCCTGATTTGAAAAAACTCAAACAAACGTCTGGCCAGCCTTGCGGGCGATGCGTTTGCATGGGTCAAAGGTCAATTAATCGGCACAAACAGTTACAGTTGCAGAACGCGATAATCAGTTTCGCACAGAAACAAAAACGAAAGGATTCACGTTCCAAGTAAGGTCCATTTAGTTGCTAATCGACAGGGGGTTTGGCTTGTTCGTGGAGACGAAAGGTTATTTTCTCATATTAGAACTAATGAGCACTGTTTCTTGGTAGCTATTTCGTTCCACCACCTTTCAAACTGGCAGATATAATGGTGAACAATCACGAATTTTTCGGCGTGCAAAATGGATTTCGCTCGCTTGCACTTTCAGGCAGAACTAACGTACCGGTACCGTACGGTACTCGGGCGTGCACATGTTACGGAATCCTCCAGGCCTCCCACGGGCTAGAACCCGGCCCAGAGAAAAAGTCCTAGTACTGAAACTTTCCGGTATAAGTATAATATAATCATGCACAAACAGAAGTATAAGTTTATTTCGACTTTCGAGAAAGGTACCGTAATATATTATTTCATTGACTTAACCTACTTTTGTACTTACAGACTTATGTATTAGCATACCGTACTACCGGTACCAGTACTAGGTCATAAAACAGTACCTATTCTGGTAAACTGGCAGAGACAATTTTTTGAAGCTGCAGATTTTCAAAGATTTATCTGTGCTGTCCACTGTAACGTTATACAATATTGCAATGTCCTCTAATGTGGAGAAACCTATAGGTGAGGAATTCAGCAATTAGAATGGTGTAATTCTGTAATTATATTCGTCAATTCACAATCAGTCAATACAAATTCAGGAATTAAACATGTTTGTATAACCCATCTTGGCATTTGTGTGATTGAGTATTTTTAATTCTGTAATTACAGTTACATGGTCTCGTGCAGTGGTTTCTACATTCATCAGACATTAGCATTCTATTACAAACTAAAAATGACAAACTTTTTGAGACGATGAAGATATCTGAGGGCCACTTATAGTATCTACTGGCTACTGATGTTTGACGCCATCAAAATTATTGGCTGTCTGGTTCAAAGTCAGAATTAACATGATACCTTTGCTTTCAGTTTCTCAGGTGCAAAAAAGCTGTTAATTAGGTGCTACATCATACTGGTTTTACATAGTTTACCAAACATGTTTTAGAGGGCACTGTGATGTCAACAAAATTCTCAGGTTTAAAATCCAAACATTCTAATAAAACTTAAATATTTTGGCAATAATATCATATAATTTGAATTTTAAAGTCCGTGCACTGGATTTACTCATCTTCAATAAATTAAAATAATTAGAATTGAAAGGAATTATATTCAAATACAATAAACATAAAATGATCTGCCATTCGTCTACTTAATCACAGCATATCAGAAGCTTATATATGCTCATCTTTTTGGAGAAACGGACTATCTGAGGCAAAACAGTTTCTTGTAATATCATTTTGTGGGTTCTATTGATGTTAAATAATTTGTTAATTTAGTTGATGTAAATTTATGACTATAGGGCTGTCCAAAATCGAATAATTTTTTGATTCGAATCGAATATGTTTGCTGAATCGAACCGAATAATTGAATATTATTGCGCAATCCTAAATCTGTCTCTATTATACAATAAACGCCTGCCCTTCGATGTTGTGGTGACGTATGTGCAGTTACATCTTACTTACTGCTGGTATTTTGCAATACAATGTTTTCAGATTTATAAAAGGAGATCACACGCTTGTATGAACTGGTCAAAAAAATTGGAGGACTCCAAAATTTGGGTCTCGAAAACTGTTAGTGTTAAGAGTAAAAATTGCACAATTCAAAAATTGCAATCCCAATTCGAATGGATTCAGTTTTAATAGGACATGTAAAGCCTGTAGATGCTATTTTAATCCTATTCACTAGGGTTATGTTTTTTGTGAAATTTTCAGCAAAATAATAACAACTATTAATATAGATAAAACTGTTGCTCAAATTCAATTTTGCATTAAACAAATTCGAAGCTAGTTTGATGACTATAATATTGTTAGTGTAAAACAGATCAAAATTCAAGAGTGCAATTATTTGTCTTGGTATATAGATGTATATAGATGGATAATACAGTATTGCCATCATGAGATATTACAAATTCCATTGAAAGAAGGTATTGCCATCATAAGGATCCCAAAACACCTGTTTCAGCTTTGAGTTGCCTGTACCAAGTTCCTATATGATAACTAACTTAACAGCTTCAAATCGATTCTATTTATAGAACTAACGTTTTTCTAAATTGCCTTTTTCTCCTTGTTCTCTCTCAAAAACGTCATTACCAATAACTTTTAAGTTATGCATGAAATGGCTAATCACGTGCCACAGGGCGGGCATTAGGAATGACATGTTTATCACAAAATGAAGGCGAGAGAAATATCGGGAAACCAATTACGCCAGGAGCGAGAGTGTTCTAAACTCGGAGCGCCGCCATTTGCCCGATAAAAAACGTCCTGCAAAGGTGGTTTCCGCTTTATGTACCTAATCTTAGCGATTCGAAAATTAGCCGAAAAACGATTCGAATAATTTGCGATTCGATTTCGAATATTTGGATCGCTTGGACAGCCCTAATTACATCCATGTTATCTATGCCTATAGTATATTAGTGTGAATGCCAATACCTAGTGTATTCTTGAATGTAACATTTGTTGTCCAGATTCTTAACCTGTAAAAATATTATTCAATAATGTTTCAACTTTTGAACTATAACTGCATTCTTGGTGTATAATATATTGAATGCGAGGTTTCTCTTAACATATCTGGCATGTGTTTTTTATTTAAATTCGTTGCACTAGGCTGAAGGACATGTACACTCCATTTCAATTTGCTTTAATTTATATTTCAGAAAAACAACGAAGGCCAGCTACTCTTACACCAGCTGATGCAATGAAAGAACCAAGTAAGATATTTTTTAGTGTTTATTTATTATAAGGGTTTAGTTTTGTGGCTGCGGTGGTATAGTGATTATTAGAGTGTTGAGACTTGACTAGGATGTCATCAGAGGTTAAAATCTTAAGCTCACTACCTCACTCAGGGTGATGTATTGGGTAGACAATCTCGAACTAAGAAAATTTCGTACCTTTCAAATTATATTACATCCTTATTAAACAGTGGCTGCTTATGCAGAGCAAAAGGCGTATGAATATGTTGCATAAATAAATTCTGAAGAAATTTTGCTGTGCAAAAGTAATGCTTCAGGACCTCAATAATTTGATTAATTTTCAAAGCTAGTTTGTAGGCATGGTTCATCTTATGTTTATCATTTTATTCCATATTGACATTCCAGATATCTTGCTATTCAATCACTTCATATGTCATTGAAACATGACACATCCTCTTATTTATACCAAGCTAACACACCTTGATATATCAGATATTGAATTGGTTTGATATCTACACAGCACAGCACACACATCTAGAATTGAGGTTTATTGCCTATTTCAATTGAGGTTTCCTATTTCAACATCAACTCAATATTTATGTTCATAGTGTGTTGGCATGCTGCAATTCTCATTTAATGTATAATGCGATTTTATCATTAATTTTGAATCAAAAAGCATGCTTACAGTTAAAATAGAAGCGCCAGGATAGATATTTTTTAGGCTTTATTGGTGTTATGATTTTCTGTATTGATATGAGATCTACTTACATCCAGACCCATTAGGTTTATTGCCTGTTTATTCTGTTTCTGACTAGCAATCCTGTCAATTAGAACTGAAGTGATAAATAACAAAAGAATCTGTTTCATATTGCAATTCCTATTTCAATGATTTCTGTCTCAATAATCTCACGGAAGGTGAAAATTGATGGATCAAGGTGTTTCGAAAAAATCATACATTTGTACAATGGTTGTAGTTGTAGATCAGGGGTCGGAAACTTACGGCCCGCGGGCCGGATCTGGCCTGCGGAGTAATATAATTCGTCCCGCAACGCTTCACTGAATTATAGTAACAAAACAGCCGTTTTTGACGAATATATTCTCCACGTACAGATTTATTATGTGAGGCACGTGTCGAACTATATTATATTATAATCTTAACAAGTATAAAATTGTCAATTACTTGTTTAATGAGCCTATAATTTAATTATAATTAGACAAATGGCAACAAAACAAATAAAAGTTGAGGGTTCGATTGCGCCGAAAATATTCAAATTGATTTTTTTATATGCGCAATGAGGAAATAAATTTATATATTCCTTCCTATAGAAGTATCACTGCTTGATTTTTATAATAAAAAAGTATCATCCGTTCGGTTTTCAACTTTCTAAAATATATGTGGCCCGCCAATGACTTGCAACCCTTAATTTTGGCCCGCGAGCGACAAAAGGTTGCCGACCCCTGTTGTAGATCATATTTGAGCTTTGTTTTCTGAGTACATAGTCTGGATTAAGTACGGTATGCCAAATGTGATATTGTAAATAAATTAGAAAACATTGCCTCTATGAAATAATTTATATTATCCCTATTTATTAAACTAGTTTAAAGTTCGATTCAAAGCTCATTTATACAAAATTTGAATACCTATTCTCAGATACATGTCCTATTTAAAAGAAAATTAGGTATGTGTTTATTGTGAACACCCTACTATGATCTTCAGTTGCTATTTTGTTCGAGTTTTTGTCGGAAGGAATTTGGATAATGTTACCAAACAGTCATAGTTGGAATGGTCTGATATGTCTGTTGTTAGTTCACCGGGCACTGCAGGCAACCTGCATTAGATACACACACACTAGATGTCCCTCCTGTACTGATAAAAAAAATAACGTTCACATCACTTATTATCTGGTAACATAGCTATCTATTCTCATATATGACTCGGATTGGCAACAGAAGGAGAGGCCGTGCGCGGTTGGCCAGTTGCTAATAAAGCGGTATATTCGGGTTTGTTATCTTCCCGTATAGATATGAAAAATATCATTTCTATTGATTTGCTGTTATTTTCGTGCCGAAGATGCAACTAGAATTTAATGCAATACCATATTAGTGGTTTTCTGATTTTAAATAGGTTTTTAGTAAATAGTGGAAAAGTCTCTCACTAGCGGTTATTACGGTATATTGTAAGCGGAACAATTCCGACGTCCTTATTTTTATCAATTTTGTATGTTTATATCAGCGCAAAGAGAATTAGTTAGAAAAAAAACTGTTGTTGGAAAAAGTGTTTTTAAACGCCACACGTACGTCACTGCCTGATGCATCTAAGGGCTATAACAAAGCAATATTTATATTGATTTTCTATCAATTCCACTGCTAGTTCATACACTCAGACAAATTACCGATAGTATGCGCATGCAGTCAAAGGGGCCATGCTTAATTTAATCTTATGCGGTCCATGTGGCTGGCATCGTATCATGTTCTATTTCATGTTACGAAACGTAAATGCCTGTATTTTTCTGATCGATTTTTAGTCCTTGCGCTCTTCGATCGATTTCTTCACTTCACAATGTACACAGTCACCAATAACTGTAGACGGAGTATATCAATAAGGCATGGTTAGAGTTATGGCGCGCTTTTGAAGATTATTACATTTAGTTAGAGTTCTAAGATAACGCTTAATTTAATGGTAGCCGTATCAAAAAGAGTTTAAGTAAGGAGCATATAACCTAAAACGGGGTAAACTAAATCCGAATAACATTAATTTTGTATTTGGGACTTAGTTATATTTCCAACTAACTATCTAAGTTCCAAATACTTTCCTGTAATAGTGTGATAAGTATTAGTATAAATTTATTTCGACCTCATAATCAGCCTAACAGGCTATAAAATGATTGATAAGAGCAAATATATAAACACTGATTATGAAATCACGAGAGCAAACAAAACCTTAGATAAGGTTTAAAACATACAGAGTATAAGATGAGGGGTTTTGCCAAGAAGAAAGGGTATGTGTTCACTCACCTGAGTGAGTGATAATAATATATATTATGGTTTCCGAAATTAAAGTATTTGATTAATTTCGGCTATTGCCATAGAATTCTGAATCTGAATTTTATCGAAATGGGAACCGTGGACTGAACATTCCGTATTCAGCCAAGCGTTGTTTATTGCGTGTTATTGAGTCGCGTGCGGAATGATTTCATCTACATGCGCAATAACGATTACTTCTTTCATTGTGATATCCTTCTATGAACGGTGGATTGCCGCTAAGAGCTCTTGTTGGTGATTTCAACAGTCTAGTGGCTTGAGTTGAACTAAACAATGATTGTTGATCACGATTGAGTTCTTCGGAAAAGTAGCTTTGTTTTGATTAGTGTTGTGTTGTGGTGTAATTTTCTCCTTAATACAGGCAGTGCCAACAAATGATGTAACAGAAGTTGAACTCAAACGCTCCCATGTATGTCATAGAATTGAACAGATTTAAAAAAAAAAAGGTTTATTTGAGTGGAATAAATATAGGTATTTGTTGTGGTTGTGTTTTCAGTTTGTAAGTACCCATTCGCCCTGGCCTCCCACATGCAGTGTACGCCGTATACAACATCCACCTTTGCATATTGTTCTTTGAATTTTTCCCATAAATCTACCATACCTTGAGGTTATCACTAACGATTACTTATAGATTTGGCCAATTGATATCATTTAATGAAGTAGCGCTTTATTTCAGTGATATTTCGCTTAAAATAACAGAAATCCCTGGGCGTCAATATCATAATAATTTTGAAAACAATTGTGATTTCAATTCTAGGTTTCGGTTGTAGGTGACTTATTTTGACTTTGGTTTGAACGAATCCTTAGAAATGCTGATTCGATATAAAATCAGATTATAATGTACATGATTTGCCTTCGAGTTGCTTTATTTATATTCTGTCGTCGCTAATCATCGCAGGTTTCCTTCGCCTGAGTCATATGTTGTTCAATTCTCTTTGTCCTCGACTCCTCGTATCCTATGTTTATATTTTACATCTTGAAGCGATGCTGACATATAATTTGCACGCTAAGTGATTTATAATACTCGACAAAGACAGGTTTGCCGTATGCTATGCTGTTTTAGTTTGTAGTGTGATGCAGGGTAGATAGATCGATAGCACAACCACTTTTAATCGTGTTAGTATTATGAGATTGCTAGTCAATAGTTTCGCTGTAAAATTTAAGGTCTGTCGCGAAATGTTTTTCTCAAGTCTGAATTAATATATAAGCATTTTTTTAATTTTGCTGCTACAGCGAGACGTTTGTCAATATTTGATATTACATTGATATTTTCTGTCGATGACATAATGCTACATTTTGCTGCATAATTTGCACTCTGCTGACATTGCACATAAGCGATTACTAATTGGTTTGGAGGTATGCGAGTCAAGAAGTGGTGTGATTTCGACATAATTTTCTGTTTGTTTACCTGGTGGCGACACTCGTATCCGTATCCTCTTTGAGCATCAGTATATGACGCTCTATGTGTATTGTCCGAAATAGTATTTACCGCGAACGATATTGCGACAAACAAAGAGAGAAGACAGCAACTCACTCGAGTTAAAAAGTAATTAGTTCGTGGTAGGTACGCAAACAGTTCGAGTCTTTTTTTCATACAATAGAGCATATTACGCCAGTTAAAATTATCGTCTTGTTGGGGTATGACGTCGCTTAAATGGCCCGCTATTTTTCTGAATTGAAATACTGTTAACTGTTATCGGCGTGACTAGAGTTACCTTACACAATTTTGATTCAGTCTATGTCTGATCGTCGAATCACCAAATTTTGTTAGGAATGTTAGGAACTCGTTGATTTTTGTGATATTGATTTAAAACTGGATTCACCAAATTCACGTTTGCACATATCATTTGTTTATTAATAAAATCGCTGGCTATTTTCCGAATGCGGGAACGCCCGCCTAAGTAATTCGGATAATTGATGTTTTCTTATTCTCCCTCGTAATCGTTGTCGCAAATCGTTTATGTTCAAATAGTGTATCACAGAAAACATTCTTGTTCTGATTACCAATCATAATATTTTCGAATAAGCAAAGGCGTGGCCCGTGTTTTTTGTTTGACTAAGTTCCCGCGATATCAGCAAATGGTATTGAAGAATTTTCTCATATTACAGTATTAATTTCGACAAATATTTACAATTACATTATGATTGTGCAATATGCATGCGTTTATTTTGAAGTATATTTATTTGTACTTTATACAGTCAGAACTCATTCGGTTAGTTTTATTTTACGAAATTGCAGTCCTCATAGTTACCGCACCAAAGACACGCACTTATATTTTTCGTAAATGCTTATCGTATTTAATCAATTTTACTTGTAGCTCTGAATCATTTCGTTTAGGAGTACAAGCAGATGCTGTCACGTGGTTATATTTAGTCTAGCTATTAACCATCGCCGAATTTGTTTTTTAATGCTGTTCATCAATCGACATTTGACGGCCACCGTTCTTCATTTATTTATTTTTGTGAATATAGTTTTTTTTGTTATTGCCGAAACATTTCCTAACTTGGATTTTGAAAAAAAAAAATTAAAATTTTTGACATTGTTTTTCGTTAATCAGGCGTTTTGGACGCTGTTTTAATAACACGATGATTTATAACGTAAGTTATTATTCATTTTTTCCGTGTTGCTAACTCTTTTCAATTATTGTAAAACCATTGCTAATGTACCGCAATTAAAAATGCCAGTGGAATTGATTTATTACATCTGCTGTCTGATAAAACAACAATAAGATCCATTGCAAACGTCGTAATAATTAACAGTGCGTTGTAATTACGAGGACGATTTAAACCAACCCTGTACTTAAGTTATTTTGACTTGTTGAGTTGGCGAAAAAAGACATTTTTGCAGTCGACATTTCTTGTTAGATCGATTCCAACTGTTTTGTTTGTCTGGATTTTGTTGCGAAGAAACATCTATTGCAAGGTTATAAAGAATTTTACTCAAGCCGCATTGCCGTTTAATTGGTGTATATGGTGAAATATTTATAAGAATATAGTAGGACAGTAGGTGGATGATTTTTATGGATGCCTGAAAAGGGGTACAAAATTATATTGTTATTCCTAAAATACCCCCTGTACCTTGTGTACTATGACTGAAAGTGGACCTATGAATGGTTTTGCTATTTTGTTGTTGTTGTTGTATTTTTATTCCTAGTGTCATAGAAAAATGCTTTTCTCATTAGCTACTGGACCAATTTCATTGAAGTTTTCAGTGGTTAGAGACTGTATTTTTTGTCAGGAAGGCTTTGATATTATTTAATTCAAAAATTTCTCTGGCTCTCAGAGCTTCGTTTTTTTGTGTGCGATTACGTCATCAAAAATTGCGCACTTCGTAGCGGTTCCGCGTTTGTGTTAGTCGTGACAACTGCGGTACTCAAAGTCTACTGTGACAGATTGCTCACCCGCACTACTTTTGATCTTGGTGTCCATATATTTGAGCAACGCGCTCTTGTAGTTTTGCACACGTTTGTTCAAGATTGAAGTATTCCTGAAAGATTGAAATTGCAATAAAAATAAATTATTGGACACGTTTAGTGGCCATAACGATCGTTTCAATATTATGTTGTTGTTGTTGTTCTTTGACACGTTTTTAAAAAGTCGCTTTATCCTTCGAATACTGGACCAATTGCTTTGAAATTTTCAGTTGTTAAAGATTAATTTTTTCGCTAGAAGGCTATTACTTTTATTTATTTCAAAATTTTGCGTGAATTCTATGAAATTTGATATTTCGTCTAAAATTTTGCTGTATTATTTTTTATCCATGGGAACACGGATTTTAGTCAGTGTCATGACTGGCTGTACGTTTTGATTCTGCAAAATTCTTGCTACTGGAAATTCAGAACTTTTTTGAGGGTACCGGTAAAGACTGATTCGCTCTGGTCTAACGTGTCCATATATTTGTGCGTAGCTCTCTTGTTTACTTGATAAATATTCTGTATCTATTGGCGAATTCTATTTTTGAAGATAGATTTATTTTCGTAATGCTCAAAATACGAGGTATACGTAGTGATTAATTTGTCCAATGATGTCTCAACATTTTAATATTATGTAAAAAGGAAGGCTATATGGTCCACAACATCGCAATTACATTCATGATTACATTTTAAATACGCTATGCAAAACGTGAGAACAAAATTACTGTATGTACTGTATTACTGTAATATTCATCAAATAAAATGCAATGTGTTGATCGAGTACGAAGCGCTAGAAATCATAAGACATTGTTTCCATCAAAATACCATGTTCGCTATTTACTTGCAACAATATTGAATTGTCTTCAATGCACCAGCTGAAGAGTTGCAAGTTGTTACAAACTAAACGCCGTTAGTTGTGCAGAAGACAATAATCCTGTTATTGACTGATTGCCATTATTGCTTATTAAATATCGGTTACGTTGGTCAGAGCTAAAAATATACTCAAAATTGACGCTGGGTAAATTCTATCGATATTTTATTGGCTTTGATACATTGAAGATGGCCAGTTTATCGTCAGCCTATCCCTCATATATGGTGCATTAGAATCGTTAAAATGCCAGTCTCAGATACCTTTTTAATAACTATGGAGAAACGAAATGTCGAGTTCGCAACTAGGTTGATTGACGCAAGCCTCTAAAAGCCAATTTATATATCGATTGGCGCAAATGAACATTCGAAAATGTCTTTTCGAAATTATCGGCGCTGTGGCATTTTTAGTTAAATATACAGATCTTATCATGTGATGTTGATAACATAGTGATGTGCAAGATAGTATCATTCATAAGGTGGCTAATAAGTGCTTTGTTGAGTTTTTTAGTCACGCGATATGAACGACAGTGGGAAATCGGAATACGGTTTACAACCTGATTTTAGAAAAAAAATCTTTGGACTATATTAGACCATCTCATACATCGTTTTGCGTTCATTTTGTTTCCTAACATAAATCTCTGGATTCCTTTGTATATATGGAGCTAAATTAAGTTTGTGTGGGACGATTTTATAATACTTTTCGTTCATTGCAATGTGATTTTCTATTTATGCATATTTTCAGTCTTTATTGTTCTATTTATGACTATAATTTACTACAAGGTGAAAGACCGCCGGTTCGTTCACCGCTACGCGAGCAAACTTCGACTACAAATAACGTTAGTGGAGCTACTTCACCAAGTAAGGGGTGAGTATTATTTGCGAATAATTGTGCTTTAATAATTGTGAATTGCATCATGTACTATTCACATATATATTTTTTTAGACATTCACGAAGACGCCTAGGTTCAAATAAATACAGCCCAGACATGAATGAAAAAATTGATAAACTTGCGGAGGTAAGATTACAATATTGTTTATGATATGAATATAAATTTTTGTTGTGTTTTATCTCTGACGCCTTTTTTAGTATTTGAATGTAAATGTGTTTTCACGATATCAGTGAAAAAAAGTTAGAATTGTATTACCTTTAATACAAAACCACGACTACATTAAATTAAAGTACTCCACTGGGCATGCATATTTGAATAAACACGCTGGCCTTTTATTACTATTATTATTTTTGTAATAGTCAAATTTAATAATGTACACTCAAAATTAGGGGGCGGGGCCTACCCTTTGTTCGTTGCTTATTCGGTGGGATTTGAAAGATTGTATTTTAGTTGATCATCTTAAATTTTGCTCATAAAGGCCGCGGAAAAAGTTGTACCGATTTATCGTATATTAATTAGCAAGTTTTATACAATTAAATATCCCATCTTACGGTTGTTTTTAAAATTGTTACCATTGTAAAAATTTAATGTTTGATTGTACAACTTATTCCTCAGCAACTGTTCACGGAAGATATATCAGGATGTGGGGATCTCGGTACTTCTTGCGAACTTTCTGATGAAATTCCCATCATACAAATGCAGGCGAAGAGTCACTTGGTTGACAGACAAGTTTCACAGGATATCGCACAGTAAGTGGTATTCGTGTTCTAGTGCTGTTCACCGCCGAACCACTGTTGTAAAGGGCGGTTATATTTAGTAAACACTCTCGGGCATTAAATACCTGATATTAGATTTGTACTGATTATAAGCTGACGCTATTTTTCACTGTGATTTTTCAGTTTTTTCGATCATGCGTATATGTAATATATGCGTATTTTGTTTCACGTTTGGGGTCTTTAACCGTAGTTGTAAAAGCAAAATATATTCCCTGAACACACACACACAATAATCATGTAGAATGATGTCAAATGACAACGAAATCAAATCGTAAGCCGTCGCTATTTTTCACTGTGATTTTCAGTTGTTTTGACCATGCGAAATTTTAGTTCCGATATCCCTAGCTTGTCTAATAGGATAGCGATATATATTTATCGCTGTTTATCTTGCCGTCAAATTTCGCATTAAATAACGAGCATTGTCGACCGTTATATGTAATATATGAATAGATCTAAACATAATTTATGGGATCCGCAAACGTAAAGGAGACGGTGAGAAAATATGTCGATTTTTATTTCTTCAAAGATTGACGAATATACACGATTTACAACACTAATAAGTCACTATGTAATAAGTCCTTACAAATTGTGCCACACCCCAAACTCACCTCGGTAGAAATAATATTAACACATTCATAGCTACAGTGAAATAATACATGTTTCCACACGGATTTGTCTGTCCAAGAGTTGTTGAAAAATTAATATCATAATGTATAACAGTGTCATAAGCGAATATCAATCCAATTTGCTTCACTGATTTCAATCAATGTCATAAAAATTATCGAACGGGGCATTATAGATCGAAAGCATATACAACTCGCGTTCACTTGGTATATTAAGAGAATATTCCAATGCAGTGCGTTATTTGCATGTCGCTAGTTCGGTAGATAGAATGATAGGGTTCGCACCTCGCTTTTTGAATGTAACCTTCTCGTCTACTTGAATTCGACGGTTTTTTCTTTATGCGACCAAGGTGAGCGCTTCAAATCGTTTTTAAGCATGCGGGTAGACTTATATTGTTCAACGTTGTCGTCTTTAAATTAATTTTGTCAGAGGCACTCTTACTAACGCTACATTGCACATGATTAATGTGATGTTAAGCTGCATTATGGCAAATTACTTTTCAACTCTGATTTATGTCTTTTCAATACTGTTTTAAATATTCTGATGAGCTCCTTGACGTAACGCATTTACGAGAAATATAGATTCCGCTCGGGTTTCGGATTATATTTCAATAATTCACTACAACATCATTTAATAAAGTATAATTGTTCATTGGGATGGAATGCATATTTAAAAACTCGTTGCTGATGTGTATTGGTTACTACAGAATCGAGGGTGTTTTTATCATCTTGCCGGCGCGCGCGAAGTGAGTTTTAGTCAAGTTTAGATCACGAATGCTTAAGTTATAGTAGGTAAATGGAGGTTTTTCGCAGGAAAAGTTTTATATTTTATCCAATATGGTAAATATTGCGATTCGCGTATAGAAAAAATTAAAAAAATTTAAACGAATAGATTTGACTAAATCGGCGAATCGGGTTAACGTCTTTCGGAATGTATAGGATTTGTGGGATCTTTTGCAGAGATCTTCTGCGCCACTGATGTGAAAATGTGAGATTTGAGAAAAACATCCCGTCATGTTTTAAAATAAAAAATTAGTAATTGTCTAGTTAAGGTTAGTGTTCGGGCTAGGAATGATTTGAAAATTTAAATATCCAGTAAATCTGTATTTCTAACCCCGACTGTAGAATTACGACTCTTTTTTTGCGAGCGGTGGCGGTTTTATCGCGAGGGCTCTCTTCAAAAGATCCGAGTTGTGCTGCATAGTACGACTTTGACAAAACAACACTAGCCGATGCTTTTTTAGTTAAAGTACGTCATTACCCATCACATGAGATCACATATTTGTGGTTTACTTATAAATAAATCGTTCTTAGGTATTGTGACTTCCCAGTTCCAACCTAGCAATTTCTGCTTGCGCACATCCTTGTTCGGAGTGGAAATAGAATATAATGTCGATTAAAAAAAATCTATAACTATAAATCGCTAACGGTTAGAAATTATCGTATTTCTTAGTGATGTATTACAAATCAAACTTTTTGACATATCCGCTCTAAAATTTATTATCACGTTCGCTGAATAAAAAAAATGTTATTTTCCGGGCACCTACATACATATCTTGAGCCATTATTAATCACACGTTATAAATTTCTATAGTCACTCGTCGTTGCGTCGTCACATTGGTTTTCGTTGTAATTGATTATTTAGTGTCACGTTGATTCGAGGACGGGATAAGAGAACAAAGAAATTTAAAACAATTTCGTGCACGAATCAACAATTTTATTACCGAAATTTGTTGTTAGTTGTTACCTAGATGCCGTAATTGCAAAATTTAAAATGTTCTCACCCTTCAGGCGGTTTTAAATTAAAAGATATGAGCTTTAATGAGTTGTTATTGACCTCAGCGTATATTGTAACTATGTTGCATTGCTCGTTTTGCCATTCAAGTTCGTACGACACGCCCACCACCCGCCCCTTTTGTCGTATGTTGGATTTTACCTCGTGAGACGCGTCGCAAGTTATTGCAATAACATTTTTTCGGTTGCTTTTTTGTGCGGAATTAATGGAAAGTTGTAGAAGGACGGTTATTAATATTGACCACGATTTTAACATACCAGTCTACACGACCCTATCACGATCCGAATCGCCTACTTTCGCGGGTTCAGATCGGATCTATAAATAAGTACTAGGCGCCGAAGTCTTTTATCTTGTTAATAATTATATATTGTCAGTTGATGTATTGGGAATTTATGACATGTTATTGTGACATAACTATACCGTAGACTGGCGGTGACGGCGGGATTAGTCTGGATTATATCGCCTTCCATATTGCGAGAGTCGACTCAATAACATTAATAATATTGAGGTATGAAAACAATTGAAAGCAGTGGGTGTCACATATAGCAACAACTGGGGAAATATTTGAAAATCGAATCCAATCTATATTTTATGTTATTCTAAAATCATCCGACAAGGGGTGTATCAATTTTTATTACTTGAAACCAAACCATTTTTGGTTTGGTTTCATCGGATTTGTCACTTTTGGAAATTCAGTAGAATTAACTCGTTTTACATAACAGTTCAGACGTAATATTTCATTACACTTATTACAATTTGTTAATTTTAAACACAAAATGTACCTCCAGTTTAAATGAGTAATTGCAAAATTCAAAAAAATATACACAGATGTTCTGTTAAATTCTGAAAACGCAATAAATGTGAATAATTTTGTTATTACTACAAAAAAATAAAAGTTAGGTGAAGTGGACAAAATTGGTTTAAAATAGGTTAACATGCCCAATCAGCCGAAAAGATAAAAAATGAAAAGCGAAACAAACATTTAGTAGATATTCAAAAAATCAAATATTTGCAATGCAAAACTTAGTTCATCGAAATCGAGCACTAATTATGAGGCTAAAAACCGCCGCTGAAAAGAGATTTTATCATTAAGTGAATTTAAAATGGTAAACTTTAGATCGTTATGTGCCCTTTCAATATATTAAAGTACCACTTTTCATCTTTAATGGGTACCTTTTTAGTACATGCTTCTAGTAAGGACTGTTATTAAATGACTTTAGAAATTAAATGAAGATAAGAGACCTGCGATTTAATATGCATCTTGCAATTATTGATGCATAAAATATTGAAAACAAGTGATTAAAAAATCAATTGTGTTTGTAGAAATTGCCCTGAAGTTTTAATGTCCAGGCACAGCATAAATTTATTTTAGATCTGTATTTTGCTCATGTTACATGATTTTTTAAATTGTTTCACCCATATTCGAACATTGAAATCATCGGCCTATTATAAGCACTTTTGTCAAAAAGAATTTTTCTAGCTTATCTTGCTTCCGTAGATATCTGTGTAAAGTGTGTGATGTGCTTTTATTTACCTTGTAGTAGCGAGTTTACTAATTTAGTGTTTCACTTCTATGTGCATTGTGTTTGTTCATCTCCGATCTTCTTAACAACCTCTGTCGTTTGTGATCCATCCTGTGCAACCTTCATTCATTCACCTTCATAAAATCTACATCCAAATCAATGATGGTTTGGTCATTGCATCACAAATTACTATGCAAATAGTGGGAGCAAGAAATCACGTTGGAAAACGAGCCGAATAGCTGCTATTATGGAAATGACGAAATTGAAAACGAAAGATAGTGGAGATGTCCTTGAACCTCCTCCTCCTGTCCCAATTAACCGTTCTCGACCGTCTTTATCTACTCTTCACCATCTTCCGATGCCTGTATTGAAAGAGTGAGTATTTTTTTTTTTGACTCATCGAGACAAGTTAAAGTTGTCTAAAAAAAAATTTAATTTTTTTTTATAAAATTTCAATAGAATTTGAACTGTTAAAATAGGATTTTTCATATTTATCGAGGGCTGAGGAAAGCCGACAAGACTTGATATTACGAACCAAGGTTTTTCATCCAGTTACCAAGCCATGTTGGGTATGGGAATAGTTAACCAGTTATTTGTTCCTGATTCATGTTTTATTTTTACATGAATAGCGTCAAATTATATAATTGTGTTATTATTATCTGTCCATATTTAAATGTAGTATATTTGTATCACTGTCTAACCGAACTTTTTTCTCAGGTCGTGGAGTTTTCATGACTCAAGGTTAGATTCAGATTTCAACACCAGTCGACAAGTTTTTGGGTTTTCTAGTTTGATGCATTTGACTTTGCAACATATGCATGCTCGATGCAATTTAGACCGAATGATAACATGCTTTCTTGGCTTTTCATTCCATTCATTTATGACATCACAATAGTTCACTATAGCACTATAACTCCCACATTGGGTTACCATTGCCATTAGCTACATAATATGTAAAACTCATGCATATCGCGCTGTATTTAGACCACATGGCTAGAAATTGGCTTCCAATTATATAACTATAACCAAGTACGTTTTCAAATATTTGTCAAAGATTTATGGAAAAATGGAGTTTATTTTGAGCACTGTATACTGTTTGGCTTCATACAAAATTGATGACTTGGATTCTAAATTGAAGTGAAATAATAAACATGCATTCAAATATGATTCCTATATAAAATGTCATTTGCATAAATGTGAATGGCATTTTATTCAAAGCTTAGTAGATAGTGTGAAATTTCATAATATATCTAACATTTTAAAAATCTTTTAAAGTAATTTTTGAGAGATTGCTTGTGAGGTTTAATATAATTCATTTTATACAGTAACTCCAATCATTTTCCTAACATAGTTCTGTGTTTTACTGGATTTTAAATTTAGATTTTGTTGATTGAAGTAGAAAAATCATCTTTCCCATTTTGAAGTAGTTTTTAAAATAATCACTATTACTTTGAACAAAAATCTATTTTGTAGTACTTTTTTATTGGAAATCTTATGTATGCATTCTGCCTATTGACTGATTAGACGACTGCAAATGTTAGACGACTCGATATTGCCATTTTTTGAATCTTGAATATCTCACCCACTCTGCTCAAATATGTATATATCGGTACTCCCGAAGTATGTGAACCAAGATGGCGGACACCAGAACGTAGTATGTGTACCAGGTTAGGGTAAGGCCATAATTTTATTCCAATTTTCCTTATTTTAGTTCTCTTTGAGTTCGGGGACTAGCTGAGTGAGTTCCGTAGTATTTGTACCTGAAATTATGGCCTAACACTAACCTGGTACACATACTACGTTTCGGTGTCCGTCATCTTGGTTCACATACTTCGGGAGTACCTATAATATCTATCATGTTTTATATCAGTTCCTATGTTATAACTGAAACTAAAATTCTTTGCAGTTAAGTAGAATTGTAAGTACTCCTGTATACATATCTTAAGCTTATTCTTATTGCTTTAGTAAAAGGGGTCAAAGTTCAGGAGAGCTGGGTGAGCAGGAAGAAGACGATGAAGATCAGTTTCACAGAATCAGAGTATCGGGAGTGGAATATGCTGGGGTGGGTTCGGTGTAAAACGTCAACCAATTGAACAATTTGTCAAAACTATATAATACTACTATCAAAAAAATCTATGATTATCTTAAAATATGTGACAGGAGTCTCGGGGGACCACAAAAGCAGCGACAGCATTTGCGTACTCAGGTTGACCTGTATTGGAAATATATGTAATTTATTGTCAAAATAACAGAAAACAAAGTACCAAAACAATTCAAAATATATGTAGTGCAAAGAACAATTTTGAAAATAACAATTTAATTTGCTGTGTGGATGATTATTTAAATTGTATAAATGTATCTCTGTTTACAGGTTCCTATGCAGGATCTTGAGAAAGCATCGGAAAGTCTTACAGAAGCTTTATTTATCCGAGAGAAATATATGAAGCAAGCTTTACAGAGTGTTCATCGCACAACCGCACGATATATGAGAATGGTAATGCAATGCTTCATTTATCAGCCAAACTCTTAGACCAAAAACGCCATTTCTGTTTTTGTCTTTTGTGGGTATTAAAATTAGGAAATTGTAAAGTGAATCAAATAGTTTTGTAGAGTTGTTTTGTTGGCAAAATTAGTCATTGAAACTGAAATAATTATTTCAACTTACTATCTAATGTTTGGGATCATATGCAGGTAATAAATTAGGCGCTCCTGAAGTATGTGAACCAAGATGGCGGACACCGGAATGTAGTATGTGTACCAGGTTTGGGTTAGGCCATAATTTTCTTCCAATTTTTCTTGTTTTAGTTCTATTACGAGTTCGGGGACTTGTACCTGAAATTATGGCCTAACCCTATCCTGGTAAACATACTTTGTTCCGGTGTCCGCCATCTTCGTTCATATACTTCGGGAGTACCGAATTGTTTATACACCATATTGAGGTAACAAATCGATTTCTTCAATTAATGACAAGCACAACGATATCTGTTGAAGATTGCGATATTCAAACATTATTATGACTTGAATATTTTGTGTTAACAGGCAGATGGTAAAGAACCAGAGTTATATCTCCCTGATGAAAAAGAATTGAGTGAAGGTAATATTTATTTATTTGAACTTATATCAGTAATATTAAGAAGTTTTTACTAATATATGTTGTTTTCAGATGTTCCATACCATCCACCACCTGAGTATCAAAGTCCTTACACAGAAGATAAAGTGAAAAATGTTCCTCCAGACCTTGGTTATAAGCTGAAATTACAGCATGGTGTTTATCATGTATACTCAGATGAACATGCTTTGACAAGGTAAGCAATGCTACAACAGCATGAAATCTACCAGAAACTAATACTATAGAATTGTATTTTCGGTAGTCCCGTAGTTTGTGTACCAGGTTAGGGTTAGGATATAATTTTCCTTATTTTAGTTCTATTACGAGTTCTGGGACTGTCTGTGTTAGCCAAGTGAATAGACCCCCTGCCCATAGGCTTCATTCCCTTTACACAACTTGATATAAAGTAGGCGGACAAAATTAGTGACCTCCATATTGGTACACACACTTCTGGAGGGCCGTATATTCCATTCCTAATAGATATCACTTATTTACGTACCCTTAATCAGCGATAAACACTTAATTTATACTTATCCCAGTCAGGGCTGGAGAACTAGTTTGAAAAAAAGTTGTATCCCTGGCTCCAGCTACGGAGTCGCATTATATTCAAACTGTGTTTTCAACTCACCTCCAAACCAATTGAAGTTCTTAAGTGTGACCACTACCGTGAAATATCAGCTCAAATGCTGTTTCCCTGCAGCAGGACTCAAATCTGATATAAGGGTTTCAATTTTTATTATACCTTGTAGAAGGACTGTTACCAAGTGCTGATGTGTATGTTTTATTTTACAATTATAAATTTTTTCTCATTTCTCAAATTTGTTTTCAGGGAAGACCCATTGGAACTCACATACCCAGATCTCGCTGAATTTATCATGGATCTGAATCATATGATGGCACTGATTGTTGATGGACCTCTGTAAGTATCAAAACGTGGTCGTTTATATGTGCCATCCTTATTATGATTCATTTTTGGATCGTAGAATAGGATTTTATGTTATCCCAAGGAAAATAAAAACCGATGAGACTGCTTAGTCACATGGGAAACCACGGCATCTTGCCTGACTACCATTCCATGTTGGGTATGGAATTAGTTATCCAGGTATTTGTTCCAGATGCATGGAATTGATCATGCTTGATAATTGTATACATATATGTGATTGTCTATCTTATTCAGCGCTAATATAAGCTCAGTCAGCATTTTTATGTAAATAATGTATTCTTCTAGTATCGTGCCATGTTCATGCCATAGATGAAATCATGGTCTTCATAAGTGATCTTTATAAGCTTCGGTCCATTGTCTTTTCTATGAGTCCGCTGGTATTGTTGACACCTATTGCCCTGCACATCCAGTCTAGCATGTATTACCATTTCATTTTTCAACTATTTAACATTCCTAAAACTTCCAATTCAGCAAATCATTCTGCTATCGTCGTTTATCTTATCTCTCATCAAAATTTCAACTTCATGTTCTGCTCAATGAAACAAAAGAACTCGCATCTCAGAAAGAAGTTCCGCATAGAGATTTTTATAACTCACGAAAGGTAGACCAATTGTTATTCATTTTGCCAATTTCATATTTTCTATATCACTTGGACAATTTTGTAAAACATTTTTATTTTATTTCACAATTAGAAGCTTTTTAACTCCAAAAAAATTGAGAAATTTGGAAAAGCGTATTTTTTTCTTTCAACTGCTGTAAATTTATATTGGAATACTTGGTGAATATTGCAATAACTCGGGGCTTTTCAACTTTTTTTCGCTGTTTCGCCTAAATTTTTATGCAAAGTCGTATAGACCCCTAAGTGTTTATTGGAGATATCCAACCAAGTTAAATCACTTGCTGTCCTAATAGAACTATTTAATTTTAGTGTACTCAGTATTATTACCATATTCAATTTTGGACTGCCAGGAAGGTATGCCTGTGGCCCTTGCTTGTCGAGTTTGAGCTTTTCATTAAGCTTGATTCAGGTACTAACTTTGCATTTTCATTACGATTCCATTTTTAAATATTCTATGATTAAAGCACTTTAATTGGTGTAGCTATGATGGGTTTATTTTATTATTTCCTCCAATTCAGAACCCTGAGACACTTGTCACACTGCTGTCTGCTGGTTTCCTAGTAATCCAAACAAAAAGTTTTTTTAAAATGAATTTATAAGTTTCATTAGTAAAAAGGACTAACGGAAGTTTCAGTGAGAGCCTCGTGGCTGCTTGTTATTCACAAGCATCGAAATCCAATTTAACACTAATCCAAGCACTAGTCTAACAGGTGCTCTTTCGTTTATTTCAGTTTATTTGACAACATATGAAAAGAGCAACAACTTTAATGAAATGTACTGCTCATTTAATATAATTAGCGCTTCATCTGTAGACCCCCGTAATCGCGATGTAGACCACCTGGACAAAGTTGGGAAGAATAACTTTATAATTAGATACTAGGGAGGCATATTTTGGGATATTATTTTTCCAAATTGAATGTTAGCCCTTTTGTCTTGAGACCTTATTGATCCTCATTAAATTCTTCTTTCATTTAGGTTGATACTCATATTCATGCATCAGCGTGTATGAATCAAAAACATTTACTCCGTTTCATCAAAATGACATTGAAGAAAAATGCAGATGATTTTGTCTATGAAAAAGATGGAAAAACATACACCTTGAAAGAAGTAATCATTTTTTTCTACTTTTCCACTTTTTAAACTTCCTATATTCGAAATTTTGTGAGTTTTAGATCTAAAATATTTAATGGTAAGAATAGCCATGGCCCATACCTATTATTAATAATTCTTCTGTTGGAATGTTTTACCAAACTCTATATTAGTAACCCAAATCATAGATCAGGGATCTCAACTATTCTCATTACTAATCGATCTCGATCGGTAAGTTTGTTGACCGGTATTTGTCTGTTTGTTTATCTGTTAGCTCTTTCGTATGTTACGAGATATCTCACGTAAACGAGGTTGAACCTGCTACAAATTTTGCATGTGCATTCATCATATCTCTGACCAGGAGCCTATTAATTTTAGATGAATTATGTTGAATAATTAGCGAGTTATCAATTAATTAGTGATGTGACACGTGGTGTCGCTATTGAGTTTGAGCGGAGGAATTGAATCCACAAGATCGATAAGTCGGCGGTCTCCGATCGCTATCTAGTTTCCCCTTTACAAAATTTTTAAAGTCAAATTCATTCCTGATTTTATATATTATAACTCTTACGAATATCTATAACCTATAATCCTTCAAGGGCGGTGGAAAAGGAATTTCACTGTAGAATTACCTGTGGAAGCAGAAATCTAAAATTATGTTTAATTTTTTTTATTCATAATTAGAACATAACAACATTTATTACGCAACAGAGAATGTTGCAATTTTGATCTATTTGGTACACTACCGTATTTCATCATGATGTGGAATGAAATTAATTTAGAAAAATTTCTTTCATGTAAACTTTACCTCCTCCGTTGAGAGTCTCTGTCATATGGATTCTATTTCACTCCTCTTAACCAAATTACCTCATCATATAGAGCAGTGGTTCTTAAACTTTTTCGAGCCCGACCCAAATCTGAGTTTAATGAATACTCGCGACCCAATCCTAAATAATGCAAAATGTGTTTTTAATGTTAGTACAGTTTGACTCAAATACAGACAACTATTTATTAGAAACAGTCCATTGACTCAGTGAGATTGATGAAACTGAAATTCCCTTTTCATTATATCTTCAATACACAGCTCTATTTTACTTAACACGAATTGTAGCAGAAAAGGCGTCTCCTGTCCGTCGCAAACACGACATCCTAGCTGGCCTTCGGTATCTCTCGCAATATACAACTTTTTACTCATCAAATGTGCACACACTGCTTCGTTCGCGGTAAATGGTGCCTCGAGATGAAGTCACATTTTCTCTAGATATTGAATAATCTAATGTCGAGAAGCGAGCTTTTTCATTGCGTCGTCTATTACAATTTACATTACCAAAAAGACACCCATTTTTGGTTATTTTTATCCACTAAGACGACATTCCACGCGGTCAACACAACGACAAGCGACGTGCATGGTTGCCGATACCATAAAAATAATACACGTGACTGGCATATCAGAATTGTGATGTAACAATGAGCTCAAGACAGTTCTTTCCGTGAATGAAATTTTATATTTCATTATTTTTAAATACCAGAGTTTAGAAGCTAAATTGAAACATTGGGAAAGCTGAAAATTCTTCCTTCTCCTCTTAGATTGCCCTTGCATTGACGACCTTGTCGCGACCCATTTTTAAACCTTCCGCGACCCATGTTTGGGTCGCGACCCATACTTTAAGAACCACTGATATAGAGCCTTATGCCTATTCGCATACATGATCTAGATTAGTAATATATATGTTCAAAATTTTTAGGTGTTCGAATCAATCAATGTTACAGCTTATGATCTGAGTGTTGACACATTGGATGTACATGCCGATAGAAATTTGTTTCACAGGTAATTCTAAAACGAACCTATTTGACATAAAAAAATTTTGTTGGTACGTGAATATATTAAAATGCATTTTTGATGTATTTAGTCAGTTTTGACTCAGTAATTTTATTATAGGCATTGTCTTATCTGTCACTTATTTATTGCTGGTTTGCCGCCATTTATAAGGTCATGTCCGACGTTTGCAGATATGAAAAAGTCAAGTATAGTTCACAGTACACATTCTCAATGATGAGATTAAATATTTGCTTTTTATCTTATCATATTGAATAAATAAATGCTGATACAGATAAGATATTATCTGTGTAAACATAGACAATATTTGTCAATTACTGCAGTAAGAGAATTACTTTTGAAGGGTTTGAAGATTAAAATGAAAATTGAGCATTTCGTAATAGTTAAAATAATATACCGAAGTGTACAAATTCATGAAAACACAGTTCCAATCTGATCTCATCTTTTGTCTTACAATCTACATAGTGTGTAATTTTCTATTTTCATTCCAGATTTGACAAGTTCAACTTAAAATACAACCCCATCGGTCAGAGCATTTTGAGGGAAATTTACATAAAAACAGACAATTACTGTCGCGGGAAGTTTTTTGGTCACGTCATCAAGGTTTTCTCAAAATTTTTTTTGCTTTATTAATTATTGGAAAAACTATTATTATTAGATAGAAATAACCTTTGATCAAAAAATATTGGCAAGTCGAGAATCCATTTACAAATTATGCTGAACTATACCTAATTTCTTTATCTCAATGTTTTTCATCATTTTAGCTTTATCATGTATTAACCTCTCGGTAATCGAGAAAATTTTTTGAATGAAATTTTATTAATTTTTCTAAATTTCATATAGTAGTTAATATTATACTTATTTTCTGTATCAATTCCTGTGTACTTGTTTTTTTGTGATGACAAGTTATGGGAACTTAGTACATTGTTAGTATGATTAGACAACCTAAATTATGTGTGTGCCTTATAGAAATTTTTGTCCTTCCAAATGGGGAACATTTTGCTTCTCACAGTTACATATTTCTACATCCATGAATGATTTTTTTTTTCTGAAAACTCGTTTTGATGTCTGAATAAGAAAATCTTTTAATTTTTGAATTGTTACAAAATTTCTGTATAGCACATTCTCAATTATAGAAATGTTATTTATCCAACCTTCCAATATTTCTATTCTTTCAGGAAGTCATGAATGATCTGGAAGAGAGCAAGTACCAGCATTCAGAATTGAGATTGTCAGTTTATGGACGAGATACCCAGGAATGGGATAAATTAGCTAAATGGGCAGTTGAACATCATGTATACAGTGATAATGTCAGATGGCTTATCCAAGTTCCAAGATTATTGTGAGTTATTGTAGTGTTTTTTGCACATTCAAACAAGTAGAGCTTTCATGAGACATTTTCTCTGAACATGGTTCTGTGCTATCTGGTGCTCGGCGTATGGCGGTGAGCGCTAGAAATATATTCGTCATCATTAACTATAAGTATATAATAAGTGACTATATCATATAAGTAGGGCTGAGAATTTCAGGGAAACACTTTAACCGTTAACCGGGCAGAATTAACCGGTTAATCGCCGCGTGACGTTTGACGTGATAATTTATAATTTCAGCTTGTTACGTCACAATGCTTATAAAGCAATTTCGCGTGTTCTTATCCCGTATCGCTTATTAAAATTATTCACGAATCGATATAGTTTCAGTTTCATGATTGCTCTGCTGCAAGAGATAAGCAGCGTGGTTCGGGCGTGTGAAAATATTTTAGAAAACCCTTATTCCGTTGTTAAACGTCATTTATGTGACAAATTATCAGTGTTCGATATGCAAATTTTACTTCGAATTATATATCTTGTTGTATGAACTTGTTGTATGACATTGAATATCCGATTTTGCAATGAAATCGTGAACAATATATTTCGAAATTGATCGAAAACTGATTCTGAATTCATCATTGTCAAATTTCCATAATCAGCAATCTTGGTACTTCCACTATTTTTCACATTTATTGAGTCCTTACCCACACAGTTAGTAATATTCTTTTGAATTAAATGCCACAAAATATAAATTTGCGATGACGTAATCATATTTGAAGAAATTGTACAGTATGAAGATGATTTGTACCTGAGATGTCAGTTAGCGGTTAAAATAAATCGTAACCGTTAACCATCTGAAATCGGTTAACCGTTCCCAGCCCTACATATAAGTCATCATTAACTGATCACATTAAATAATCTGGAAAAACACTAGTTGTCAGAAACACAATAGAAGTACGCTTAACGACTATCACTTAATTTGATTTATCACTCATCTTATCATCAGATAAGATCTGACTTGTCAGATATAAGGCACATTTAGAAACTGTAATTGTCAGTTATTTAAATTTTTTCAGCGATGTTTATCGAGCGAAAAAGTCATTGAAAAACTTCAGCGAATTTATCGAAAACTTGTTCAGACCTTTGTTTGAAGCAACCATCGATCCTTCATCTCATCCTGAACTTCATCTATTTCTTCAACATGTAAGAAATGTTTTATTTTAGTTTTTGTATGATTCTTATTTTCGCCTTTTTCTCTGAAGGAGGCCCTGATCTAGTAGCCATGATTGGGGAATGGGAATTGAACCCGAAATGTCTTAGGTGTGATGCCAACACCATTCTAACGCTTCTAATACCACCAAGTCTAACGCTTTAACCGCTTGTCCATCTCGCCCACAGAATTATGGTATATTAGCTCAGAATTTCACATACTGAATTCTTGTTCTGAACTTCTTTGATGCTTAAGTTATGTTAATCTGCTTTGTCTACCACTAAAATTAAATATTTTCAAATATATTCTAATTTCACTAGAGGTTGGGAGAGACTAACTCCCAATTTTTCCTCAATGCCTTTGCGCTAGTTTGCGCTCCGTATGTGTATAATGCAGGGTTGCTGTAGCAGGGATAAAAATAACATCCTATGCATTCAAGGTTTCTGCTGCACACTAACTCAAATGTATTTCTGTAACGTTTCGTCTGCCGCTAAATTTCACATACTGAACTTCTTTGATGCTTAAGTTATGTTAATCTGCTTTGTCTACCGCTAAAATAAAGTTACCATGATATGCATTCAAAAGTCCAGCTGCACACTAACTCAAATGTATTTCTGTAACGTTTCGTCTGACCAAAATCAGACTTCCTCAGACAAGCAGTTTACAACAATGACAAGCCGGACTCTTGAATGCATAATCTTCTAATTTACTGACATTTACCATTATTAAAAAACTTTTTCAGGTTACGGGATTTGATTCTGTTGATGATGAATCTAAAAGTGAACATCATGTTTTCACTCGTGATTCTCCGTATCCTGAAAACTGGACGAGTGATAACCCTCCTTACTCTTACTACATCTACTATATGTATGCCAATATGGCCGTGCTCAATCAGCTACGAAAGTATGTATATTGTGGATAACTAACTTAAAGCAAGACTTTGGATTTGAAAAAATTTACAATCAAAAATTTTGGTTTTGATTTGACTCAGAATTAGGGAAAATTTTGACTTGAGCTCTGAAATCCAGGAAAATTCAATTTTTTCCAAATATTCAAACTTTTTAATATTCAAACCTTATATTTCTCCAATAAACTATTTAAATTCTTAAAAAACTCATCTCTTCCTGAATTTCTGAGGAAAATTTCAATTCTTTTCGTCACAATTCAGACTTTTTTGTTGTATTAATTTTACAAAAACTTGATTAGGGAAGTGTTGTAAAGTAATGTGTTGTGATTTCATCACTATTAGAAATGTCATGATTTGAAGCTCAGTGCGGAGTGCTATTTTGGAACTCGCTTATTTCTTTTACTGTCTGGAGTTTGATGATTCGGTAATAATAATAGCCTTTAAGATTTGGATTGGATATGTTCTCCCTTTGACTGAAGAATAATTGTAAACTATGGAGAACGTTTAATTTTTAGGATTAATTATCACTCCATTGTTTTCTATTAAATTTGCATTAACCCTTTCCGTGCGGTGGGCATGTATACGTACCAACGACAAAAGTCGCTAGATTGCGGCGGGTACGTTGATGTACTCCACTGTTTTATTTAGCAATCGGTCGCAAACTGTTGGTCTAGTTTTTCCGGATTTTAGTTTATTGATAAGAAGTCTTCTTCGAGATTAACATAGAGACGATAAATCTCGCTTTCGTTTACGACAGGAATTTTATTTGCGGCGGAACGAGGGAGTGTTTTTGAAATTTATGCAGATTTCGGTGGTTTTTGGGTGGTAATAAAAGACATATTATCCCTACCATCTACCAAAGTATTTTGAGTTAGATCACGAAATTGCTACAGCAATATTATGCTATTGTTTGCCAACCACGAAGCGGTAACAGTAAAGGATTTAGCGAATATTTCTATTTTTTATCACGTTTTGAAGTTTCAACTCCCAAGAAAAAAATGCCTTTTTCCTATCCGGTTTGTGACTCAGACCACCACTTTTAAAAAAACTTGATAAAAAATAAAAATCGCATGGAAAGGGTTAATAATACCATTTTCTGAAATATCTCATATCATTTTAGAGAGCGTGGATTTTCTCTTTTCAACTTGAGGCCACATTGTGGAGAAGCAGGACCAGTTCATCACTTGGTCACCAGTTATATGTTGGCAGAAAACATAAGTCATGGACTTCTTCTTAGAAAGGTACACACTCGCGTAATATAATTATATGTGAATTGAATAAAAAGTTCATGTTGGCCCATTTAATGCTTGATGCAGCCTAAGCACAGGTTGTGCGGTTCAAAGTTTCAATAAATTATGTGTTATTGTGTGAGGTATTATTTTAACAAACGATGCTTGCAAACCAAGTGGTAAAGATGAAAAACAAATGTTTAAACAGCTGTTGATGTGACTGCTAGATGAGTTATAAATTTTTTTATAGAATTTAAAATCAAAATCATACTTATATGTAGTAGTAAGATTTCTTTCTTCTCCATGTGAAAAACGAATATGCATAAGCATAAATCATTTGCACAAATCAATTACCATAGGTGGAGAGTGTCGCAGAAACTTAAGTTATCGAGATACATCACTTATGCTGCTGTTAAAACGTGTAAAATATGCATTTTGGTTTTATACACATCAGTGAAAATATCAAAAAAATTACAGTATTGAATGAAATTGTTTCTTTTTCTAGGCTCCTGTGTTGCAGTATTTGTATTATTTGGCTCAAATCCCAATCGCGATGTCTCCTCTCAGCAATAATCATCTCTTCTTGTCCTATCATCGTAATCCTCTTCCTGATTACCTGGCTCGTGGTCTTCTTGTATCATTGTCTACTGATGATCCACTGCAATTCCATTTTACAAAGGTAGGTTCCAACAAAATGCAAAACTTTTTAAAACCCCTCTTTTTAGAATTTGTCAAGTTTCGCACCCATTTCAAAAATAACTAGCTAACAATTAGCTACAAATAACAGATAGTAAGGCAAAAGTATTTTTTATTCAAAAAACATGTTGAAAATACGTGGATGGAATAGCAATCTCTAAACAATAATAAGATGTAAAAATCCAAAATAAGGCGGGCAAGATCAAATCTAACAGATAATTTTATTAGCTTCCAGCCCCCTTAATAAATTGTCTATGCCCCCCTTGTGGGGCCTGCCCCACCGTTTAAGAATCACTGCGCTAAAGGTTTTGGGATATACCGATATAGTAGTAATCTAAGAAGGGGGTTCACAGATTAAACACAACTGGGCGATCACTTATCAGTTGGTCAAAATTTGCCCAGCTGTATTGTATGTGTCAGCTATGGGTACTTTAATCAAACCCTTGACACATTTCTGATTATTGATCTTTCTGAAATTGCTGTGAAAGTGTGAATAAAATGATCATATGTTCAAGTTTTTCATAAAAGCATCTTATCAACTGAACTAACGATTCTTTCCAATCATTTCAGGAACCTTTGATGGAAGAGTATAGTATTGCTGCTCAAGTTTGGAAGCTGAGCTCATGTGATATGTGTGAACTGGCAAGAAATAGTGTCACCATGAGCAGTTTTCCGCATGATGTAGGATAACCGTTTGTTTATTCATTTCTTCTATGTAATGTAGACAACTTAACATATTGGCTAACTATTTCAGTACCCAACCTGTAAAGTAATCTGTCAATCAAAATAGAGAACACAACTTCTATGGTAACTTTTATTAACCTCTTCGGGTTACTAGAGTATGTTCTGTATTGGTGAACTAATACAAAATGAGAGCAATACTCGTATATATGTATATATAAGGCCGTGGGCCTCGCATCTGCATTGGTATGGTAATGCCTTCATTTGAGCATCGAGTTTGCTGAAAAGGTCGAGTGTCAGTCGATCAATATGAAACAAAAAGTGTTCTTCTTTAATTAAAATGGGACAGCAAAGGTTTTGGGGTAGTATCTGGTCCCATAGGAGAGCGGAAAATTGAAAAGAAAAATTTAAAGTAGAAGCTTCCTAGCAGCTTATTCCATCTTTAAGTAATGAAAATTTAATTAGTCCGTTAGTTGCGAAGCCACTTCATATCCAATAATATTAATATAATACGGTGTATGCTATCCTGATTGTCATAATTGTGTTCTATTTTTTTGCCATAGTTCAAGCAATACTGGTTGGGTCCTGGCTACCTGGCTGAAGGTGCTTTGGGAAACGACATCAGAAGAACAAACGTTCCTGATATTAGAGTGGCATACAGACATGAAACATTAGAAGCTGAATTAGATATGATAATCGCCCAACAGATGAAAAGGAGGCTTGAAGACGGGGAGTTTTCTGAAGAAGATCAACCGAGTACAGAGGAAAGAAGCATATAATTCAAAAACTAGTGCTTGAACTAGTAGCAAATGTGCTTTTTATTACTGGACACAAAGATGCAAGACATATCATAAACACTGCAATGTGGTTAAATCCATGAAATGTTGCACATATATTAATGGTGCGCTTTATTTTTATTTCCTTATGTTGCTCTTACAGTGCGTTATGAGAAGCTAAACTGAATTCGGCAAATAAATTTGCAATTAACCATTAAGGATGTCATCCCATAGACTTGCTCTAATTGTTATTTAATTTATTCCGTACGGTTTGACCTATGCTCAACACAAAAGTATACTAAAATGGAAACTAAAATGTTCTAAGAGTTTGGTAGTTTAGGAAACCTTGTGAAACGTTAGACATAGCTAGCTAGATTTATTTTTTTTTGAAGCTCATGAACAACCCAATTTTTTATCAGTTTAAATGCGTTACACGTTATAATCCAAAGAAATATCTAACAAATACCTGTTTTTATGATTGTTAAAGTTAGTTCTCTATATTCCTTTTGTCTTCAAGTTTCCGTTTTATGTACAGTTATATGGCTTCAATATTTGCGCGTTTGCGCTTGTGTGAGAATGCGCATCAAATTATCTTGTGGTTGTCAAAATAATTTTTGCGTGCAATATTAATAGCAGTATTCACCATATGATTATTCTGTAATAAAGTTTTAGTGCGTGTGAAATTTCAGTTGGTTAAACGAAAATTCAGTCTCTAGTCCAGCGGTTCCCAAACTGTGGGTCGCGACCCACTAGTGGTTCGCAAAAGGAACCTTGGTGGGTCGTGAAAAGATGTAGGAAGCTTTGATTAATTATACTGGTTATTAGGATTGGTGGCGACTCGAATACGTGAATCTTCAAAAAAACAAAAGAAATTGAATTTAAATTCTAATCCGTGAAAGTTTTCTTTTCACCATCTTCCCAAAGGAACAAAAATTTGCTACACAAAGAATGACCATGTGGCTTTTTTACGCATAACAGTTTTGTACACTGTACAGCACTTCTGACCGTGTTTCCCTGAAATTTAGACAAGATTTATATTCTTTTGAAGAATAACACTATGGTTTTTTGTGGATGAGGTCGTTTGTGTTCTTTATCAAAAATAAAATTACATTGTAGAAAATCACGAGATTTTTTAATAAACATCATGTAAAAACCGACATTCTTTGTTTTACTTGTATTTCCTATACAAAAATCAAGTGACAAATATTATAATTGCGATGGTGACATCACACAATCTTGAATAGTGGTGTGTCTTCACCTTACCTCAGGTGATTGAACCTTTCCGGTCCCACACATTTTAAATTTATTTTAAAGGTAGGGTTTAATTATGAATCATTTTTAAAATTCAAATTAGGTCTTATTTTCGAGGAAACAGGTTGTTTTGCGATTATTAGCCATTTCTGTGTTATGCCATAAAACATACAAAAGAAAATAGAACTAACAAAGATATTTTGTTGTGGGTCGCCATAAGCTGCGGTAATAAATAGTGGGTCCCAACTCTAAAAAGTTTGGGAACCACTTATCTAGTCTTTAGTTATGGTATGTTCTGGACAAGATCCTTGTCGATTTTTTGTGTCATTTTAATCATAATCGGCTGTCCCATAGTTGGCTCAACAATTTTGAGCACGCCTGTCTTGTCAACGCACCTTGACATCTTGTGAGCCTACGTGGGCTGGAATATTGTGAGGGGAGAAAGATAATAGTCGGAATCACTTACCGGTACGTTTCATTCGTCACTGGGGCATTGTGGGGGATAAAAATGTCTTCAATCATCTACATCTGTCTTATCCTTGACCACGAGCATGATAGATTTGCATCAGGTGACACACTGTTATAGGATTTACATATTTATCCCAGGTTCGTTCGGATTCAAAATGGCGAGGAAGAAGATTTATCTTTTCCGAGCGGCTCTTCAAAGAGCGTTAATGTTGTGCTGTGATTTGTACCGCGTTTTCGATTTGGCGAATCAATAAATGACAGAGTAAATTTCTTCTCGCCTATGTCTCGGCATGCCTCTGCCGCGATGGTAAATGCTTTTTGTCATTCATCATTTCCAAATGAGGTAATCGAGAATCCCTATAAAATTGTTGCATTTGTCAGAGAGAGTAGAAATCTCGGATTTGTCAATACGTCATTTTAATATTTTTGACGTGTCCGTATTGAGTCAAAGGTCAAAATAACAGTATCAGTGTGATTTTCCCATGCAACTTAGAGCCCTGGGCTGTAAGTGTACCGGTAAATGTCGTGAAAAACCATAAGGAATACATCTTTAATAAATTTCACCTAACTAAGGCAATTAATTGGAATAAAATATGGAAAATAAATATTGGAAACAAGTATAAAGAGTTATGTTGGAAGTTAATTCATAATGGGTTGCCCACTGGAGACAAAATAAAACACTGGTTCATTGATGAACCAGGAATGTGTGTCTTATGCGAAAATTATGTTGAAGAAACTGTGTGTCATTTATTTTTAGAATGTGACTGGTCTATTGATTTTTGGCAATGGTGTTGCATAGATATTAATCAAAATACTATTATAGCAAACGATTCGGAATGCAAATCAAAATTAATCGCAATATTATGCGGAAAATCAACAATTTGGGAATATCGAAATTCAGTAAAATATGATGAAATAGATAAAATGAAAAGTAGTATGCGTTCAATTTTCAAGTGTAAACTGGTAGGGATTTTAAATTTACTAAAAGAAAGCGAAAGAAATGAATTATTGTTATATGAGCACATGGATGATCTTTTACATAGGTCAATCATGATGTAAGTTTATATGCAACACCATACTCTGAAAATTATTGAAAGTATGTTATCTGTACATCATTTTCATAAGAGGAAGATGTATCGACTATGAAACATAGATGGCGAATGGGAAAAACCCAATATGAAAGCGTGGATTTTTCCATATTCTCTGTCTAATTTTTGTATTCTTGTATTTTTCATGCTAACTAAAAAATTAAAATAAAAACTGATTACCTGTAAATTAAAATTATATTCAACCAACTGATGAGTGGATTACATGTGGATTAACTCAACTTTTTTGGACATATATTGGATTATATTAAATTAATGACATCATGGTAATGGTATGAATTTTGTCTTTATTTTGATTTTTACTATTCATATGTATGGGGGAAATGGGATTAAATTAAAAAATGATAAACAAAAACATGGAAACAAAAAAATATCTATTTATATATTTATAATAAAATGATTTGATACCAAAATATTAATACGAAAATTCCGTTTGGCATTGGAATTTATTTGGCACGAAAAAAAAAAAAAAAAAGGTAAATGTCGTGATACTTTTAGTTTTTAGGATGGATTATATAGCCTAGGTTTCTTTTTTCGCAACGTGCAATAGTTGCACAAATTGTGTACATGACAATCAGAGGATACAAATTGTGTACATTATAGCGATAGGGATACAATGTTACAATGCTGAAAAACTGAGACGGGAATAGGTCTCTGATATTTTGAATGAATTGGTCACCTATTGGCCCGAAGATTCTATTGAATTAATTTCTAGTGTCAGAATGTAGCGCCATTGTATACCTGGCGAAATATTTAAGTTCAAGCCAGATGAGATAGTACTAATGTCACATTCTGCTGTCCTGTGAAACTACAGTACCGGTATAAAAACTGAAAAAAGAAGGTCGTACCGGTACGGTACCGTCTGACCGTACTGTGATAGTCATGGGAAATGCTACAAATCCTTTTTTTTAATATTTGAGGCAAAAAGAATCATTTATTACAGTATTAGAAAACTAAAAAATAAAAATGAAGAATCATGTGTACAGTAAACAAAAGACCCAACAAAACAAAGACTATTTTTAAACAATGTTGATATCGTCCAATAAAATAAGCATATAATTTAAAATATCCGATTCAACTGACTGAATTAATGGAGGCTACCGGTATCAGAAGCCAGAAAGACAGAAAATAACCGGATTCAAATGGAATAGGAATTGAATTTTATGAAAGACATAGGAAATTATTACAACTCTGAACTCTTCTAAATTTTGATTTGAAATAATTAGTAAAATTCTTGCCAACAGAAATAAAATAATTCTACCAGATATGCATTATTAAGAACAAAAAAAATTGGTGAAAATGCTTTATTATCATTTGATCTTATAAAAGTATGTGATTCGGTTAATTTAGATTATTTATAAGATTTTAGAAAGATTTGGGATAAAAAATGAATTTATCATGTACACCGTCTATATAAAGATGGTGAAACTAGGATACTAATAAACGATTATACCGATTGAGAAATGTTAGATGTGATTTCTGCTAATACTAATACTGGAAACTTGAACTGGAATAAGTGAAAAAATAGTGGCTGATTCTCAAAAAATACTTATTTCATCAGAAGGAAAGTGTTTGATAGTAAAACTTGAGTTATTACCGCAAATTTTGTTTTTATGCAAAATATTTTCAATGCCAAAATATATTTCCCAAAAAGTAAATGAAATTGTAAATGAATTTTTACAATATTTATTTATATTCCTGGTATGTGTGTATTTGAATATATAGAAAACACCATTACCACTACCATTAAATAATAGTATGGTACATAGATTTATTCCACATGAGTATTATAAAAGTGTAATTGATTTTTTAGGAAATAATAGTTTAAATGTGTATGATATCAAAATGGGCAAACAATATTAACATATAAATGACGAAGTTATATACAAATTATATAAAAACTTTCAACTATAAATTCCTTGGGATATTTTTCTTTGTAAACTAAGCCATAGATTAAAAAAAAAATAGGAAAAAATGAAATGTGTGTATTATGCAATGAGGAACCTGAGTTTGTTTCACATATATTCATGTCTTGTGAATTTTCCCAGAAAATGTATGATGATTTTGTTTATTTAATTATATAAAAATACATTTTGTTATAAATTATGATTTTTGCATATTATTTAATTTCGATGATTCTTTATTTTGTCATATACCGGTAGCTACTGTAGATTTGAAAGCAATTAATTTTTTGTTATCAACAGAGTGATATAAATTTGGATCATGAGATATTCCATTACACTATATATTTGAATATAAAACACCTGATATTGCTCACCTTAAAATGCAGATAAAAATGGCCATAATATATAGAAAAAATTCTAGAGTAAACAAACCCTTTGCAAAAGAATTACAAAGTTTATGCAAACGAATTATTGGAAAAAATTAAGAAACTTAATTGAAATCACTTATGGAGTGAACCATTTAAAAAAAAAGTTTAGTTTGTTTTGATTCATTAATAAAGCTAATACAACAATACATAAATGGTAACAAGAAGTATAAAGAAATTGCTGAATATATCAGAAAAGAAATCAAAATATACTTAAACACAGTTGACCAATTGTTTATTTGTAGTCTAGTAGTATACCTAACTTAAATTTTACCCCATACTGGTATTGACATCATAACAACAGGTGGTACTGAACCACTGTTTACCTTAGTGATATCACCATGTAACATAGGTGAGTTTGGAAAGTAAACAAGCACTTTACACTCCCTACAGCGCTTGATTTCAAAAAACTGATAGACTGAGCAAAGGTCATAATGAAAATTCTTTGAATGGCTTTCTCCTCTATCAGTCGATCGTTATACAGTTATATGCATTATCCACACTTTACATCACTATTTTTTTCTCACATAGTGGCCTCAAAGATTAAATATATGTATCTTATATAGATTGTTGCAATAAATAGAATCAAATTTTGAGTTTGAAAATTTTTTTATTCAAACTTTACATCTGTAGTTATAACTTTGTAACTGTATAAAGTTAAATCTTTATTACCAGTGGTTATTTCATACCCCAATTTGCAGGCCTATCCAGTACTGTATTATTGCCAGAATTATGAAGTATCAGTGTTGCAAAAGCTTTTCGAAGTACAGGGCGATCAAAGTGTGAGGGTAAACTCAAATTTACCAAGATTATAAAAATCTAAATTGTAAATTTTTTAACTGCTAAGTCGTTAGATCCCGCTGTTTTATTTCATAAAAATAAAGCTTCATTTGTCCAACACCAGCTTGTCCATCCATATTGACATGACTGTCAAGATTTTGAATTTCTTTCGATCCGCCTTCTTAATGCAGATCTGCACTTTCTACATGATTGACATAAAAGTACGTAGAAACAGAATGAAATTACTGTAATTATAGAATCTCCCGAAATGATACACGGGGTTAGGCGTAGGCTGGTTTTGAAAAGGCACTTCCAATTCCAAGTGCCATATTGCCCACCAAAACATACACTCGCAGACTTGTTTGACTGCTATAAAAACTTCTGGGGAATGGAAGCATTGGACCAATACCCCAAATCCAATAAAAAAATAGTCACAGCCACTAACTATTTCATTTTCTTTTTTCATAAATAGATATCAATAAACAGCATTACAAAATGAATTATTTTAAATCATTTGTGAAAGGCAGTGATGAGCAACAGCCGAGTGGAGCAGAAACCGTATCAAGACTTTGTGATCGTGTTGCATCATCTACGCTCCTTGAAGATCGTCGAGATGCTGTTCGTGCATTAAAATCATTGTCGAGAAAGTTCAGATATGAAGTTGGCACACAGGGAATGGCTCATATTGCTACTGTTTTAAATCAAGACGCAAATGATGATGAAATGGTGGCATACGCACTCGATACATTATGCAATCTTATGTCTGATATGGAAGAAGATGATGACGTAGTTCCGCAACCTGAATTAACTCGTACATTTGTCGAAAAATTTACCGCGGAAGAGAATAATATAAATGTGGTATTAGATTTCGTTGAGCGATATGATTTTAGTGTTCGACTCTCCGCACTACGGCTTATGATTTCATTACTGAAAGGTCAACCTGGTAAAATACAAGAAACTGTGCTTATGAAACCCATGGGTATATCTCGACTAATCGATTTATTGACCGATTCAAGAGAGGTCATTCGAAATGATGCGTTATTGTTGCTCATAGAACTGACGCGTGGAAATTCCAACATTCAAAATTATTGCTTTTGAAAATGGCTTTGATATTATTTTGGATATAATAAGGGCAGAAGGGATGAGTGATGGTGGAGTTGTAGTAGAAGATTGCCTTTTGTTGTTACTACATTTACTAAAGAGAAACACATCAAACCAGCAATTTTTCAAAGAAGGTTCATTTGTGCAGCGTTTGACACCATTTTTCGAAATTGATTCAGAGTCTGTATGGTCTGCACAAAAAGTTGCAAATTTGCATCTCATGCTGAAACTTGTAAGAACGTTGGTTGCACCTTCAAATCCATCAAATGTGACATCTTCTTGCCAGCTTGTAATGCAGCAATGTGGATTACTAGAGAGGCTGTGTAATATGTTGATGGCCACTGGTGTCCCGGCAGATATTTTAACAGAAACTATCAATACTGTTTCGGAAGTTATTCGGGGATGTGAAGCTAACCAAGCTATGTTTGAATCTGTTCATGCACCTTGTGAGCCTCCACGTCCAGCGATTGTTGTTTTGTTGATGTCGATGGTCAACGACAAACAGCCTTTTGAATTACGGTGTGCTGTTTTGTATTGCTTCCAATGCTTTTTACATGGTAACCCAGCAGGACAGACAAAAATTGTCAACACATTACTGCCTTCCTCACTTCAACCACAACAAATTTCTGCCGGTCAGCTGCTTTGTGGGGGATTATTTGCTGCTTCTGATCCACTGTCTAATTGGTGTTCTGCTGTCGCGCTTTCACATGCATTAAATCGTAATACTGAAATGAAACAGCAACTGTTACGAGTGCAACTCGCGACAAGTGTAGGAAATCCACCTATATCTTTGCTGCAGCAAATTACAAATATAGTTAGGCAATCAGCGAGCATTCAAAGTCGAATGGGTCTACTTATTCTATTGTGCAGTTGGCTTTCTGGTTGTCCAATTGCTGTTTCCCATTTATTACATGATTCAGATGCTGTTCCTTTTCTTTTGAGCCAAATAGCCGAGCACGGAGATGAATTGGACCACGTTTTGCATGGAGTATGTGCTCTTTTGCTAGGAATATGCATTGTTGATAATGATGGTTCAGTTTCTCAATGCACGAAAGAGTCACTCATTGAGTTAATTGTAGCAAGAGTAGGGATTGAAAGATTTTGTGACTCCCTCGGAGCAGTTACAAAACATGATCTGTATTCTAAAGCGTTTCAACGTTCTCAACCTGTTGCACCATCTTCAGATGATATGTTGTTCGATCATAATTTTACCAAATTGTTCAAAACTTTGGAAGATAATATTATAAAAATGGTTTCAAATTTAGAGGATGTCAAGAAAGAGGAGGAATCAAAAGCCGCCATCAAGGCCCATGATTCGATCATAAAGGAATATCAGGCTCTGATAAGAAGTCAAGATACAGATTTAAAAGAATTGAGATCTCGTGTTTCCAGTCTTGAATCTGAATTATCACAAACAAAGGAAAACTTGGATGAACGCACAGCACAAGTTCAGCAATTAAAAGATCAATATAACGTATTGAAAACCATGCATGATTCTTCATCCGGTGATGGTGTCAGCGATGCTGCTGAGTTATTGTCATCTTTGAATGTGCAAATTGAAGAACTGAAGCAAGAAAATGCAGAAAAAAATGCAAAGTTACAAGAAAAAGAAAATTCTATTCAACAGTTACGTAATGATCTTGATGGTTTAGAACTTCGTTCTCTGCAACTCTCGTCCTCTGATGAAACTCAACAAAACAACAATCAACAAAGCAATACTAACATACCAGATGACAGTATACATGCCATCAATGTGCCTGATGATTCGAGACTACAAGAACATAGATTAGTACAACTCACAAATGAAGTTGATTCATTACGATCCCAACTTCAAGCAAAGGATGAAGAAATTTCTAGGTTGTTATCAGAAGGTGCACGCTCTCAAAACACAACTGATGAAGTGTATGATGTACTTGTTTCTGAGAAGACGTCAATGCAAACAAAGATACATGATCTTGAATCCAGATTGAATGTTACCAGCCAAGAAAACCTCACACTTCAGGATAAAATCTCAACACTTGAGGAAAAACTCTCCAATTTACAGAGTAAAGAAGAATCTCTTGTACAACAAGTTACCGATGCAAACTCCAAGGCAGAAGAGGCAAAAGCGCAAGCTGAAGATTTTAAAAAAGAGCAAGAAGATTTGCTTATTCTTTTATCAGACCAGGAGACTAAGCTAGAATCTTATAAAACTAAAATTAAGACTCTAGGTGGGGAAATATCAGATGAAGATGATGATGAAGAAGAAGAGGATGATGAGGAAGATGAAGATGTTATAGAATCCTTAAAGCAAAATTCTCAACCTGGAGACACTAATGGTGTTAACACCCACCCAGAATAATGTCAAAAATAATTCTTGAAAATATTTTTATTCCATATTAGTACAAATTCTATTTAGACTGCTGTACATGTCTCACTGCTTTAAATCTCAGAATGGAATGCTATGTAATATTATGTAAATTTCATACAGATTTGTATAAGAGAATTTGAAGGAATTCTAGATTTACTGCTTGTATGTCCATGCATACGATAGGCTTCCTGTACAGTTAGGACTCCTTTTCAGCTATTTTTATATTGAATATATCTTTAAGATACTTTTTTTTGCTGCTCCACTCATAGGAATGTTATGGATTAATTGCGCATTCCTCACGATAATAATCATTTATGGAGAAGGATTGTAGAATATGAAAGTAGAAACACTCTGATAGGTCTGATAATATTATGAATTATGATGATAATCATTTTACAAGAACATTGGGGCTTTCTATGAAATTTTTAGATTCAAATTTCTCCAAGGCAATGTATTATATTTTTCATGTCATACTTAAGCATACTTTTATCTAATATTGTATGCTGTTGTATCATATTATAGGTATTATCTATAATGAAAAGTAATGTTGTGGTATTTTCTTATAGTTTTATTTTCTGCTTATAATGTACAAATATTTATATCACATGATTTGGTCATATTTGAATAGGACGTTCTGTTCATTCTGAGGGCAAATAGGTGCATGAGATCTTGCCTAGGTATGTCATATGGCCCAATTTGTATCATTCAGTGCATGATAAGTTTTTATAAGTTTGATCTGAAACCTTGTATTATCAAATACTCACTCCGTGATTATCTACTTCTGAGTCTATTTTTCTGTGTATAAGATATGGCCTCTGCAATCATTAGTTTTTTGTGCAATTACGACCAGTTAATGGATGGCTGTAACTCGGGTCCAATATCTTGAATGCTTTCATAAAATAAAAGGTATTGCTGTTTTATTATTTACCGGTGATGTGATATCTATTATTTCAGAAAAATCTTCTAGAATGAATTAGATTAAGATTTTTAATGTAAAGAGACTTCAATTTGATGTTATAAAAAATGGCAATGCATCAACGTCGAGATCCATCGTTATCACGGAAAAAGATTCAGGTGTCGTATATCATTCGTGATAAAGTGGAAATGCTGAATCGCTCTGGTATTAATGCTCTACAATATGATCCTGTTGCAAATCGTTTATTCACTGCTGGAAGAGATTCAATTATCAGAATGTGGGATTGTGAGTCTGCTCAAAAAGAAATGGATAATTCTAAAAAACATGGAAAAATGAACAGAGGTTCTTATGAAGCATCAATGGAACATCACACTGACTGGGTAAATGATATTGTACTTTGTTGCAACAACCGAACTTTGATTTCTGCATCTTCTGACACAACTGTAAAGGTTTGGAACGCCCATCGAGGGTATTGTATGTCTACATTACGTACACATAAGGATTATGTGAGAGCATTAGCATATGCAAGACATCGCGAACATGTCGCGAGTGCTGGCCTCGACAGACAAATATTTATATGGGATGTTAATACATTAACAGCTCTTACTACAGCTCGGAATACTGTTACAACATCGAATGTGAATGGTTGTAAGCAGTCAATATACAGCTTAGCAATGAATGCTGCAGGGACTGTTATGGTGGCAGGTTCGACAGAAAGAGTTCTTCGAGTCTGGGACCCGCGTACTTGTGACAAAAAAATGAAATTAAAAGGACATACAGATAATGTTAAAGCACTTTTGGTGAATAGAGATGGTACACAAGTATTATCTGGTAGCTCAGATGGCACAATTCGTCTGTGGTCTCTCGGGCAACAGAGATGTATTCTTACAATGCATATACACAGTGAGGGAGTGTGGGCTCTCGCTGCTGCGGAAGGTGACAATGCTTCATCTTTCACCAAAATTTATTCATCTGGGAGAGACAGAAGGGTTGTGTGCACTGATTTATGTGATCCAGATGCCTCGAAATACGTCGTTTGTGAAGAAAATGCTCCTGTGTTGAAACTACTGGTGAATTCTCGAGAAAATACGAATGAGATTTTTGTCGCAACAACTAGTTCCGCAGTCAATGTTTGGCCATTGAAGGGGCAATCAGATATAAATGGAGCTTCCACAGGTGGATCATTTGATGAGGTGATGTCTGAAGAGGAGTTTTTGACTACAACACAGCCCGAGTTTACGCAACCTTCATATACATTCCCTGGTGAAGCAAGTATTTTTCATTACAAAATATTATCAGATAAAAGACATATATTGACAAAAGACACTGACAATAATATAGCATTATGGGATGTACTCATTGCAAGAAAATTAGAAGACCTTGCGGAAAAAGACTTTGAAGCAGAAGTTAAAAAAAGAGAAAAAATGCTTTATGTTCCAAATTGGTTTAGTGTCGATTTAAAACTCGGCATGTTGAGTATACATTTAGAAGAACCAGACTGTTTTTCTGCCTGGGTTACAGCAAAAGATGTAACGGGATTTGAAAATTCAGATCCCAGTACCAAGCTTAATTATGGCGGTTTGTTGCTGCAGGCATTGCTGGAACATTGGCCAAGTACACATTTACACATAGAAGACACGTCGGAAAATGACAGTGATGAGAAGAATGATAGAGAAGGTGAACGTTCACCGAGCCACAAACAAAGACCTCATAAAATTATTAAGGGAAATAGATATTTTTCAGTCCCTGGCCACACTCCAGTAATATTTAGTGAAGTAGGTGGTCGTACATTGTTTCGCTTACTCTGTCGAGATGCTGCAGGGGAATCGGAGTCCATGTTATTGCGAGACACTGTTCCACAGTGGGTAGTTGATACTGCTGTTGAGAAAAAGATACCCACTAAGTTTGTTAAAATTCCATTTTATTTGCATCCGCATCCCAACTCATCAATAAAAAATCTCAAAAAGGATAGATTGTCTGCAAGTGACATGCTCTCAATACGTAAAGTAATGGAGCATGTATATGAGAAAGTCTTATGTCTGGAAGAGGATTCAACTCAAACATCATCAAGCACGCCGACAGCATCTCCAACTGCAAATGCAGATAAACATGATACTTCAAGCAATAGTAAGAAGTCTACCCCAACTGGTAACACTGATGCTGCTAAGACTGATATAGATAAATCATCTGTGATTATGGACAAAGTTGTGCTGTTATGCCAGGAGCAAGTTCTCGATCCATCATTAGATCTGCGTACTGTGAAACATTTGATTTGGAAATCAAGCAGTGATATGATTTTGCATTATAAGCTTCAACCTATTCCATAACACCCATTTGCAGTAGAAATTTAATTTATTTCACTTCCATACATTTTCATTACTTTTCTTATATTTTATTTACATTGTGCTAGTGACAGGGAAATCCAAGAAAAGCTATAAAATAATGGCCTTTATATGACAATGGACCAGTGTTCCCTTCCAAGCCTTCAATTTTCGGTGCTTATTATCATTATTACTAAATCCTGAAGATGAGATGTAAATTCAGGAATTATAATATTCGGATAATACTAGTAAATTATCTACGGCATAGATTCGTGTTTTGAGTACAGTCCTTCTCGACCCATGGCCAATACCGCATGATGATTTCTGCTTTATCCTGTGGACCAAGTCCTTGAATACTGAATATGTAGGACAGCAATGATGACTGTATATCGGGTTTCTTACCGTTATTAATATTTTAAAATAAATATGGAATCATACATATGGCATATTTTATAATATAGCACATTTGTTGTCGTCTTGTGGCAAACTTGAAACCGAAGCGGCAGACGTCAGAATTACAAATCAAAAAGTTCCCTATATTCGGCGGTGTGGCGCATCGTGCTAAGCGTTGGGAATACGCTCGCCACCGCATCTCTGATTATCCTTCGTGGGATCGCAGGTTCGAATCCCATGCGGGGGTGATCATGTGCGAGAGGATTGCTGGACTCCTCGCCGCCGTAGGGTGGTTCACGTAACCGCTGGTCGGTTACGGCTTCCTCCACCATCAAGTCCATGCTTCCGAAAACAAATGACTGGCTAACTAATCCCTGACCTGACCTGGACTGGTAACCGGACGAGAGGCCGTGGTTCGCCATATGATTAAGCCGTCTTATCGGCTCTTCTCTCCCCGGGATAAACATGTAAATCCTATTCCTTAATCCGCAAATTTGTTAGGCGTTGGATGCAGGGGCGGATTATGCCCCTTTGGTGCCCTAAGCACCGAAGACTTCGGGGGCCCTCTTATGTGTAATTGAAATATAAAAAAAATAAACCACATAAGTGTATTATCCATTAAAAAAAATCACAACCAACAGCAAATAAAACAATTCCACGAACGTTTTTAGATTTTTTAATTGTTATATATAGCCGATATATATATCGGGCGTTTACTGCCGATATGATATATCGGCAAACACGCAATATCGGGCCGATATATCGGTTGAGCTCCAATCCTGAGGGAGTGTGACAATAAAGATTCATGTCTCCAGTCTCAACGTGAATCGAAATACCAAGAGATACAAATCACAACTGTAGTTTAAAATTTTTTACCGGTACCAAGTGGTCTACCTCAGGACGTTCAAGGTTGCTAGGTTAGAGGACCGCAAAACCTTTTGAGGGGGTCTCGCGGACCGCAAGTCGGAGAAAACCCAAAAGTGATCGAAATATCGCGAGTTTACTTACTTTCAATTTAATAAACAACGAGAGTTTACCGTTCTAATCAGACTATTATTATGTTGCATGGATGGCGCTTTAAAAAAGATATATATATAAAGCCCTCAGTTATTATCAAATTATTTCCCGAGAATTACCGCTGTATTTTCCGCATCTCGCGTTTAATGTCGCTTCAAATTATAATCTTTCGTGACAGATATTACTTGAAATCAAATCAGACACTATGTGATGGGCACGGAAATACGTTTCCGCGTGTTTTCCTGATGTCACCTGTCTTGTGACACTCATTTTATTACGAATTGTTATATTTGTGTAATATAAAAACTTGCAGCTTGAGCAAGCTTAGTGCCATCGTCAAATAACAACCAAGTCCGTCTAAGTTGGTATTTCGGGACCTAGCTAAAAAAATGGATTGCGCGGCGTTAAGTCGGCTCTGCGTTTCTTCACCGCTGTCACATGGACCACGCTTGAAAACGGAGGAGGTAATATGATACTTGAAGACGGAAAATAAGCGAACATTTTGAAGTTGGAGTCGTCGGGTGAACTCGTAATATTTCAATAAACACCGATAAACTATGGAGGACTTGCACGGGTCACGTGACTTTGTTACTGGACGGCAATAAAACAAAAACGTCCATTTGGCTCCTGTCAGTTGCAAGTCGGATTATACGTTTCCGTTTTGTTTGGCTGTTGAAAATGGGTATCTCGTATTGTTCCGTTGGGTGTACGTATAGTATAGACAACGAAATGGATCTTCAGTTATACTCCACTGTTTTCAAGGATCCGGAACGTCGCGCAATGTGGATATCATCTATTGGCAGGACTGCTTGGTGTCAAGTTCAGAAGCCATCTCACTTTTTCACTGTTTGCGGACAGCACTTCGTTGATGGTGAGTCATCATGTGCCGTTATCAAATTTTTAAATATTCATAAGCTCCCTCATTTCAATGGAAAGCAGATGACAAACTACTGTTATTGGTAGGCCTAGGCGTAGGCCTACTTGCAGACTTGACTTAAGTAAGGTATTAATCAATAATTGCCATAAGGTATTGTTTTCCTAGTTAGCAGGTAATCTATCAGTAAGTGTGAAAAGTTGAATAGATAACTAAAGTTTGACGCCAGTGCTAATTCAAAAAATAACCAGAATTCAATTGAATTCTCCATCTAAGAATACGCTCGACACTGCATCTCTGATCCCCCTGGGAGTTTCAGAGGTTCCAAACCCAGGCGGGGATAGTTATGTGCGAGGGGATTGCAGCTCTCCTCCCACTGAGGATGGTTCACAATCTGTCCCCAACCACAGATAGATTCTATCCTGAAAACTACCCACATTGGTAGGCATAGTTGCGTTTTAAATTTAAAGAAATCTTCATTAATGGTCAGAAGGTTTTGTCTGATTGTTTTGTTAGTTAGCAGGTAATTTATTACTGATCTGATACACAAACTTGGCACTGTCAAATAATGATAAGTGTTTAATTTATTTTCAGGAAAAAGGGAAGATAACCCATTATCAGCTGCTTATATGTCCCATCGATATTTGAATTTTCGCCATCCCCAGAGAGGAAGAGAATAGTTAGAAAAAGGGGGATTTTGAAGAAAGGCAAAATGCAGGACCATTTCAACAAATTCTGTTAACTTGTATGCGTTGCAATATTAATTTGCAGTTGTTAGCATAAACATTTAATGTGTCTTTCGACTAGACCTACCACACTTTAAAAAAAGCCGCCTACAACACCCCTTTTCACTAGAACCATAATACTGTAAAATATTTGATAGAAATTATCCCCGAGGCATTATATCTTCCATTTGAAAGGGCTGTGGAGGCAGATACATTTTTTACTCTAAATTATGGAATGTTACTCTTATCCTCGCTTATAGATATCTTGAGGTTAGTGACTCCAACTGCATGCCACACTGAAAATTCTCTTGTGTACCCATAAAATAAGGCTGTTGGAGCTTTCAGACCTTGAAAACAGTCGAATCTGAGCACGATGGATTCATGTAAAACTCGTAATATGCATTTAGAGGCAAAAATATCCCATCCTGAGAAGCACCGATCCACAACCTCCTGCCTGTGGAATCAAAACATTAGACAAATTGGTGCACTGTGCGCATTCACAAATCTTTTCGAATCAAGTGTGCCTTTTGACTAAAGAAAATTTAGCATTGAAATGGTCAATCTCAATATCAACCTAGTATCTGCAGATAAAACCAATTGTTTTTTAAAAATACATTTTTGATGTGCTTTATTTTTCAAATATAATTTATAATTACTGTAAAGTGTGTGATATATTTGGTACCATGAATACCATTTGCAAATTAGCTTGGGTTACACCCCTCTCAAATAAAAGTTTAGACTCTTAAGTCATATCTCATAATATTCTTTAAACAAAAGGTTGCGGCTAGCCGGCTACCCATCAGAATTTCCTTTCAGATCACAAAGTTGCAATATTACGCCTCGCTAAGTTTCATTGGCAACTGTATCTGGTTGTAGTATCGGTGTTTAACTTTAGACTGAAACCTTCACTACCAGACCTACCGAAACAATTTTTTTTTCTTGATAGGGTCGTCTTGAAGTTGCTTTCGTTAAAGCACAGTGGACACTTTATCTGCACCAATCCACAGTAATCACAAGTTACTTTGTCATTACGATAAGCATCAATAAATGGATACTGAGGATGTATTATCAAGTCACGCAAGCTGAGGTCTTGTGCCACTGTGGTCTTGTTGCAACTTATACTTTGCCATCCATCTATTCCACGGTCGCACCCATATCAGTAAGATAATGGATACAGATGGAGTTTTCATAAAATCTAACGATCAAGGAGTGTGAAATTTATGTCCATATCCCACCACAGCCACTAGTCGTAAATGAATTTGATTCCGGGTAGCATATCTTTTTTACCAATGACAATAAAAAGACATTTTGGATCAGTTGTACAAGCACCATTAGGATAGGGTTTATCTGTGGGGGGGGGGGGGGGGGGGCAGTTATTTGTTTTCAGAAGCATGGACTTGGATGGTGGGGAATGGTCGTAACCGATCAGCGGTCATGTGAACCACCCTCGGTGGGAGTAGAGCTGCAATCCTCTCTGGGGTTGAAACCTGTGAATATGATATTTGAACACTAAACGTTGTGGCCCGTAGATCCTTGAACGCCTCCGAAGAAGAGAGTCCACAGATAACTCTCCTTCCTTAAACTGTTCCCAGACACGTTGCACCCTCTCGTTGACTTCCGCATACCTGCCGTTGACACGCCCCACAATATTATCTTCCAAAATCTCCACCTCTATCCCTATACTTACCTCGTACGTTGTTGAGATTAAACTGTAAAAAGGCATATTTTTCCGAGTTATACTGTTAAAATGGCGGTGCCAACCTTCCAGATGATTGTTGGTTCTTATTTCTACGTCGAATACTGACCAATCATTGGGAGTCCAGACACTGTTGTATAGCCATGTGTTTTGAAAATATTCGGCGAAGTTCTTGAGATCTTGAGTTTGCATCTTTTCTTTCAGTGATTTGAATCTGGACGTAATAAATATAGCTGGTATATAGCACAGCGCCATGACATGCTTGATCAGGTATCTTGTTCCAGCGTCCCTAAAACAAAATAAAAGCATGTTAATACAAAAGAAGTGAAAGATGTACAAAGACATATATAAATATGGTTGACCACTCACTTGTTCTATAGGCTAGCCAAATTATTGTGACGCACATTCTTCATGATGGCCTGAGTGAAGTGATATCCATGCACGGAGATTAGATAAAGTGCCAGACAGGTGATAATGAAGTCGCGCGCCGAGATTACTGCTCGGTTATCGCCGAGTTTAAAGCCTCAGTATCGCCGGCCTGACACCTTACAAACGTAAATACTCATTAGCCGAGGTCGGTTTCATCACAGTTTTATACTGAAACGAGGACGACTCACGGTATATTACCTCCACAAAAACTACGCAAGAATTCAAGATGACTACTCCAAATATGTGCAAGAGATATGACGACAACGTTTCCATGAAGCAGGAGGGACTCATCTGTGACGTCTGTCGAAATTGGTTTCATCGCAAATGTTTTAATAATTCAGATGTGGCAATGGCAAGGGAACAGTACAGGCTATTAAAAACAGGGCGGGACGTTTGAGTGGAAGTGCCTGGACTGCTACCAGGCCCATGACAACCATCATGACTCCAACCCGATTGTTGTATCCCAGCAGATGGAGCCTAGCCGTCGGCTGGTAGAATACTCAGGTGGTGAGTTGGCTTACAACTAATATCAGTCATATCATTTCGATTTTTCTTTCAATCGTACTGGATTTTGTATCTCGGGGAGAGGGTTTCACTAGATTGGGGTAGGCCAAATATTTATTCCATAGCTCTTATGACCTTTATTGTAAATGGGATTCGGCAACAACAAAAACGAAAAACTGTTTTGGATTTTATCAAAAAAAGTGATGCATGTATAATTTTGATACAAGAGACGCACTGTGAAACTGAAAAAGAGGCAAAAAATTGGACAAATGAGTGGTTAAGGAAAGCAATTTGGACAACTTATTCCAATTTATCACGTGGTGTTGGTATATTGTTTTCAAACAAAATCGACTAAGATTTAGATAACGCTACTCCAATTTCGTCGGTAGACTGTATTTGTATTCATACAACATGGTCAAAATAAGCCACTTATACAAATAAAAATGCGTTCTAGAGCATATTTATGTATTTTCCTAAACATTTGAGCGCTAAAAATATCAAAAACGCATTTCTATAGACCTAAAACACCACCGTAGAAAATGACAAAAGACGGACAACTCACCAGGCCTCTAGGTAGTCGAGTTGTCTCTGGTGAGTTGTCCGTGTAGTCGAGTTGTCCGCCTCCCATTCCTAGATGGCGAATTCAATTGAATTCTGGTTATTTTTTGCATGACCACTGGTGTTAAACTTTAGTTATCTATTCAACCTTTCACACTTAGTAATAGATTACCTGCTAATTAGGGAAACAATACCTTATAGCAATTGATTATTAATTCCTTACTGTCTTACACAAGTCAAGACTGCAACTGCAAGTAGGCCTACTAATAACAGTAGTTTGTCATCTGCTTTCCATTGAAATGAGGGAGCTTGTGAATATTTAAAGAAATTGATAACGGCACATTATCACTCACCATCAACGAAGTGCTGTCCGCAAACAGTGAAACACATGTAAGATGGCTTCTGGACTTGACACCAAGCAGTTCTGTTAATGCAATAGGCAATAGATGATATCCACATCGCGCGATGTTCCGGATCTTTTGAAATCAGTGGAATATAACTGAGGATCCATTTCGTTGTCTATACTATACGTACAGCAAACGGAACAATACGAAATAACCATTTCAACAGCCAAACAAAACTGAAACGTATAATCCGACTTGCAACTGACAGGAGCCAAATGGACGTTTTTGTTTTATTGCCGTCCAGTAACAAAGTCACGTGACCCGTGCAAGTCCTCTATATATAATTCTGCTCTAAAATTACTGTGGTGCCCCTCTTTGCTTGGTGCCCTAAGCACGTGCTTATTGGACACGAAGTGGACATAACGATCGTTTCAAAATTTTGTTATTGGACACGAAGTGGACATAACGATCGTTTCAAAATTTTGTTGTTATTGTTATTGTTATTTGTCTCCGTCTCCATTTTTAAAAAATCGCTTTTCTCTCCGAATACTGGACCAACTGCTTTGAAATTTCCAGTGGTTGAAGATAAAATTTTTCTCCAGAAGGCTATTACTTTTTTTTTCGCTATGACGTCATCAAAATTATTGCCATTGGGTGGCGCTACGTGGGCATATATTTGAGCATAGCTCTCTTGTATTGTTTAATAGTTTATCCGGCGCTGGTTGGATGGTATGGTACAGGTTTGAAAGTAAATAAGATATGCCACTTCGTGGGTCAAACTCGACAAGTCTTCATCGTTTCAGCTCCTAATTTTGGTTTGCACGGAAAATTAATATTCGAATGCCAATAAGATGAAATTAAATACCGGATGGCAGGATAACCGCGAAATGACCATTCGAAACGAAGAAACGAAGACAACTGTATTCCAGCGACCCGATTACAGAAAGTTTAAATATTCGGACATAAATTTGTACTGATGTATATCTTCTAATAACGATGTCAAGTATTTCAAAAAAATAAATTTTTCCAAACGATCCATCCTTTCTTTTCATTTGTAATTGGTGACGGCTTCCTCGGGATATGCTCCGTCCTGATTGAAAACTTCAGATTCATTTTGAAAATCCTCAATGGCCACTTGTGGACCTACGAGAACCACGTTCAGAAACACTACTTTGGACGAGGTCAAACTGAAGTCACGGCAAACCAAGAAACGCTGAATATTACCGGACAGAAAACAATAATCTACTCTACATAATTCAGATAACCCATGTTATATTTAATCAGACTAAATACAATTGATTTTTGTTAATTGGGAAAGCTGCACAGCACGCCCGTAGATCTCCCACGGCGCGCTAGTGTGTCGCGGCACTGATATAGTAGAATGTATCACAGATTAAAATCGATATGGCGACATAATCATACGAAGAACCCCGTGTTTAGGCCAAATAAGTTTGAGTGTAACCCACCGGGTGCCAGCGCAGATGCATGAATTTAGATAGTCGAACTGACCTGTTATACCCCGCAAATCGCCTCCCGCAGTAATCGTCTGTGGGATATGATTGAATCTGTAAGCCATAAAGTAAGCAGCGGGATGCAACTCACGTAATCAATCAACAACGCTTCAACGATTTTATTCACAGCGCTAAGCACGATACCCCGTCGATGGGCTATTGTATTTTTACCCATTCGTGTGCATTAGGGAGAACAGCTGCATAACTTCATTCCTATGTATCTAAATGAAATATAGACACAAATGTCTAATTCGTTCATACATTCCTACTTCTGGAGGGAACTCGTCTTATAAGTTTCAGTTATCAATTATTATGCTTTCACATTGTTTAAAATATTAATTAATTGTGGTTTATAATAAAGATTGTAACAATCATAGATTATTGTTACTGTCCTTGATTGGGAAGTGATGAATTGACGATATTAGATATCCTTCAGCAGCAGCGACTCCCAAAGACGGCATCGCGGCGATTCGCATAAAATTAACAGAATTGTGTTGAACAACTAACTAAGACACGATTAAATATTTTACATATCCATTATACATGAATGTTTTATTGTTTCTTACTTTAAATGTTGTGTACGTCATGAATCAATAAATTCATTTTACCTTTCTATGTTGTTTACTTTCTGCTACGTGTGTCGTGCAAGGGCGCCGTGAGTTTTTTCTCTGATAATTTTGAGCCGCGCGAACAAACAATTTTGGGAACCACTACACTAGATCATTTACCCCGACCGCAGTACTTTAGAGTATTGTAGTAAAAATAACAGCAATCGGATGAATGTATGTCTTACAAGTAAGGTGAAGTGAGAATATATTTGAAAAATCGACGTGCCTTTCCTGCGTGACTTTTATCATTTAATATTCACTGCCATTAGGTTATTTTTCCAGTGCCGCGGTCTGGAACGACTACAAATCTAAAACAACTCATACTTACTACCTTTTTAACTGAAAATTACTTTTGGAATTCCAAAGTTTTCTCATGACTTTGCGTTTAGCGATAGTTCGTAAAACAGTATTATTATTTGTTGCTTACGAGATTGGCGCCAACTATAAGATACAATACCGAGATATAAACAATTCAAAATAACGATGTAGAATTTAATAAATACAATAAATAATAAAGCAATAAAATGGAAGTATGTTCTAACGCAAGAAAATAAAAATATGTATATAACTTTGCTATTAAATATATAATTCATTCATTTTACCCATAGACCAAAAAAAAGGTGGAATTTGGAAAATTGTCACAAGTTGAATAGTGCTCAATTCACATTTATTTTTACAAATATGTTTGGAAAGTTCTTTGGTATATTCATCAATAATTTTAAGGTACCAAGGTACGTATTATATGTACCAGGTTAGGATTGGGCCATGATTTTACTCCGATTTCCCCTTTTTTAAACTATTACGAGTTCGGGACTGTCTGTGTTAGCCAAGTAAATATACTCCCTGCCCATAGGATTTAGTCCCTTTGAACAACTTGATGTAAAATAGGCAAACAAAATTAGTTACCTCTATATTGGTACACATACTTTTGGAGCGCCAATTTTAAAATTGCTACTCGCTTGCAACAAGTGGTTGAATAGTGGTGTTATTATTATTTTCAAAAATACTTCTTCCAACATTGAAATTTCTAACAACAGGTGAAAAATTCGGAAGGCTTGCTACTTTTCGCATTGTGGATTTTTCGCATTTCCAAAAAATAGGAGTGTGGTGTTCATCATCACCTTTCGGGTCCGAGTCTTGATTTTCGTCGTCGGATTTAGATATTTCCTGAACTTCTTCTGAACTCTCTAATGAGTTCGTGAAGTCATTGTCCGTTTCCACAACTTTTATTTTTGTATTCATTACTTCTTCAACACTTCCGTTGATGATGCAATCCTCCATTTCAATAGGTGTCAAATCAGTTTGTAAAAATAGATGCAATGATGTACTTGATAAAAATATTGTTTCGCGCACCACTCTGCAAAATTTAAAAATACATTGGTGTGATTATACACAGATCACAGAAAGTTTGAGCTTCAAGAGTCTAATCAACTATAGGTGAACATGATCGTGTATATAAAAACAAATTCGTGGAAATACGGGTCCAAATTTCTTACCGAAATGATCAAATTTATGTGAGTATAGAAGTCTATGGGAATTATGCGAATTTGACAACAATTCAGTAATGCCACAGGCGATAGATATACAAAAACGAAGCAAATTTGTGGGCAATAAAATCGATATTTTATTCAAGTATCGTCAGCCAGTAAACACATCACGAGATAATTTATTGAATTGTCACGGGTTCTACTTCCGTTTGCGAACATATTTATAACTGTGAAAAAATTGACAAGCGTTGCATTAAAACTGACAACATTTTAAATCCTTGAATCCAACAAATTCATCATATATTGACGACAGTCAGAAATGTTCAAACATTATAAAACAGCCGAATGTTGGTGATGTATAACATTACTTGTAGTTCAATTTTAAAGCTGCTAAAAAGACTTAAAATATGGTCACATATTATGAAATTTATTAGGCGAATTTAAGAAAGCATTATTAATTTAGAAGAATTCCAATCTTATTTACCTTTTAAGAAAAACTTCCAATGCCTCTTTGCGTTTGTGGAGAAAAGCAGAATTAAAATTCCAGAAATACTGTCTGCTTGGCAATGACGGAACGGATATGATTCTAAATAAATACAAGGGTTAGCAGAGCATTTTAAAAAAGATTCGGTTAAGATTAAAAAGTGATGGTTTTTACAACTTTGCATTCCATAAATCAACAGTTTAGTGAGCGTGAGCGCTAAGAATTCTGATATGAACAAATTAGTTGTTGTCGAGCCTAATTGCACCAACGATATTTCTGTGCGCAATTAAAACTCATGTGAGTCAACTTATTTTGATTTTAAAATCATTCAAAACGCCATGCATGTGTTTTGGGTTGCGGCATTGCACAGACCTTCAGTTATAACGCGTTCGCGACTTTTTTCTAACATTTTTTTTCCAATTCTTCATGTTCATATAGTTTGGGTACAGTTTTATGTTTAATCCCAATAGATTGTGACGAAATACTGAAGCGGTGCTTTTCCCCGCACAATCAGTCTAGTCAAGATGGAAATATGTGTTCTCCACATATGGATTGATTTTATTGAAAACTTTAATATCCCGTTCCTTGTGAATCCAAATCCTGCAAATCTTGGGAAATTCGGTTTCTTGCTAAAATACATATGGAAACAGTGATCATCGCCCTGTTTTTTTCATTCAGCTCACTCCACGCTGTACCGTATGCTCGCATCACATTGTGTCATTCTAGTTAGAAATGAGGATATATACATATATAGCATCATCATCGCTAATTGAATGCCATCCCCTGTAAAGAGCTATTGGGCTGCCATAAAGGCAGTTGGTCTTGCAAATAAACTAATTTTTCAAAAGAATAATTTTATCGGGAATTAATGGAAAAAAAATTTTGTTCCGTAATGATAACATTGGAAGAATGACTTACTAACCTGTTAGGAATGCTTTTTAACCGATTATACAGCCATACAAAATCTCTGTATCTTCTACGAACCCGAGTATGCGATGCCGCAAATGATAAACTGTTTGTCTGAATAAAATAAATATAAGTTGACGGATGATATTCTACATCGATAAATTAAATAACTGATAGCACTAGAATGTTGTGTACGATCAAAACAAATTAATTAAACAATTAACCCACTCTGGCTATCATAAGCGACTTTTGTCCACCCGAAACGTCTATTATACCCATTGTAAACTATTGATATACTAGTTAATTTCTTTACGTTTTCTCTATAACACAACGTTGGTGGTCAAATTTCATGATTAAGTTGGATAAATCTGCTATAAAATTCCAAGTACCTTTACTGTTGTTTCGTAAACTATGAATTTTTCATGTGGGTCATCGATTACCACCAGTTTCGGCGCATTGATGGAAATATTGATGTATTCCTGCAAAGGAAAAGAAACCGACATGGAGAATAAAAAACATTTACTAAATAAATAGATTTACACATAAAAAATACAATAAAAGATTCTATGTGTAAATACCACGATTTTGACTAAGCGACCGACATTGCCTACGCAATATACATTGCTAACAGGATAATCTTAAGTTGGTGTTGTTTATGAAAGAATAGGCATGCTCACATGTGAAGCACGGAAGATCACGACATCTGGAGTGTATTTTTAGTTCATTTTTCAGCTAATACAACATATAAATAAACTAAAATATCAGACTTACTGAAGATTACTGTTAAGTCGATAAATAAAACATCGCTACTACATCCTTACGCCGATATTACATAACCCTCTGGGTAAGTTTGGCAAAGACTGTGTGTTTTGTGTTTTATTCTAAAAACAATGTAAATCTACAAAATAGCGTTGAAGTAAATACCAATGCGTATTACAATGAAACTCACCTGATAAGACACTTTTTCGTCAGAATCAATTCTAATCGTCATTTCAAATTTATTATATGTTGATAATTTCCTACAGTTCTGCAATTAAACCAGGTAATTATTGAAACCTCGTACATGAAGCTATTTGAAATGACATGTTGTGTGACAAAACCTCTTCCGATACTCTGATGACTGTGACAAAACTGCAACGTCATATGACTCAACATTAATCAAAATTTAGTTGTTTTGATTGTCTCGGGTTAGCATAGCACGTCTGATGTGGTAAATATTACAAATAAATTCTCGAACTTCGAATAGCTTAGGTCAATCCTTCTTTGTCTGAACGAATGAACCCAGTAGCATATATTTAGTGTGCGTCATACTTTATGTTTACTTTGGTATTTTTTCCGATTGAAATCAAATAGCAAATAGCGACCTCACATCGACTAGAAAGACCCGTACCTCTTAGGTCGCTGTTGCGCAAATTTATGATGAAAGCACACATTCCTGTTGAATGGAATATTCTCCTGACGTTGAAAATGTAAACTATTGCGCATCGAACTCGGCTGGGAATAATCTGTTAGTGGGGCGCGTTGTATTCCGTGTGGTAACTAATAAAAGCGACTTCTCCTTCAAGTCTAGGTAGCGCCACGTTCGCCAGAAGCGAACTCGTAGTCAGGTGGGGGTTAGGAGTGACATATCAAAAAAATTCGAGCCACGCCCACTAGAAGTACAATACCAGACCCGCGGGCTCTACACTTAATTTATCACTTATTGACAGTTAGGTTAACCGTGACACTAAAATGCTAGGATACCTACAAACAACACTCAGTAATACAACTCCCGTTTGACCGCGAAATTTTATCATTTTACCTACAACAGTATAACTGATACTTTGAGCCCGAAAGAAAGTCGATTCATTTCTATCTATACGCTGTATTTGAAATAAATACAACAAGAATATTACTATAAATTCACGTTACAGTCTGTTATAGCACTTTCGACCTCTATCTGTGACGCAATCCTCTCGCGCGAAAGACATAAACGATAATAACCCCGCTGTCACATGACTTCCCTCTCATATAGTGTTACGCGGACGAGACTATTGATTTTCGCTGTACGTTTCGCTTTAAGCCCTGTGTTATTCAGCGAACCAAACAGTTTAATCCTTCTAGAAATAAAAATGTGATTAGTCATTGCGTCATTTCTCGTTTTCTTTGTGTCTTGCGCTGATGTAAAATGTTGTTATGTTCTGAAATTTATAAATCTAATCACTTTTTGTGTTGGACATTGACATTTTTGTAATTCTAGTTAAATATGATGTATTGATAGTTCTCGTGTTATTTTATTAATGAGGAAGACAAATTACATTACATTAATTCAAGCATATGGAACCTCAGCTCTGAGATTATACCCCGATGGCAGGGTCAATCATTGATAATAATTATTTACATTACCTTCAATGGTCACTCCTCAGAACTAACGATTACGACTTAACTTAACACTGATTTAGTAGAAGGTTAGTGTGGTGCATGGGCGTAACCAGGGGGTCGGAGGTGTGGTCATTACGCGTCACCATGGTTGACAGACGATTTGACAGTATTTAATTGATATCAAGACAAATGAGAGAGACTATTTACACTGGTCAAACGCCCACCCTATTGAATAATAACGTGTGTATCGAGCAAAATTTTTGAATATGGTCGGCACGTGGCTATGACATGTACATGAAGGTAATTAGTAAAAATATTGTCGTCAACTTGCATATTGTATAACTTATTCATGAAAACTCGAAAAATGAACATATATTATATCACAAAACATCACATCGATGAACCTATGCTCGTATGTTACGTCACTGTTCACACCTTGCTGATTAGCCATTCTTACGGAGGCGAAGAAGCTAGTCGATGCCTCGAGGCATCTGTCGCGCGTTTTGGTATTTCTTTGTTTTGCTCCTTGTTAATACATATCTGTTATATGATATATTTGTTTTATATAATGTCGAGTTTTACGAATGCAAAAAATGTGTTCATTGTAAAAGATGGTACTAGAAAAATTGCTGTTTGGTGATTACGTCTGTACGTTCAACCCTTCCATCAGTGTCAAAAGTATAAAGTTGTACGGGAGACATCTTGAATACATTCTATTTCACACTGTCTGAATATAAGATAATACCTATTTGCGGTCAATTTAATCTTTATCTTCATTGCAATAAATGTAATCTTTTTATAATATTGAAGTTTCCGACTTTGATAACCTTCGAAGGTTCAAGTATTTTGAGATTCTACTAGTTCTATTGATTATTCGGTTTTAAATTTCATTATTCTTTCCTGGACGATAGGGCGCCTAATAATAAAACGATATAAAAGTCGTCACAATCAAGTTTAACGTGTACGAAATTGATTTACGAGCGCAACAAAGAACAACTGTGGATAATACTCTAATACCCTTTACAATCACATGGATCAGGAGATTGGGGTAAAATTTAAAATATTTGTAAGCCTCACAACGATTACGCTATAAAATAATGCACACCAATTAGAGAACCGTTCTTATATTTTGGCGTAATTGGAATATCTGCGTCAGAAGCTGGTAAGGTTAATCAATGTTCAATGACCAAGTACAATGCATGTGGAGGATTCTCATGCAACATTGTTTGAAGAAAACAAATTTCGAATTTTTGAATGCTTGTTTACATTCAAATGAAAATTCACATTTACTTATTGTCAAAATGCATCTTGGAAATACATTTAAACGGTTCCAATTAGTTATGCGATTCAGATCACGTTGAGCAAGAGCAAGTACCAAAGTAGTTTTATGAAGCTGGAATCGCATACCAAACTGGCACCTATTTAAATTTAATAACATTTTTTTCGATTCATATATATTGGAATGCAAATATTGATCAGTATTTAATACATTTTGTATCGTGTAATCTATCAGTAAATACTTTCATATTTCCTATAAGCGAAATTATAAATGAGACACAAAATGCCTCATATGTTTGCCTTTGTTCCACGAATTGTTTATTTCATCATCCTATTCTGATAATATTCATGTATCTTTCTTGAACTACAATGCCTGCGCGCGGCAGAAACACGTGCAGATTTTAGGCACTTGCAAGATTTAACAACCTGCCTGCACCAGCCGAGAACTGGCAGTTGGGAAGCACTGTTCCAGAAAATAATCCGGTTTACAATCTGTGGCACATTTTGGCTAATCAGGGTGGTCCAAGGATGCGAGGTTGGAGGGCCGCAAAAACTTTTGAGGATGTCTCGCGGTCCGCAGTCGAAGAAAACACAAAAAATGATCAAAACATCACGAGTTTACTCATTTTAAATATAATATATATAGGAATGGGAGTTTAACGTTCTAATCAGTTTTTTTTTAAGGAAGATATATCAAGCCTTTAGTTATTTTAAAATTGCTTCTCGAGAAATACCGTGGTATTTTCGGTATTTTTTTTATATTTTTCTTTATTTTCGGTATTTTTTCTCGTGTTTGGTTTTGTAATGTCGCTTAAAATTATATTCTTACGTGACAGGTCGGTCGGTCATCTTTTTTACACTCATTGCATGATGAATTGTTATATTTGGCTAATTTTATTATTTGTAGCGGTAAAAGGCTTGCTGCTATCGTCAAAGAACAACCAAGTCCGTCTAAGTTCGGACTCCGGACCCAGCTAAAAAAAAAAACTGGATCGAGCGGCGCTAAGTAAGCGGCGGTTCGTCACTGCTTCCACACGGCCAACGCTTGAAAATAGAGGAGTGTTTTTACTAAAATAAAGGCACAAAACGTCTCTTCAAATGAGAAGTTATTTAACGCGAGCTTAAGGTTCGAAATTTAGATAAAAAGCGCGACTCATCTCATCGGCTTGGTCATGTTTGCACAAGACAATTCATTCTCCTTGTACCGATCACAGCTCACAGGACGCCATCTCCATATTGGCGCCGTCTTGACGTTTATAGATACAACAATGAAATTCCGTGATTTTGACAAAAAGGGCTATTCTCAGTTGGAATAGTTTGAAAATAACTCAATAATGTTCTGCGGGGCGCACGGAATGTGTCCGCGGGCCGCTGTTTGGACCACCCTGGGCTAATGTGTTATTTGGCCGAAATTGCTATTTCATCATTGATCCTAGATTCCGTTTACTGCAAATGAATTTCTAGTTTTGTAAATTTTAAAAATTATAATTTAATTGCACTGAAAAAACTGATCTGAGCACGAATTTCTCAAGATTGATTGGGTAATATACGATAAAGTTTTGGATTTTTCCATTAAGTCATATGATGCTTTACACGCTATTCTTACTGTTGTTTGCGGATGTAGATATCTTGGTAGTTTGAGCTGCTATTTTGATCGTGTGATACAGACATATGCTATGCAGTTGACGCTGTTTATTTAAACTTATGTCGTGGTATGAACTTCGCCTACAAAGCAAACCAACTAGTTACGGCATAGAAATTTACTTACAGTTTATTGAACACGGAGTGGACGTATGGACATTTTGTTTTCATGTTGTTTTTGTTGGACACGGAGTGGACCCATGGAACGATTTCTTATTATGTTGTTGTTGTTTTTGTTCTTTATTATGATATTTTTCTTCCTATCGTTATGAAAAAAATCGGACCTCCAGAAGTATGCGCACCAAGATGGCGCACAACCTGAACATAGTGTGTGAGTACCGGTTAGGATTCAGGTTGTGCGACATCTTGGTGCACATACTTTCGGAGCACCAAAAAATCGTCTTTTTTGATTACTGGGTCAATAGCTTTGACATTTTCAGTGGTTGAAGATTGCTTTTTTGCTAGAAGGCTATTACTTTTATTTATTTAAAATATTTCTGGAAGCTCATGGGATTCGATTTTGTGTGCTATGAGCGCACCTTGTGACGAATCCGTGAACGAATATCAGCGGATCTCGTGTTTAGCGAAAGTGGGAATTTTTTCATGGGGAACGGTGGATTGCGGTACCTGAATATAATGTTGTGCCATTTTAGTGCTCTAAAATATTATCTTATTTCTTTACAACAGGAGTTTTCGAATGGTGCGACACGGCGCACTGACGAGTCATTTTAATTTTGCGTCGCACAAATATTTAATTGGCAAGTCATGCTCTACTGACTGTAGGTATGCATATTTGAATAAACTATTACATAACTGTAGTCAATAATTACTGAGTTCAGTGTAAGATTAGTTCAATTTAGTGAATCCGAGAACTTTGTGAATTTTCTTGAATAACGAATATTCCATAACATTGCTAAGTCCTCACGTCTCATAAAGATAAACAAACTTGATTTTCAGTGTTTTTATCATTTTGTTTTCAAATATTTTCTCACTAGTGCGTCGCATGCGCGGGGAGTTTTTACAAAGACGTCTTATCACAAAGATTTAAGAACCATTGCTTTACCACATCTAAATTATTATGCTTTTTATTTGCCAGGATTGTTGTATATACTATATATAACCTATTTCAGCATTACTACCGTTTCATTCTCATGTCAATGGCATTTTCATATTTTTCTGGTCTTTGCATATAATAAATGACATTTTCAGTTGAATAGTTTTTTTATTTAACAAACTGATAGCTTGGATTCAATTTTTTAACTTAATTTCTTTCTTAACCACATGCACCGACAACTTCATGTCTTATTATGCACAGGCAAATTGTAAAGGCTTACCGCTGAATGATGTTCATATCATGGAATGATGCTCATATCAATATTATATCTACTTTACGCTAGTTGCAAGTCATTTTTTATATATTTCAATCAATAGCCGTTATGGAGTTTCTGTAAGCGTAAGCACACTACTCCAATGCGTCAACGAGTATGGTCTCCTCATATAAACATAAATCTGGCGATGCTTTCTCGAATAATCAATATGTAATGTGAGTAATGATAGTTTGCACCAAACTTTAATTTGATTAGTTTGTTGACAAAATAACCAAAGAAAACCAAATAATAAAAAAAACCGAATAACCAAAAGAGATTTTCAATGTCGTCGTTGGTAGGGATGGGACGAGTCCGACATTACAGAGATTCGACGAATCCGAGTAATAGGTCAGGGACTCGAATCGAATCCTCCGAGTCCGTGACGTCACAATGTAAAAATAGAAAAACACGTTTTCGACCATACTACAGCATCGCGCGCTCACAAACATACGTCGTAGCTCATATTTTTGCCTAATGGTTCCGCAGATAGCTGTTGAATCAATTTAAAAATATATTTTTCGTCTTTTTTGGCGGCCATAATACAAACGTAAACGTGGGTCAATGAGCGCCTTGGCTGTGAACTGGATTTCAAGCCCACCACCTTGCGTCAATTCTGGGCGGCTATTTAGAAATTCTTACATGTCAAATAGAAAAATAAAAAGCTTTTGACTACAATGCTTTCCCATAATTTCAGATATTTCTAGCCTTAAATTTACTATGTCGCGTGTGCAAATGGTAGAGAGATGCCACTCGTCGTCAATACAATGCTTGCAATTTAGTAGTTCATGTAAACGTTCTAAAACGCTCCATGCTTTCCATTGCTCCCTTTTTAGAGAAAGGATTGCACGTAATAAACTCGATTAAAAGAGGTATTGGTGAGATTTCCCCTTGGGTTGAACGAGCGCATGTTTCATATTTATTTACTCAAATCGAAAACTCAAAAAATATTATATATATAACACACTTATTATATCATATGTATATCCAATTGGCTGTACATGCATATGACTTGGCAGTATTTGTACATCACTTAAATGGCTGTATTTGGATATTAATTGACTGTATATGGATATTTAGTTGGCTGTATATGGATATTTAGTTGGCGCTATATGTATATTTAGTTGGCGCTATATGTATATTCTTGGCTGTATATGTATATCACGTTACCAACCCCACTCACCTGATCTGGTAATACAAATGTGACTCGGATCAGTTAATATTTCAATTCCCGTCGAAATCGAATCATGAAGAATCGATCATCGTCACAGGACCTGGAAAAGCTATGTCAGTCCCTGTACCGTTGCCGACAGTATCGGCCCGATACCCCGGGTAGTTGAGTTGCCTCTGCTAAGTCATCCGTGTAGTCGAGTTGTTCACCTCCCGATGCGGCTCCTGGTAAGTTACCGCATATTATTTTCGGGAAATTGATGATTAAATATTTAGTTTTGCCTCCGCGTCATCATATACGAGCATTGATCTTTTGTTATAAACGTAACGATCAGTACGCCATGTAGCGGACATGTCTTGCAAATTGTAGATCTCGGTACAAGATCTGTACGACGAAAAGAAATGCACAGTCGAACAGGCACCAAACTTATATGTAACAAAGCAAACCTGAAATCAAACAACGATCTTCGATAGAACGGAGTAAGGTATATCATTCGGATAAATAAATTCCATTTGGAAACATGTAGACGAGTGGAAAGTAGTGACATGGTAAGAACTTTTGGCGTGTGCTCATGAACCTCACACCACCAGCATAAGGTGTGACTGACGAAACAATTGCTCATTTGGGATTCAGATGAACAAAATATGCACTCGTCGTACTTATATGCACCCCAAAAATATAGTTTATGCCAAGTAAAATTGAAGCATTTTCAATCAGGTAAAACTTTAATTTTTGTGTATATTGTGTAATGGTCACAAGAAGAAGGTATTCTACCGGAAATATATAAATTATTCATTGAATCGAGAGTTTTATGAAGTGGTAACGGTATGCTTATCTACTGAAAAATGAAGAAATAGTACATGAAAATCATCTCAATAAACCAAGTCGACGAAATGCCATATAATATTGGACTATATTAGGCAATAACGTTTTCCAATCATAGAATATTCAAGAATGCTGCGTTTTTGCTAGCAGTTAGTTCCCAATTCCACATCTATCTATTAGTCTTATCTCGTATCTATTTACACTGTTACCAATGGTTCTATATTGCCGATATTTTAGGTAAGGGTTGTATAAAACACTTTCCTTGAATAAATATTCAAAACTATTTTTGATGTTAAGTTTGCTTAAAGTTGAGCGTGAGAACTGAACATATCGGAATTCGTGCGTCACTCATTTTGGCATTACCACTAGTATAATATTCAAGATTGGCCTGAGATGAAAATGTGACATTCAATATCTTATAATTGCCAAATAAACTGAAAGTTTTGTGAGGAAACTCTAGAAGCGGTAAAATTTCAGCTCAAATTATTTTGCGCGAGTGAAACCGCTCATCATTTTAGATCATGGCGAAACAAATAATATTTCAAAAACACGTTATGAAATCAAACAAGCCATAAAACAAATGAACACGAAAGTTAAATGACAATAATTGTAGCGAATGTCATATAAAAAGTAGAAAGAATTTTACCGAATGTAATATGAAGATATGCTTTTGAATTATGAAAACAACAATACTTGGGCTCATATATTGGACTCCGTTGGGGAACATTCTAGAAAAACATGTAATAGTCTTCTAGCGACTTTTTCTATTTGTAAATACAGAAAATACGACTGTTTTCGCAGAGAGATATAATAGATATAATAACAAATGTGACGTTTGTCTTCTTTTACAGCACGCATCATGTCTAATAGGATTCTTTGAAATGTAGCTACCGATCTACAGTATATATAAAGGAAGTATAATCCTCTCGACTCACAGTTGATGAGAATTTTGTCAGCGGAACGACGAAAGATGTTGAAAGCTACTCTAATCTTCGCCTTAGTTGGCGCTGCTTTTGGTAAGCTAATCATGAAATCTCAAATTTTTTCAGCTGAATCTGTAACTTACACATTTATGCTTTTTGTATAAAAAACCAGAATTTTTTTAAAAACAACAACAATCTCTCATTTCAAATTCAATATTCATTAAAATAAACAAGAAATTTTGACGTTCATCTTTTGTGGACTAAGTAATGATATTCAGTTTTGTAGAATGAATGTTGTTTATATATATATATTCATTGGGTATGGAAATACTTGAGCTGGCATTGAGATACAAACATATTCTTAATTGAACCATTAGCAACATGAGCAATTTTATTACAATGCTTTAAAGAAGTACTGAATGTTATGATCAATGTCTACTCTAGACAAAATGAGTTTTAGGAAATTCATACATTTTGTTGACCATACTATATTATTGAGATATATTGAAATGACAAGGTAGTTATGGAATATTATGGTGAATTCACAATGTCAATTTGTACTTGTATAATAGTCATATTACAAAATTTACTACTTTCAATTAAAAATTAACTATTTGCATGGTTTATTTTGGATAAATTACAGGTCTACCAACTGGAGACCAGAAAGTCATAAATGGAGATTTTGCCGAATCGGGAGCATATCCGTGGCAGGTACGTACAAGAGACGGCAAATTCGAACATTTAACACATGCTTTGATAAAAGCTGTGATGTTTTTAAAATAGCCGAGAAAGTGATTTCAATGAAATGAAGATTGTGTACAGGAGAGAATTCTGATTTTTTATTTATTTTTTTTCATCCAGGTATCTCTTCAAAACCCAAGCGGTGATGCATACTGGCATTTTTGTGGTGGATCTGTCATTTCGCAAAATTATATCATGACAGCTGCGCATTGCCAAAAACTGTAGGTTTCAAATTATTTATTCAATTTTGAAAATATTTTGACTTTTCGTCATAATCATTCCTTCTATTCACCACTTTGTTTTTCCTTCTCATTCTTTTTTGTTATCATTCTTTCCGTCATCTTCCTATTTTTTCACTTATTTCTCCCTGCCGAACTCTTTTACATTTTACCGGCACTGCAATTTAGGCCGAGCCGCGTGACTGTATATGCTGGATCGGTTGACAAGTTCAATGGTGGAGAACGATACACCGTGGAGACATTTTTGGCACATCCCAGTTACGACTCCAGTTCTATATCTTGGGATTATGGCATCATTAAACTAGCTGATCAACTCAATTTCGGTAATACGAACGTAAGTATTTGTACAACCAGTGCCGTAAAGTCAATTGCGGTAATTTATGTACTAATAAAGCTTATTTAACATTTGTAGACTTTTGTATTAAACAAAAATTATATAGAAGACAAGTTCAAACGAACGAGTTTTGTGTGACATGAACTTGAATTTTTGATGGCGATCTTAAAACATCAGCTTTTTATCATCAATGTCATTTAGTTTGTGCAGTAAGACCAGTAGACCAAACACTTCGTATATTTACTTTTTGTTTTTGTCAGATTGCACCAATTGCCATCCCCAGTTTTGAGAGTTCCGATGCGCAGTTCACTGGAGCCGGTCATACGTCGGGATGGGGTTACATCTACTACGAGGCACAATCGGACCCGGACAACGAGTTGCCGAACATGCTTCGATATGCAGACATTTCAATCTTATCTGATACCCAGTGTACTAATTACTGGGGAACTTCATACCAGTCAGAATCCATGATCTGTGCAGGAGGCGGGGCTTTAAGTAACCAAGGTGTTTGCATGGTAAGAGTGATATAACACAACTACTAAAAGCTGAAATTATGACGAGGGTTTCTGCGTAAATATATTTAATAGATAAATTGTACAAAAATATGAAACTTGCACTATTAACTCAGGGAGAAGATTTTAAACAGGCAATGTACATATATTGGCAACCATGTAATTCATTATAACGTTGTAATTATATATATGATAAATGACTGTCGGCTCTCAGGGAATTCAATTCGACTACCACTGAAAGCCAAAATAAATTCCCATTCATCTATAAATTTCACTTGGTGCTTGGGGTTGTATTTACTTGTCAGATCATTACTTATTAAGAAAAGTGTCTTCGCATTTTTTCGAGTAATCTCCTGCCTCTTCGGGATTTAATTAAACCAGCCTTCATATCTGTCTGTTCAGCCATTTGACACTTTTCTGAATTTGTGACGCGTTTATAATAGAAATGTATAAATTGGCTGATATTATACTTGTTACACTTATTTACTCGTTAAATTTGATTATTTCAGGGTGATTCCGGCGGACCGTTGGTACAAGAAATCAATGGCGTGAAAACCTTGGTTGGAGCAACATCTTGGGCACCTAGCTCATGCACAACCAAGCTTCCATGCGGATGGGCTAAACTTTCCACCGTTCGTACCTGGATCATAAATAACACCGATCTGCAATAATTGCAACTGGGAATGATTTATGAATCACAACTAATTTAAAATATGTGCTTCATTTGTAATTGCATATAATGTATTGAACTGACTGACTTTTCGCAGATGTTGCATGGCAATGTCATCGAATGTGTTGTCAATGAAAGAACATGATAATTGAAAATAAAATTACATATTGATACAAAATATATGTCTTCACTTGTGTACCTGATCCAGTGGCCAAGGAACGTAGCCAGAAGAAGATATAAGGGAGATTCTGAATTTTCTAATTTTCAATTTAGACTGCAGCAGCTAGCGAGTCCTGCTGGGGGCCGTAAAACATAGGGGTTAATGAGTCCAGGGGTCTAAAATGCATTTCAAACTACGTAAATTACTATATGATTCAAATGCTCTTTTTTAACATTTCAAAAGGGGAGGGGGTCTCGACTTTCAACCCCCTGGCTACGCCCCAAGTGGCGTATCCACGCAAAATGGCGCCCATGGCAAGGTTTAAAAATGCGTCCTGGATCGTTGACTGACAATTTTTAACGAATGTTGTTGAATTGAGATACTTGTACGTTATGATTTGGGTAAAAAAGTTTCTAATTTGGAATTATTTTATTGAAACATTTAACAATTGAAATTTTTTTGCCTCTTTCCCGCGCACGAGTCATGGCTGCCACACCCTAGATACGCCACTTATCGGGTCGTATATAGTGTTGAAAGATTTTGTAAACATCTTCGTACAGGGTATTGCATCACAGACACGCGAATTTGGGACGATATTTTTTTCTTGTTCTTGGTGTTTTTATTTTTATGAAAAAAATCGCCTTCCTCAGTATCTACAGGACAAATTACTTTTAAATTTTTAGTGATTAAAGATTTTTTAGAATGCGGAACGCGGTTGCGGCCGGGCGAAGTCGCTAATACTGCGATACCGCAGTGGTCTACTGTAACAGATTGCATACCGTACTACTTCGTTTTGGACTCCGTGTCCAGATATCTGGGTATCGCTTTTTTGTTACCTCTTTTAAATGTTATTTACTCTTCTTTTTCCTTTATAGAGGTTTATCTATTGTTTATTGTGTTCCATATTTCAAAAATTACAGCAGCTTCACAGCAATTGGTAAAATTATCACAAGGTTTCCACTGTTAAAATCTGGTGCAAAACTTGTTTAAAGATGGCGAACATATTCTTTGATCATAATGCTTAATGAACTATATCTAATTGCTAACTAATTATACATATTTCAATATATATTTAATTTTAAATTCAATTCGGGTAGAAGTTGGCAGAACATCAGGAAGAAAATTATTTTTTTTCCATCTAGTTTTGCAGAAGCACAAACGTCTAGCGCTTTCATAACTATCTATTCTGTCAGATGAACAAAATTCCGTAGGCTTCATAACAGGACCAGAACAAACAATAGCATAGGACAAGCGTGATGCTCATTTTTCATTGACGTTTTTGAAGTTTCTTATTTTTTTTCAAATTTGTTCCGAAATTTTCAACAATAAAATCAACATTATTGTGTAGATATATAAAAAAATAAAGTACTAAACTACCGCACTGTTCGAAAACAGAAACCTGCCATGATCCGCGCAAGCGCAGAACGCGTGGCAGTGTCATGATAGAATACCAGCCGGTTAATTTTAATTTTGTTTTTAGATAAATCACATTTATTAATTAAAAATATTCATTCGGTCGAACGTTATTTTGTTGGGTTTACGTGGCACGTGACCGAAATTATTAACTTGGAAGTATTTATTATTTTCCCAAAAATAAAACAGGGTCATGTACTGAGTTTGGAATAAAAAACGTTAAATTAAAGTTGATTCGCAGATAAAAATCATGCGATACAAAATTATAAACATCAAAAATATGAATAAAATGGATTTCAGTTTAATACAAATGTCGAACTCCTTTGCATTTCGTATAACCAGTACTAGTGTTAAATGCGCATATCACTTCAAAAACTTGTTTTTACACCATTTTTCCTTTGCAATATTCAGAAAAAAATAACTTTCGCTCTATGTAAACATGATGTTGTTATAAACAAGCGTCAAGCAAGTCCACGCATTTTCCATCATCAACCGATAGTGTTAACTAACGTTATCGCAATCCTATTATTGGAAGCGAAATATATATATATAACGTTTCGTTATTATGTTGCTGTTGTTCTTGTTGTCATTATTATTTTCTTCTTCTTGTGAAAAAATCGCTTTTCTTATTACCTACCTGTCCAATTGCTTTGAAATTTTCAGGGGTTAAGGATTGTATTTTTCGTTGGAAGTCTAATATTTTTAAAAATTTCTGTGGGCTCTATGGGATTCAGTTTTTGTGTGCGATGACGTAATTAAAATTGAAAATTGCACATCCTGCGCGATAGTCTACTGTGGCAGATTACATACTCACAATACTTCGTTTTGGCTTTCGTGTCCATATATTCAACATCGCTTTTTTGTATTGAACTAACAATCACAACGGACAGAAAAGATCTTTTCGAGTAGGCATCGTTAATCCGCAAATTGTGAGGTACCTTCGTTATTTTAAAGAACGATTTATCAGCCGGTTTTTATCCATTTTTTGCACACAACTCTATTCCGATCCAAAAAGTCGGCCTGACTTGATTAGTCATAGAAATACCGTCCATCCATGTATGGCTGCGGTATTGAACGGTGTCGCTGAAAAACTCACAACATTTCTTGTAATTATTATATTTATTGTCTTTTAGTAGTACCACACCAATAACATAGAGCCAAAAAATATGCATTAAATATTTCATTGCATTTACTGCGCCATTAAGTTCGACCGAATATCAGATAGGTATAATCTATAGTTATCTTTCGACGTATTCCCTAGGAAGTTTATTATACAATTTTAATGCAGTACAAGTCGTATATATAGACTGTAATGTTATTTTACTGGACCGTATCCAACTGGTATTCTAGTAACCGTTCTCCCACCGTCCACTACAATCACTTGACCCGTTATTGGTCCAGCCTCTTGAGATGAAAGAAATAAAATCCAGCGAGCAATCATCGCCGGTTCCAGAATTCCACATAGTGGTTGCTCAGCTGATATCTTTTCCAACTAAAATGTAATAAAAAAATGAGTGAGTTTGCTTTCAACTCTCCCGAATCTCCTTTTTCGTGTTAATGAAGCGTTACCATAAAAATATTTCTAGTATTTATTTATTATTCTTTATACATACTCCGATAAAAGATTTCATATGAGTATAAACCGAATTTTCAAAAGAACATCGATCAAAAGATTCTACTACTAAAGCTAAAAAAATATTCATTTAAGATAAATATGATTTTCTTTTAGAGATATGCATCCACGTTAATTTCGATCGAATATAACCTGAATGACATTCACATATTGATTGATTGAAAAACGATGCTCCCGAAGTATGCGAACCAAGATGGCGGACATCGAAACGTAACAATGGTAACAGGTTAGGGTTAGGCGATAATTTTTTTCCAATTTCCCTTATTTTAGTCCTATTATCAATTCGAAGACTAACCAAGAGCCTCCCGTAGTATTTATACCTAAAATTAGAGCCTAACCCTAACCTAGTACACATATTACATTCCGATGTCCGCCATCTTGGTTCGCATACTTCGGGAGCCCCGAAAAAACTTTGCTGATTTTAAGCAACTACCTACCGCAGCATGATCAGGATGAAATGCTGTTCTCACAGGTCCTGGCCTAAAACGGATATGGAAAATGATAAATTTTTTTCAAAGCAATCTCTTAAAAAATTTGTTTCATGTTTTTGAGATATTTTCTATGAACATCAAATACTAAACTTTTTGATCAGTAATAAACAAATTTTTTTCCTTGATTGTTTCTACTGGGGATGCACGTTAAGTGGTGGTTGACTATTTTCAGAAAACTAATTAACTGTTTCAGTGTTTTTGTAATAAACTTTCTATTTATTTTTTCATATTATATTTTTTATATTGTGCTGAAACGAATACTTCATTGAGTATATGCGTATAGCAATTATATGAAAAACTAGAAAAAAAAATCAATCGCTATTTTCATAATATATATAAATATATTACAAAATTTTGATCAATCTTACCCAATAGCATTCACTCGAATTCCTTGTGGGGCATATTCTAAAATAAATATATATATATATTTATATAAAATGGATCAGTAAATAAATATTGCTTTTTATATGATTTCAATTAAAAAAAAAATTCCATGGATTATGAAAGCAGTATAATAATTGTCCATGGAATTAGTTAAATTAATACAGAGGATTTTAGTATAGCTTAGCTTGTCATAAACATTTTGCTGTTTCACATCCCATCAATAACAGATTGGGTTTTATTACCGCCGGTGGCCAAACAAGTATTTTATGTTTCCGACATCGACGTTAAGCTTAAGGTAAATGATTGATATGTATGAATAAATGGGCTACTTCGTACTGCTAAGTTTTGACAATGTTTTATACCAACCTCTAGCCAATGATCTCGTAAAATGATCTATTCCGGCTTTTGCAACACTGTATGCCATGAATCTTGGTTCAGGATTGGTAGCAGCTGCGCTGCTGAGATTCACGATTGTTCCTATTAAAATAAACAAGTGGGATAAATTGTACAGTAGTCAAGCCTTTCTGAAAATGAGGTAAATTTTATTTGGCAGCATTGCGTTTGAATTCAAGCTATAAATCTTACCTCGTGTCTTTATCAGTTCTGGAATCATCCACTTTGTCAGAAAGAACGCTGCTTTCAGATTTACATCCAATGTGCTATTGTAGTCAGCTTCCGTGTGCTGAAAATGAATATAATATTATGAATATAAAGCATTGAAAAAAAAAACATCTACATAATTAAATATATTTTTGTCATACATAGAACGTGGTAAAGACAGAGCACATCTAGCTAAAAGATTATTATGAATAGCGCTCCAGAAATATGTGTAACAATATGGAGGTAACTAATTTTGTTCGCCTACTTTACATCAAGTTGTGTGAAGGGAATGAAACCTATGGACAAGAGGTATATTCACTTGGCTAACACAAACAGTCCCCAACTCGTAATAGAACTAAAATAAAGAAAATCAGGATAAAATTATGGCTTAACCCTATCCTGGTACACATACTACGGGAGTACCGATTTTTGCGCATAATATGCTTCACTTTGTTGTTGTTTCTGAGTGTTAAAGGAAGATGGTTGATTTGTGAAGTATGAGCTAATCAAATTTGTGACTTTATACAATTCTGACGGGCATACTGAAGACAAATGCTGAAGATAAAGAAAATATATGAATATTGTATACATTACCTCTTCATATGGAACTTTTTTGGCGAATCCAACGTTATTCACCAGCACATCCACTTTTCCGTAACATTCGATGGTTTTCTTAGAAATGTTTTCCAAATCTGACATTACACCACTATCCGCTCTCACTCCATGAACCTGTAGGTATTATTTAACAATGGTTAAATAAAACATTCCTGGTACATCGCAGGAAACGATTTACGATAACATTCACTGGGTCATATATTTTAGTCAACTTTTGAGAAAAAGGCGTATTTTATGTTCTTTTTTTTAAAAAGTCACGTATATAGTACAGTATTATACAATGTATTCGATATCAAATATATGGAATTGTTTGACGTAACGAGCCTAACCTGACATCGCGGGACTTTAGCTTAAGAATCTTGGCTGTAATTGAAAAACGAAATGATTTGTATTCGGGAAAATCTAATGCAATATCCTAAATATATATATACGTTACTCAAACAACTAAGATACTGACCTCTTTCGCACCACTTTTTTTACATTCCTCAATCAAGGAGTTTAGACGGCCTTGGTCCAAGTCAGTTAAAAACAACTTTGAACCACTCTTGGAAAATAATTTTGCAGCTTCTGAACCAATACCACCCGCAGCTCCTAAAATTATTGGTTAGACAAATTCAAGTTTGTGATGCCAGATTTTGGAATTTACTGAATTTTTATTATTTTATGGGGTATAAACATATATTCATCTATTTACAAACAAACAAAACAAGAAAATAAAAAAAAACTAACCAGTAATCACCACCACTTTATCTTTCAAGCTGTCCATTGTAGTAGTAGTTTGCTGTTACCCTGCAAAATAATCGTACTGCAATGTAAGAAAAGACACGAGGTTAGTTTCGCAAAAAGTTGGCCAATATTGACATAAGAATCTTGACGCTGATATCTCGTTGTCTACGTTTATTCCAAACAAACATTAGCGATGCAATACGGAATCATGCCACGCAGCACTTTCTTTGAAGAATGGAGTATGCATTCAAACCCAAGACAAAATTACTGTAATTTACATCATCTTAATTGTAAGGATTACCAAAGCTACCCATATATTCGTGGAGGTTCAATTTTTTCTACATGTTTATGACATGTCTGGATGGTTTGGAGCAAATGTCTGCAACGTGTGCCAAGCATGGGATGCCATTCAACAAGTTTGGAAACCATCGAAAATAGATTGCACAAAGCACTATTGTCATGCGGGTCGGGTATAACATTGTTACGGAGATTGAACAAATATAGTTATTACCTCGTATATTATAAGAGCAATAAATTATACAAGAAACGTAAGTTATTTCAGACAGGGCAACGTCATTATCCATATACACGTATGAGGTAGCTGAATCGGCATAATTCCACTGTGTCCATAAATTTGAGCATTGCTTTAACTCAAATAAACCATTGTAGACTGAACAAGAGAGCTATGCTCAAATATATGGACACGTAGCGCCACCCAATGGCAATAATTTTGATGACGTCATAACGAGAAAAAAAAGTAATAGCCTTCTGGAGAAAATTTTATCTTTAACCACTGAAAATTTCAAAGCAATTGGTCCAGTATTCGAAGAGAAAAGCGATTTTTTGAAAATGGAGACGGAGACAAATAACAATAACAACAAAATTTTGAAACGATCGTTATGTCCACTTCGTGTCCAATAACTACACCCCGCTTAGTCAAGGAGTATTTGTAGTCGTATTTCTGGGATAGAAAGATAATTATGCTCACAATATTACGATTTCAGGCAGCATTTATTAACGGGCACTTTATTCTTAAAATAAATCTAATGGCATAGCTAAAATGTATTTTAAATATTATATTGACGATGTTAAGTATTCCACGGTTTGAGCGGAATTGTATTGTTGGCCTTAATATATTACGGATGCAAGAAAGCTTCGAGTTTGGATTATACGGGAATGGATGTCCTTTTCTGCGTGTCATTACCCCTGTACCATTATTATACGTACGTTAGCGGAGTAAACCCCAATCAAAACTCTTCAGAGGTCGATACACACAATGTATCTTAATGCTAATGTTCGTATATTGCAAAGTTGCACAATGAAATTGAATCCAAACAGATTTATCGAAGTATACACTTGAAACCATAATACCAGTTATACGGTTGAAATCCAAGTCATTTTAAGATTCAAAAAAACATGGAAAACACTATATTCTCAACTCCCGCATGGAGGCCGGAAACACGCCACAGATCGGTCGATACAAAGAAAGCACTGCATAAAGAGTGAAGCCTTGCTACGATAAATCATCACCAGGGAAATTGCTAGAATGACCTATTTTCATTGAAATCAACATGCTATTATTACAAAGGGTTAAATAACATTAATCCATAGTTATATATAATCCACGTTCGCTGCAGGATGTTGGGAAATTCAAATTTTTGTAATCAAATCAAAATTAATAATTCAGTTGTCTCAAATTAATGTACGTGTCATTACTTATCGATTTTAATCGGTAAGTATATTGATAGGTATTTGTCTGTTTGATGCACGCGATATCTCACGACAGCGAGATTGAATTTGCTCCAGATTTTGCTTGTGCATTCGACATATGTCGGACCAGGAGCCTATTGATTTTGGATGAATTATGTCGTATAATTAGCGAGTTATTAATTAATTAGTGATGGGACACAAGGTGTCACTATGGAGTAAGAGCGCTGTTTTGGGGGATCCCCTAACTTTCGATCGATAAGTCTTCGGTCTCTGACCGACATTCTCCTTCATTGGTTGGCCGAAATAATTTAGCCCAGTATTGAACTATCAATGTTAAATAACGTAGCCAAACAATTGAGGAAACGGTTTTCCGATACCTCTATACGGAGAGACCCATTCGAATGGATATTTGAAGTATATACCCGTCCCATTCCAAATGATACGTACAAAACAAGCGCGTCTTTGGACTTGTTGTTCAAATATTTTTTTATAATGGCTTAGACGAAAATTGATAATGTCAGTAGTTGAGATCAAGCACTCTGAGTTATTTCTGGACATGAGAAGATCCAGGTGAACCTGCCTTGTCACGCGATAAACTCTGACGTCAGGATATAAAAGGGGCGTGGCCTTCGTGGTGTTTTATATTGCCCAGTTCTAACAGGAGGTGTATTATTCTAAGAAAAGAGTCAAAAAAGGCAAATCCTTTTGTTATAACTATATGCATACGTTCTGTCATTGTCAACTGTTCAAAGCAAAGTCCTGCTGTGTCTTGTAAATTGTGTACCTTCCCATTGGCATTATTAAATTCAATTCACTTCAGCAGCTAACTCTTGTCACAGTAGTAACGCACACATAAACACATTCAAACCAATATGAAATATTATATACAAGTCACAAGTCACGGTCCAGTACAATTTCAGTATAGCAAAAAAAGACATTGCTGGGTATGGTGAACGGCGAGTAAGGTGATAGTATAATACTGTGAATATGGTGCGTGGCGTCGTGTGTATCCAATCGAGTTGCAAGCAACAAAACAACGGAATATTATAATTAATCTTAAACTCAGCTTGAACCTTATTTATTGAATGAATCTAAACCACAAAACCCATGAACGAAAACTCGACAGAATTACAAGCCCAACAATCTGCAAACCAATGCTGTAGTATTTCGCTCGCCAGCTTCAAGCTGGGAATATAACGCCACCGAGGGCATTAGTGCACTGTCTCAGACACAAACCAATTGGGAAGGATGACACGAAAATTTCCCTCTTTTTAAAAAAATAAAAAAAAAAATAAAAAAAAAGAGAACAAATGAGAAAAACATAGCTTTAATGTCGACACACTTTGTTTGAAGTATTCTCTTTCCCCAGGCCGGTTCCCAAACCGATTACTAGTTACATAAATCTACCTGAATCCGTATGAGATGATTGGCAAAAAAATATATATAATTTAGTTTTTGCCAACAGTGAACATTAGTCAGTCAAGTGCTGAACCCGCTTTCGATAATTTTCACTTTTAATCTATTTGTGGTTATTTGAACAGTGAGACATGCGTGTGTTTGAAGAGCTATGTGTCCAAACTCGATCGTTACGGCATAAATTTAGCTCAAACCAAACAAATTACCTTCATGGTATACTTGGGAATGACCCAGATGTGGATTATGCGTAATAAAAAGTAAATACACTCGTGCACAACAATATTATTGAAGGCCATACACAATATAATAGCACAATCCTTCAATTTTTGGACACGAAATGGATATATAGTTTTCCTAAATTTTAATTGTTGCGCTTGTTACTAAAATGAAAAAAAAAAAAAAAATTTCCAACTAACGGAACAATCAATTCAAAATTTTAAGTACCTAAAAATGGAAGAAGGCATCTGAACGTGTTACTATGTGGCTACTCCTACGTGGCCCGATATTTCACCCAAATCTTCATATGACATTCGGCGCAATTCTTTTCAACATTTGGCGGGAATTATTTATTATAGAAACAAACGGCGATTTGTGGTCCGGAGTATGCCTGTAAAATGAAGAACGGAATAAACAAAAATGAAGCTTTTGTTGTATTGCTTTGTACCATTATTTTTTTTTGTCAAATTAAATCTCCATATTGTATCATTTGTATTTACAGGTCGGCCCAAAAGTAGGTTTACTGTTTCTTGATTCATGAAGCAAATTATGAGGGGTTCCAGTGAGAAAACTTTTGTACAAAGCGTCTTTAGTATAATTATACACAAACAGAAGTTTAAGCGCAAACAGAATTAAACAATTTTTTTATCCGTAGAAAGAATTTATGGATTCTGTTTATTAGTCATACTGTACTTCACAAGACGGAAATCATCTGATAGATTTGGACGGTACTGCAAAGCCTATTCGATACAGAAATGTTGTTTTGTAACGTTATTTAAAACTTTTTATGTTTAGCAAATCAACTACGTCAACGTGTTGTGTACTCAGCCAGCGTTTGCAACTATTTTTAGGTAAATGTACGTCACCATGACTCCTACGATTCTATATAAATGAAGCGAGAAGTTTTGGTCTTACTACCTTTGTTAAGGATCATTTTGCGTCATCATACCAAGATGCTGAATTACGCTACTTTGTTGTTGGCTTTTGTCACTCTTGCTCTCGGTAAGTTTTTGTTTTGCAGCAATCATCAGTCACCAATCATGATTTATATTTCAAATTGTTATTGTTTTTTACAAAAACGAAAAATTCATACTGTACCATGTCAATTAATTTTACATTTACTTCCAACATAGGATATCCAAATCAGAGAATCATTGGAGGCGAGAATGCAGCCGTCAATACTTATGTCTGGCAGGTAATAAAATGTACTTTTTCACGGCATTAATTTAATTTATGCCACTACCTACTTTAACTTTTTATTCATAGGTCTCACTGCAAGAACCATACGGAAGTGGGTACTGGCACTTTTGTGGAGGATCCTTGATTTCCTCACGATACGTTATGACGGCAGCTCATTGCTACAATGAGTAAGAATACTGTATCTTTACATTTTTATAACGTATGATGAAAAATAACTTCTTATTTGTTATTTACAAAAATGCCATGTGAGTGTTTGAAACTCCTTCTCTGCCATGATCCATCAGCGTCTGCGTAGGAGATGAGTTTTATCAATTGTTCAATCATGAATCTGACACAAAAAAGGACGCAGTTGTATTAGACAACGTTATATATAGCATTTATATAGTATATATAGTCAGATACACAGATAATTATGGTGTATTCTCTCAAATATGAGTAGGCCTGTATGTAATTCAAACGAATGGTTGGGTTCTGTGCACTCCCTTAGGCTGTTGGGAGACTCTATATTATAACATTTTAGAGTTAATTCAAATAAAGCCAACATCCGGAGATCGAACCGTTAGAATTTTGTCTATTGCTCAAAAGTATTAAATTTCATCTTTATTTTAGTCCCAGTGTTGTGACGGTATATGCCGGATCTACGAAAAAATTTTCAGGTGGAACACGGTTCGCAATAGAGTCATTCCTTGCGTTTCCCCAATATAACAGTGCGGAAATATCCAACGACTACGGTATTGTGAAACTTGCCGAAGAAGCCGTTGAGAGCTCGAGTGTAGGTTTATACTTAACATTTTCAATGGCTAGTCATCGATAATTTTTGCTTTTATTGTTTTAGCATATGTAGCCGTTTTTAAAATATCTTCCACCCCATGTGTCCGAATAGTAAAATGAAACAAAAATTTGGATTAATGGAATGAATCTTCAGCTGCTCGAAGCTAAGTCAAGCGCACTCATTCAGATCAATGTCTGAGTCAAATTAGGGCGACCACCGAACTGCGTTTTTCGAGACATTCTTGCGTGAGTAGTATACAGTGGCTAATGATTAATAATGTTCACTAAAATCTCTTATGCTCCCAAGAGACGAAATGTGACTTGTTTCTTCTGTGAAAGGTAGCCCTCATTGATTTTCAACTTTCGACCTTGTTGATGTGAAAACCGTGATAAATTGTGAGATTTCCAATAATATAAATTTTGGTTTTGATATTTTTTATAATAGATTGGATTTGTTGCTCTCCCTCCAGCTGATCACAATTCGAATACAGATTACAGCACTTTCAATGGCGGCGTAGGTACCACAACGGGATGGGGATACATCAACTACCAAAGCCATAATCACCCTAAAAATGAGTTACCTGAGGATCTTCAAGTGGCGAATATTCCCGTTTATGGTTATGCTGATTGCAACGCCGTATGGGGAAATACTTATCAACATGACAACATGATTTGTGGTGGATCAGCGACAGCGGGTGGAGTGTGTATGGTAAGAATCTGAACATGTTACATTCCCTTACTTATATACTTTAGTTCTGTAACAAGATTATCAATTGACGAACACCTAAATACTTTACCTTTATGTAACCATACTTTTAATATGTCTGCCTGCTATTATAGTTTATTAATACTTTCTTACAGGGAGATTCTGGTGGACCTCTTGTGCAAACGATCAACGGTGTAATAACCTTGATCGGTGCTACGTCTTGGGCCCCCAGTACATGTACTACCCAATATCCAAGTGGCTGGGCAAAACTTGCAAAAGAACGTCAATGGATTCTTGACAATACCGTCTAAACAAGTATTCTTCTACCAGTGCGATTTGCCAACAATATCGTAAATTTAATTTGACAAATCGTAAAATGTACTAATTGCTCAAATAAATTGAAGATTGGGAAAATGATGCTGAATATTAGAGAAATGATAAATTTCAGTAAGACGGTATGTGAGAATTAATAATCTAGTTAGTTCAAGTCGTAATCGATGGCGGACGACATTGTATCAGAGTGAATTATTGTTTGTTTGAATAGATCGGGTCACTTAATGTATTGGAAACTTTAAACTTTCATAGATACTTTCATGCATGTAGTATAAAGCAGCCAGATTTGAGATAGGGTTCTTGATCTTTAGTGCTAAGTTGTAGATAGTCATCGTCAACACAAGTTTTCAGTATTTCGCTCGCCAGCTTCAACCTGAGGATATAACTCCACCCGAAGGCATAAGTGCACTGTCTCAGACACAAACAAATTGGGAAGGATGACACGCACAATCGTGAAGAGTTTCCCTCTTTTTTAAAAAAATAAAATAAAAAGAGAACAAATGAGAAAAACATAGCAGTAATGGTGACACACTTTGTTTTCTCTTACCCCCAGGCCAGTTCCCAAACCGATTACTAACTAGTTACATAAATCTACCTGAATCTGTATGAGATGATTGGCAAAAATATATATATATAATTGGGTTTTTGCCAACAGTGAACATTAGTCAGTCAAGTGCTGAACCCGCTTTCGATAATTTTCACCTTTAATCTATTTGTGGTTATTTGAACAGTGAGACATGCGTGTGTTTGAGAGCAATGTGTCCAAACTCGATCGTTACGGCATAAATTTAGCTCAAACCAAACAAATTACCTTCATGGTATACATGGGAATGACCCAGATGTTGATTATACGTAATAAAAAGTAAATACAGTCGTGCACAACAATATTATTAAAGGCCATACACAATATAATATGATAGCACAATCCTTCAATTTTTGGACACGAAATGGATTTATCGTTTTCCTAAATTTTAATTGTTGCTCTTGTTATAAGTCTAGAAAAAATATTTTTTTCAAACTAACGAAACTTTCAATCAATTTAAAATTTTAGGAAACCTAAAAATGGAAGAAGGCAATTGAACGTGTTACTATGTGGCTACTCCTACTTGGCCCGATATTTCACCCAAATCTTCATATGACATCCGGCGCAATCCTTTTTAACATTTGGCGGGAATTATTTATCAAAGAAACAAACGGCGATTTGTGGTCCGGAGTAGGCTTGCACGTAATTGACAAAAATCAATTCCGTAATTACGGCCAAATCGATTACGTAATGACCCCGTAATTGCGATATTTTTTTCACATATTTAAACCTATCATAACAACCAATTTAATCCACTTCTATTCCGAATGGGACATCGAAGTTTGGTTTTCATATTCCCGGCAATACTACACGCCGGCGACAGATGTTAAAGACAAATATCAAGGAGTGAATTCAAAATAATTTTATTCTGATTTTTATCTTTTGTATTAGCTTTGATTTTTTTTATCCACTTTATCACCAAATTTTACGCGATCAATTTTATTATTACCAACACTGGTAATATATTTAAGAAACGATAGTTCACTTTTTTAAAATCGTATTAACGTATTAATACGACTTTCGTATTAAATAAAAATTCAGGGTTGCTAATTTATTAATCAACTACAAGCGTATTCTCTCGTTTGATTATACATTCGCTTGCCTCGCGACGAAGACTTGTTATTTCACCGTTTTTTACAATATCCGACTTTACTACTTAGTTACCATTTTATAATAATTATTGATGCCAACTTATTGACGATATTCCGAATTCTATGCTTCATTTTACATTAAATCATTTCGCGGCCTAAAAGTTATAACATTATTTGCGATAGATTTAGATCAAATATTAATTATTTGCGCAATATTTAAAATACCGTACTTATATGACATGCCTTCTCCGAAAATACAAAGTTATATCGCAAAACAATGCATTTTGTGACATTTATTTTGCACATTATTGAAAATATTAATTTATTTTTTTAACTCAAGTCGACAATCCTATTTGCCAAGATTGACACAAGTTTGGTCGAGTGCTGGTGGTATTCGAGTCGACAATAAATCGGCAATAAGTTGCCGCATTTAGTAAAGACAGGTAATCATGTTTGGCCGACATATTGCGAGGCATTGTGAAAAACATATTGAGCAATGCCAAATCGGTAACAGAACATCAAGATTTTGTAATAGAAAATGGATCTCGCGCAGAATAAACACGGAAAATCCCGTCGTATTGTTGTTTCTCTGCCGTCTCAATCGCTTTACCGATGCCGAAAATACCAAGTTGCGTTGGTTCATTACGCAATTTCTCTTCCGTCTTTATATTGATGTTTGATAAGCGCTTCATTAATTATCACGGCATTTACAAATACACCATGTTTTATAAGTTGATCTCTTACATTCATTAGTCATTTCACCCGAAAAAGTTGAAACCAGGTGTGTTGACGTCCATCGGTCTCAACACAAGTCTATTCCTTATCTACGGTTAATATGTACATTGGCCATCCTAGATACGTTGATAATAGGTTAGTAAATGACGCGTTATGCCTTCCCCATCTGCCTAACAAGAGAGAGAAAAACGGCTGCGAATACCGGAACTCTAACTTCTTTTACTTAAACTTCAATTTTTTACAATCGACGGAATTGACTGCTCTGAAGAGAGCTCGTTTCAATCGCGAAAGCGCTCGACCAATAATTACGACTTTACGTAATTCGTAACTTCGCTTCCGTAACTCGAAATAATTCCGTAATTCCGTAAATCCTTAAATTACGTGCAAGCCTAGTCCGGAGTATGCCTGTAAAATGAAGAACGGAATGAACAAAAATGAAGCTTTTGTTGTTTTGCTTTGTACCCTTATTTTTCTTTGTCAAATTAAATCTCCATATTGTATCATTTGTATTTACAGGTCGGCCCAAAAGTAGGTTTACTGTTTCTTGATCCATGAAGCAAATTATGAGGGGTTCTAGAGAGAAAACTTTTGTACAAAGCGTCTTTAGTATAATTATACACACACAGAAGTTTAAGCGAAAACAGAATTAAACCTTTTTTTTTTCGTAGAAGGAATTTATGGATTCTGTTTATGAGTCATACATACTGTACTTCACAAGACGGAAATCATCTGATAGATTTGGACAGCACTGCAAAGCCTATTCGATACAGAAATGTTGTTTTGTAACGTTATTTAAAACTTTTTATGTTTTGCAAATCAACTACGTCAACGCGTTGTGTACTCAGCCAGCGTTTGCAACTATTTTTAGGTAAATGTACGTCACCAAAACTCCCACGATTCTATATAAATAAAGCGAGAAGTTTTGGTCGTACTACCTTTGTTAGGGATCACTTTGCGTCATCATACCAAGATGCTGAATTACGCTACTTTGTTGTTGGCTTTTGCCACTCTTGCTCTCGGTAAGTTTTTGTTTTGCAGCAATCATCAGTCACCAGTCATGATTTATATTTTAAATTGTTATTGTTTTTTACAAAAACGAAAAATTCATACTGTACCATGTCAATTAATTTTACATTTACTTCCAACATAGGATATCCAAATCAGAGAATCATTGGAGGCGAGAATGCAGCCATCAATACTTATGTCTGGCAGGTAATAAAATGTACTTTTTCACGGCATTAATTTAATTTATGCCACTATCTACTTTAACTTTTTATTCATAGGTCTCACTGCAAGAACCATACGGAAGTGGGTACTGGCACTTTTGTGGAGGATCCTTGATTTCCTCACGATACGTTATGACGGCAGCTCATTGCTACAATGAGTAAGAATACTGTATCTTTACATTTTTATAACGTATGATGAAAAATAACTTCTTATTTGTTATTTACAAAAATGCCATATGAGTGATTGAAACTCCTTCTCTGCCATGATCTATCAGCGTCTGCGTAGGAGATGAGTTTTATCAATTGTTCAATCATGAATCTAACACAAAAGAGGACGCATTTTTATTAGACAACGTTATATATAGCATTTATATAGTATATTTAGTCAGATACACAGATAATTATGGAGTATTCTCTCAAATATGAGTAGGCCTGTATGTAATTCAAACGAATGGTTGGGTTCTGTGCACTCCCTTAGGCTGTTGGGAGACTCTATATTATAACATTTTAGAGTTAATTCAAATAAAGCCAACATCCGGAGACCGAACAGTTAGAATTTTGTGTATTGCTCAAAAGTATACAATTTCATCTTTATTTTAGTCCCAGTGTTGTGACGGTATATGCTGGATCTACGAAGAATTTTTCAGGGGGAACACGGTTCGCAATAGAGTCATTCCTTGTGTTTCCTCAATATAACAGTGCTGAAATATCCAACGACTACGGTATTGTGAAACTTGCCGAAGAAGCCGTTGAGAGCTCGAGTGTAGGTTTATACTTAACATTTTCAATGGCTAGTCGTCGATAATTTTTGCTTTTATTGTTTTAGCATATGTAGCCATTTTTAAATATCTTCCACCCCCTGTGTCCGAATAGTAAAATGAAACAAAAATTTGGATTAATGGAATAAATCTTCAGCTGCTTCAACTTCAGCTGCACTCATTCAGATCAATGTCTGAGTCAAATTAGGGCGACTACCGAACTGCGTTTTTCGAGACATTCTTGCGTGAGTAGTATACAGTGGCTAATGATTAATAATGTTCACTAAAATCTCTTATGCTCCCAAGAGACGAAATGTGACTTGTTTCTTCTGTGAAAGGTAGCCCTCATTGATTTTCCACTTGTTGATGTGAAAACCGTGATAAATTGTGAAATTTCAAATAATATAAATTTTGGTTTTGATATTTTCTATAATAGATTGGATTTGTTGCTCTCCCTCCAGCTGATCACAATTCGAATACAGATTACAGCACTTTCAATGGCGGCGTAGGTACCACAACAGGATGGGGCTACATCAACTACCGAAGCCAAAATCACCCTAAAAATGAGTTACCAGAGGATCTTCAAGTGGCGAATATTCCCGTTTATGGTTATGCTGATTGCAACGCCGTATAGGGAAATACTTATCAACATGACAACATGATTTGTGGTGGATCAGCGACAGCGGGTGGAGTGTGTATGGTAAGAATCTGAACAAGTTACATTCCCTTACTTATATACTTTAGTTCTGTAACAAAATTATCAATTGACGAACACTTAAATACTTTACCTTTATGTAACCATACTTTTAATATGTCTGCCTGCTATTATAGTTTATTAATACTTTCTTACAGGGAGATTCTGGTGGACCTCTTGTGCAAACGATCAACGGTGTAATAACCTTGATCGGTGCTACGTCTTGGGCCCCCAGTACATGTACTACCCAATATCCAAGTGGCTGGGCAAAACTTGCAAAAGAACGTCAATGGATTCTTGACAATACCGTCTAAACAAGTATTCTTCTACCAGATTTGCCAACAATATCGTATATTTAATTAATTTGACAAATCGTAAAATGTACTAATTGCTCAAATAAATCGAAGATTGGGAAAATGATGCTGAATATTAGAGAAATGATAAATTTCGGTAAGACGGTATGTGAGAATTAATAATCCAGTTAGTTTAAGTCGTACTCGATGGCGGACGACATCAGAGTGAATTATTGTTTGTTTGAATAGATCGGGTCATCGGGTAAGTTGTAGATAGTCATCGTCAACACAAGTTTTCATGAGTTGCGTAGCCTCACGTTTGTAAGTACGTCCAACCCCACTCTTATTCGTCAAAACTTTATTAAATTTTAGGTTACCATTGTAGAATTATGGGTTTCCCATTTCCGCTTGTGGGGCGATATTGTCAATACACTTTGGCACAGTAGTACGCACACATAAACAAACCCAAATAAATATAAAAATATTATAATGACAGAGGATAGATTATATACAAGTCACGGTTCAGTAAAATTTCAGCATGCCAAAAAAGACAGTGGTGAACGGCGAGTAAGGTGAAAGTATAATAATGTGAATATGGTGCGCGATGTTGTGTGTATCCAGAATAACAGTTGAAATTTAGCTGCAAGACACAAAACAATGGAATATTATAATTACCCTCAAATACACCACTCAACTTGAACTATATTTATTGAATGACTCTAGACCAGACATGGGCAAACTATGACCCGTGGGCCAAATCGGACCCGTTTGGTACTTAAATCTGGCCCGCCTGATGCTGCCACAACCAAACTAAAACCAAATTTTGATGTTTTATCTAAAAAATAACTCAAGGAGTTTGTTGAGATTGCGATTAAATTCAGTTTCGGCACGGGAATAATTGTTTTCCACTATTGCTTTTGTAATACTGTTCATGAAATGTAACGTTTACGTCACACTTACATGGCCCGTCAGTCTAGATGGGAAAAATTTCTGGCCCCGATCCAAAAACCTTGCCAACCTCTGCTCTAGAGTCTAGACCATAAAACCTTAATACCCAAACAGCCATGTACAAGAACTCAACAGAAAAGATAACGCCATCCGAGTTATCGATTTTTCGTGGAATCGACTAGAATCGATTCCGATTTTTAGTGTTAAAATTTTGATTGCAAACAAGGTATACCGTTTTGTGTATACCAGTCTTTCACTCAACAAATTTGCTAAGTGGAGTTTCCACGACCCCGCAAACTTTGCTATATTTCTACACGCTCCTCCCACTCGCTCGTTTGCGCGGGTCATTTGGATTATTCCGTATCTTCTTTCTCTAACTTATTTCGTTCATAGCTCTTATTTACTATGAGGAAGAATTAGTGGTGCCTCTCAACTTTTTATCTTGCACGCTATTTGTTGCTGCATACTCCCGTCTCACTCGCTCGTTTGCGTTGGTCAAGAGCACGTTTCGTTTTTTTATTCATTTATTACGTCGCTTTACTATTTTGCACGCTATTTACTGCCGAGTTCCAGCAGTTTCAAGTACCTGCCCCAGATCGTTTTTTTTTACTCTTGCTTCGTTCGAGTGGGACAAATTTTTGAGCTGGGGCACAATCGTTTATCTACACTTGCGAGGGTGGATCGAAGCGTCGCGCGACGTTTTTTCAAAAAGCTAATGTTGCGCGAGTTGATTTGCTTCTATGATATTACATCGGTACCGGTAGACTAGTTTATATTCACCAATGCAAGCGTTAGGCTCTTTGGTGTTGTGTCTGTCAAACGCCATTTATTTTGTACACTGTAGCCTACTTAGTTCATTAGTCTTGCGATGAGACATTTTGTAGGTTAGTACTGTAGCTCATTGGCCAATTACTAATCCGTCAGTACCGGTAAAGTTGGCTGTGGAACCCGCTTTCTTACGTAATATTACTGCATTAAGCGCCCTATATATACCATACTACAACATATATACCATACATAATATTCTGTTGCCCGATGCCCCAAGATGGTTTACCATGAGATTGAGCCATATTACCCTGTTAGCTTTTTCTTACCAGGAAATATAACAATATTCTACTCTTTTACTAAATACTTTTGAAAACTTAGCCATATTCAGACATTTAAATCACAATGCCCGATATGAAGAGGAGTGGAGCACAAATCTGCAGTTTAGCACCACTTTAAGGAGATTAACAATAATGGCATCTCCAAAGGGGTCTTACTACCTACTGAATACAGCGCGAAACACCGCAAAGAGCGCCAAACAGAGGGAAACAGCGCAAAACAGGAGGAGTAGGTATTACCACTTCATGGCGGCTCCTGCCACGAATGAAACGCAGTCATGGTTGCCTCTTGCCATGGTTTTATGGCGCTATTACCGGTATCTTCAGAAAGTAATGTACCAGATTTGACTTTATTATGTGGAATTATATGTACTTAAACCTGATACCTAATCCCAAATCCGTCAAAAGTCATAAAGCCAATGTTTCAACTTACCCAAAGTTTGTTACCATCAGGGGCAGTCCTGCTTTTACAGCCTACAAGCCCTCCATGATTTGGTTTGTGGTAGATATTCATGCGCATAGTCTTGTATATAGCATATTGTGACGTCAGGAGGTTTCCTTGTCTATTACTGTACTCATTCTAGTGTTTTCTGTTAAGCTTATTGGCTGCTTGTTATTTGATCTTATACTGTTCGCCGTTTCCTTTGTATATCTTGTGTGATATATTTCGTTATTTTAAACAGTAGTCTCCTTTCCTCGCCAGGACATAACATGGCGTTGTCGGCAGCCGATTTCTAAACTCTGAACGGTACGAAATCGGATAATTCACATCTTCAGTCTGCTGCCAACAGGGTGATCTAATAGATAGACAATGGCGAAAAAGGCTGAAGCACCTGCCTGGCTGTAGAAATATTTTGACCGATTGGCGCTTGACATGCGTCAACGCGAGGTGCAACATAAAGATGCCAATGAGAAAAGGCATGAAGAACTGCGCTTAATCGAGGGACGTCATGCCCAATTATGAATCAGAAACTCAGAAACTGAATTGACGGTGGACGAATTGTTGAAACGAATACGGGATTTTTTCGCAAACAACGAAATGTTGCACTCGATCGGGTGGATTTTGAAAAGAGAAGACAATTGCCGGGTGAAACTTTTAATTCGTTTTTTATGGACCTGAGAAAAATTGCCGGTAACGCGGAATTGTGTGATAGATGTTTTGACATGCGATTAACCACTCTTATTATTGCTGGCATAACTTCACAATACACAAGGCGTAAACTCTTATCAAGGACACCGTTTCCGAAATTACAAGATGCTGTAGATATCTGCAGGAGCGACGAATGCGCCGCTAAAAATAACGATATCCTTGAATCTAGCGTCAATAACGAAAATCTGGCATCCGTGAGCAAGGCTGCGCTAAACAGTGATAATTCTGGAAAGTCACCATGCAATTATTGTAGCAGGGGCCACACAGGAAAATGTCCAGCCAAAAATCAAACTTGCTTTAATTGTGGGAAGCAAGGGCATTTTGCACGGGTGTGCCGAAAAGCGAAAAGTTTACAGGCTAACAAGCCTCCAGATACAAACATTATACGCTGCCGTAAATTGTCAAATTGAGTTGGAAAAAAACCTCAGCATGTCAAAGTAAATGTTCACAGCAGTAATGGTACATTTATGGGAAGCTCAATGGCTATGCCAGACACTGGAGTCGAGGTTTGAGTAGCATTGAAGGCATGAATTAAAAGGCTTGGGATAAGGAATATTCAGAAGCCTGATTGCAGTGTGGTTTTAACTGCTAATAATCAAGGTATGAAATGCATCGGTACTGTGTATATTTGTCATATTTTGGTAAAACAACGGACGCAAAAATTTTGGTATGCGATGGATGCAAGGGGGCTCTTCTGGCTTGGTCTGTATGTAGTGATTTGGGTATTATACCATCCAGTACCCTAAGCCAGTACAAGTATTTGCAATCGCTTTACCTGTGACTAGTGATAATGAGGACATGTCATTGCTTAGGAATTTGCCAGACGTACCTTCACCGGATGAAATTTTACAAATAAAAAGCAAACTTATTGAACATTTCAAAAAGATGTGTTCAGTTCAGAAGAAATACTGAAGCCCATGGAGGGGCCTCCAATGAAAATTCATTTAAGTGACGAAGCAAAACTTTTCGCATTACATGCCTCTAGAACAATTCCGTATGCATGGCGAGATGAAGTTCATCAGCAACTGCAAAGAATGGTTGAATCAAAAATAATATCACCAGTGACGGAACCATCTGAGTGGTGCCATTCAATGGTTATTGTGCTAAAGCCACAAGGTGGTGTACGTGTTTGTGTGGACCTAACAAAGCTTAATAAATTTGTTACTCGGCCATCATATCCACTACAGACCTCGAAAGATGCAATATCTGGATTGTCGGATGAGTCCATATATTACTCTACAATGGACGCAAACCCCGGGTATTGGCAAATCTCGGTAGACTCAAGTAGTCGGCATCTGACAACTTTTATAACCACCTGGGGTAGATATAAATTTTTACGGGCTCCCATGGGCTTGTCATCCACGGGTGACGAGTACTGTCGTCGAGGAGATGAGGCTCTCCATGGAATTCATAACATGCAAAAAGTGGTCGATGACGTACTCCTGTATTCCAAAACTTTCCCAGAACATGTCCGTGCCATTTGGGAATTTTTATAAAAATGTCGCCACAACAAAATCACTTTGAACCCTGGAAAATTTGTATTCGCAGCAAGCACGGTAAAATTTGTTGGGTTTATTATTTCGAGAGTTGTTATTTCAGCTGACCCCAAGAAAGTTCACGCAATTTCAAAATTTCCGACTCCCACTAATATCACTGAAATGCGTAGTTGTATGGGTCAGGTGAACCAACTAGGAGATTTCACAACGGAACTTAGCACCTTTGCTGCCCTATTACGCAGCCTGTTACAAACACGCAACAGTTTTAATTGCTAACCATGATCAGGCATTTGAAAATGTTAAGAAGGCTTTAACATCAACTCCAACACTGGCGAATTTTGATCCTGACCGTCCTACAAACTGATGCACCACGCAGGAAGGGAATGGGCTATGCTCGACTTCAACAACATGGAGAAAAATGGCGACTCGTACAATGCGGTTCAACATTTTTAAACGACGTGGAAATACGGTATGCAATGGTTGAATTATTAGATGTTGTCTGGACCGTTCGCAAATGTGGAATTTTACTGCTCGGGTTACCTCATTTCACATTGATAGTGGACCACCAACCGCTAGTCCCAATTCTTGATCGCCAGACGTTGGTCATGGTCGAAAATTCTCGCCTCCAGCGTATCAAGGAGAAACTCTCAATGTATGTGTTTCCTACAATTTGGCGCAAGGGAAAACTGCATGCGATTCCGGATGCGCTTTCGCGTGCCCCAATTGATGACCCGACGAAAGACTCTTAGAGGCTGAGGAAGATGTGAAAACCTGCGTAACAAAAATTTGGCAAATTATTTCACTTGAAGTCGTAGATGAGGGTGATAATTGTGTCTTTTTCCGATCCAAATTTAACATGTCTTCGCGAAGTTGCTGAAAAGGATCAGGAGTACCAAAAGTTGATCAGAGTGGGTCGAAATGTTCCCGTCAAAATGTGAACAAGCAGTAAGTCATCTGCTGGTGCATATTTTCATAATTCGAGGCTTTCACTTAGTTTCAGGTTTATAACCAATGTTTGGCTTTGGGTAATCTTAACCATGTTATCGAGGATGTGTCTCATGAAAATAGGAAGGATTGTGGAGGTTCTTCCCAGTTGTGATGGGCTAGTACCTAAAGTAAGACTTCAGTTTGTCACCAGTTTGTTAACGACCGATGGTAAGAACGTTGAGGTCACAGCTTATTTAGACCGGCCACAAGCTTGTTCTTTCAATTGCCAATAGCTCAAATAAGCTTTTAAAATATGTGCCACTTCTGCGCGAGAGTTTCATTTTTAGAGTTTGTGTGTGGGCTCCCTGTAAAAAGACACACGCTGGCTAGAAGACTGTACTTTTATTCATTTCAAAAATTCTGTGGCACTGGCACCTATGGGATTTGTTTTTCACTTAGAGGTTTTGTGCAATGACATCACTATAAAATGAAAAATGCACACCTTGTGGCGGTTCCGCGATGGTATTTCAATGATGATCTATCTGGTGGCCAGCAAAATCGGGAGTTTTTTGACAAGATAGACTTGCAAGATAGGCAGGTATATCGGTGCTGTAGAAGATTTGATACTACTTCGTTCCGGCCATCGTGTTCACATATTTAATCACCGCTCTTTTGTTATTTTTAATCATCGATCTTTGATTATTTTTCCCATGGTCTGCTTGAAAAATATTTTTATTAAACATGGAGTTTACGTTTTCACATAAATAATCCATGTCACTCGAAAATAATATTAGGTAATGCGTCTTAGCTAGACATTTACAGTAGCAAATTCTGACGATGTGAGAGCGAAGAGACTATTTTGTTGTAACGTTACTACTATTTGCTACAGAGACATATCACTTGTTTCGTATCAATAGCGAGGACATTTTTTTTAAGTTTTGTGAGTAGTACGGAAACTTATAGACGTATATTTCCGGGTTTTAATTCGATATTTTAATTCTTTCGTTTTTCAAAACTAAACTCTCACGGATATCAATAATGAAATATTACTGGTTCGGTTCAGGCTCCATTTACACTCCACTGTATGAATCATTAAAACAACTTGCTAAACTAATTCAACGATAATATGCTGCAAACAATAACCCCGATTTGCTAGTTCGGAGCAATCTTTCAGAGTTCACATTTACAAAAAATAAAGCCTCTTTTTATGTAGAACGAGAATAATTTGGAGCAATCTCTTTTATGAGATCTATATTACGAGATTTTGGGCGATCATCTGTACTTTAACCCTCCCATTTTTAAAGTCAAACGCATATACTCTATCTGACTCGTGTTGTATTTTTTGATACAATGAAGGTTACAAGTCAAGTCGTCAAACGAAATTTAAAACAAATTTCGAAACAAAAGAATCAGTAATGAAATCAATGTGAAAATAGAGAAAACGAAAATATGTCAGTGGACATTCTGTCAGCAATAAAATGAATATCTGCGAATGAAAAGTAAAATAAGTAACAATGAATGCAAACTACTATAAACCGTGAAGCCTTGTAAACTTTAAAATATATATAGAATATGGAAACAATGTAATAAGCACAAAAAGCCTACTTTCGAATATATATATACTACTAAGTCTATATATATACTTCTACTACTACGTCCAAATTCCGGTTTGCAAATTTAGCGGTAATTGACAGGAACAAATCACAGTACATGAGGAGTATTTAGGTTAAGTACGTAAGATGGGGCGAAAAAAACGTACAAATATAACTACATTTCATGACTTTGAACGATTCAACTGGACCGACAAACGCATTTACTGAACTTATTTTGACAAAAATTACCTAACCAAATTATGTCGCTATGAGCGCGCTGATAAATTCTTTCAAAACTCGCCAGAACGTGAAAGCATGTAAAGTTTATCTTTCGCCACGAAGATCTCGTAGCCAGTCACTGACTGAATTTGTGTTGATGACGCAATGTGCAATGACGCATGAGAGTCTAACGACAATCAGATGAACCAATTTTAACCACCATGGCTTCCTTGCAAGCGCCATACATCTTGGAGAGTCTGAAAATAGAGCAGTGAAAATTATTGTCGCATCCATTGACTTCAATTTTTTTCCCGTGATGCAATATATATATTGGGTTTATTTAACGGGATGTCAAGGCTAACCTAAAGATGTCCATCACAAAGTATTAAGTGTCAGTAATGCACTATGTAATCCAAAATATGACGAACTTATACAAGTTCGTCAGAGGTTCAAATTCCGAAGACATAGAACCACATTTTTCCGACGAACTTCAAACCATTTATTTCTTATAACAGTACGCTGTGATAATCGACCCATACCATCTAGGTTTGTTTGTTTGTGTTTACGAACATCTTTATCTTTATCCCTTTGTATCTGATGTATCTGATCAAGTTTCGCTGATATACAGTCAACACATTTTTACCACAAAAACCATTTGAATGACGAAATGAAATACTTTTAAGAATTAATAATTAATAACTAACAGCGACACAATTGCTTTTGAGGAAAGATCAGAGTCTAGGCTGAAGAAATAGGTATTATACTTCAAGACTATAAAGTAACCAAGTGATACAGTGACTATTTGTCAGAAGTTTAATAATTCTGTTTCGTCATTTCCTACCGCATGTGATAGATTTCAGATATATAAATGAAACCAATTTTGTATTGAAAGTTACCTGTCGTGCTTGACTCACTGCGGCATGGTCTGGACAGGGAGGACACGGCATCTTACAGTGGCCAGGTATAGATGGATAAGCTTTACACATCACAGTAGTGTTTACTCCCTTGAAAACTTGGGACAAAGTAGTGTGGGAGCAAGTGCTGAAAAATATATAAATATTATTTTCAAACATACTAACCAAATTTAATAAATAAAAAGTTCGCCTCAGACCTAAGAACGAAATAATTTTCCAATTTAGCGTTTATATTGAAAACATGTAAACACAACGAAGTAAACATGAACGAAATTTATGTAATTTTCGAAACCCGTCATGAATTAACTCAGTGCATGTTCTCTGTCTGGCTTTATTGTGGCGATAAATAAAAGCAAAATGGCGAAGTCATTGCTTACTAGTATTCATTGTATCGAAGTGCTTAAAGCTTTTTTCTATAGGTTATAAGATGCAACTAATCTTGTTTATTTTTATCTTTAGTCGTCATTAACTAGTTAATTAATTTTATTTTTTGCTAAATCTGAATAATTATGAACATTCGAAACCTAATTTAATATATACTTATGACGTCTTGTTTATCGTGTCAAATTTAACGAATGTACTTGATACAAGGCCTTGTTTTCCGACATGGTGTCAATAAAACGAAACTCAATCAAGAACTATAAAATGTATGATGTTGGTTAAAAAACTACATAAATATATTTGGGTAGTAAGACGATTTGTAACTCAAAATAGTAATATCTGAAGAAAAAGTAATATCTTACTTGCAAAAACAACCCATTTGACATTTTAAGAACTTTTTACTCATTTTTGCTGCTGTCAAAAAATGCCAAACGCTTGCAAGTCCTTGTTTTTTTTTAGTACATATTGTTTCACTTCCTGCTTCTTCGTGTCCACGACAAAGACACCCGGCAGCTGGTTGTAATTCTCCAGAACAACGACCGTCTCCTTGAGGCAAACGTCCTTTACATTTTCTGTTAAATAAAAATTATTGGTTATCGATGTTTGCCTCCATAGAAATACCGATAGTGTGGATTGTAGAATGGTTTCTCTTTCATTTTAATACATGGTCGGATTTTTAAATTCTGTTTATATTTCATTCCAATATGAACTAATAGGTTAGTTAATATACGTAATTATATTGTTACAAATAAAACTATCCATTTTACAACTTACTGACAAAAGCACGCTTTGGCACATCTATGTTTGTTCCAATTTGTGCAATCATTTCCAATTACATTTGTGCAGAATTTTTTGGGACATTTGAAATCCTCTGGTAGATCATAGCGGACTAGTTTTCTGCAGATATCTTGGCCCTTCTTTTGGGGGCGACAACACTTGCAGGTACAGTACGAATCTTTCTGTTGTGATAAATGAATCATTAAATAAAACTGTTCAACGAGTATATTGACGGTATTGATATAATGCATAAATGTACGAATAGTAACTCGAATTAGCGCGCATTCATTGATTCCCGGTGTAGAAATCCAGTCCAATTCAAAAATGGTTTGAAATTTTAAAATGGACAAAAGCGCTGAAGATGGTAAAAAACTGAAATAACTCAATAAAGTGAATACGCTGGTAATAAGTGATAGTTTGTGCTAATCTCTGTGACATCAGCGTGTAGTGTACAAAATTTTGGTTTCTTATTGTAAACTTGAGTCGAAATCAGGCCCGATCTATTTTGCATGCGAGGTTCAGATTCCTCCGTGCGATAATTCGAAAGTGTTTGAACTTACAGAGCTTATATTAAAATAATATGTCATAAACTGTTTATAGAACGGTAACGCAAACTCTCTTTGGTACCAGCACTAGGAAATTAAAAATTGCCGATGATTTGACTTATTACTGAAACATTCGGGAACGTACAAACGTTAGCCTTAGGGGAGCACGTGTGATATGTTTTATCGGATGAACAATCAGTATTTATATTAAAACCCACTCATTTTATATTAAATTTTCACCGAAAATAATTTTGTACAAATTGTGAAAGAATGCAAATGAAGTTATCTGCTCCAATCAAACTGAGTACAATTCCAGGAAAGAACCGTACGCATAGAATGTGAGGATGCTGTGGCAACAGTGAATTGAAGATGTCGGTTTTTACCGATTCAAGAGCTTTAATGAACACTAGTATATTTTAACAACCCTATGACTTCTAATTAAATTCAAAGGCCGATGATTAAACAATTGAAATATATTAATCACTGCCTTAATTTTAATATTTTCTCAACCATTTACATATTATATTTCTATACCCAATTGGAAATAACACTATTCTAAATGCAATGCATCTGTCAAATCAACACTTGCCCCATTAGTAAAAATAGTTTAATTTATAACAACGATATTAACACGACTAATTGCCCAAAACATACATACAAAAAGTAGAATTTGAATATTCAAATTCTGATTTTACCAAAATAGGGTTGAGTTTTCAGCGTCATATTGATTAAATTTGGCTTGATACTCTAAACTTGTGATTTTAAAATTATGAAAAACAATTTTCTCCGTTTCAAATGTAAATTTTTTGTATAAAATTAGTATCCATCGGAAGTGAAACAAACTGAATATACGCGACGCTAGGCTAAATTTGTTTACGCTAATTGACGACCGAACGTTACCCTACGTTCTCGCTTAAGTATAATTGATCTAATCTTGGCAAGATTTTCACGCAAACTACAATTAGTGTTTTCGATGTAAATCAATCTATAATGCGTCATTGCGTCGAAACGACGCTCATTAATCAAGTCAAATAATAATTTTGAAAGCATTTCCCTGGTTGGTGTAGATAGAAAATGCTTGACAGTGCGTGTAAAATGCCGGTTCCAGTCACGACGTCTGGCTTTGATCGAAAATTGTAAAGTTATTAAATACATAGAAAATGAATATAGTATTGCTTTATTTTCGAATTTCTTAATTCGTGATATCAGGATTTTCATTAAATTACTTTCTTTTCCATATATTTGTATGTTACACTACCAGTTTTATTGATTTAAAAATTGGTTGTTCCCGCCGTCGCGACCTCAAGCATGGTTAAAGGAGTCGTCGCCATTTTATTTTAAAAAGATCGATCAAATATAATTCACTAGAAATACAGATGCCTTGAATCTTTCATACACAAATCTCGTGATGAACAAATACAGTGAACAAAAAATTTGATGGGTTCATGTCACATATTTCATGAAGAATATAAGTTACTCACCGCCAGTAATATGCTTGCTTCATCTTCAGTAACAGCGTTGGATCTTTGCAAAGTTACGTTAATTCGATTAGGTGTTTCAGCAGTAGTCTGAAGAAATAATTTTTCTAATTAAAAACTTTGTAGCAGTAGCGAAAAGATGGTAATTATGCGATTGAAATTGATACAATATTGAAGTTTAAGAATGCACCATTTATAAAGGAACGATCAAGTAGAACTGTTTAAAAGAACACATCAATAAAATATTGTTCATTGTTCACAAAGTTGCATTTAAAAAAAAATACAAATAACATTAGTTCACTAATGTCACTTTCCATGATAAATTCTTATATATTCTTGTTTATTGCAAAAACGTTGAAAACTGCAATATGACCAGCTATTTTGGTGCTTCGATGAAACGATTATAAGATTTTTGGGTAGAGTCGCAACTGATACAGGGTTTCAAGATGTACACGATTTAGAGTTGTAATTTTGAACTTGATTTTTTTTCACCATTTTATAACTAAACTAAAAAACCAACCGCAGTTACACTCGTGTTTTGGAGTATTACTTCGATATGCAACTAAATATAAGATGTGATCAATACACTACCATTATGAAGATGAATTGTTCTCACAGGGACTCTCGCTTAATAAGGCAACAAATAAAAATTATTATATATAAATTCATTGAGAATCTAGTAATTGTGTAAAACATATTTGAACTGCGAACGCACTCTTCAAACGGCGAACGAACTATAGTTTCTAGCCTTATCGTCTCCAGTTAACAACTTATTTTTGTAAATCGAGTGATTTGCCATGGCATACGAATGGCCCTGATGGCGGTACAATTGTTATTATCTCAAATTAGATAGATATATTGTGTTGACTGCACATCGGCGAAATTTGATCAGAACGACACGATAGGGTAGCACAATAGAAAAAAGTAAACACAAACAAACAAACCTAGATATAAATTCATTTGTTAAAATACATATTATTTGCATCTAAACAAAGTATATCACTTGTACACCAATGATACATTCCCACAAAATGAGAATTCATCAGAAAATACATGAAAATAACTTCATTTTGTATATTTTTTTGCAATAAATATGAGGGCATGTATTTGAATAACATGTGGTAAGGCGAACAGTCAGTGAAGAATGAAATGGATGGGATTCATTTTTTGAACAGAAGTTACTAATATGTGTTAAATGTAACATTTTCACACTGAGAAAAAATTTGGTGAATATGTTTACAAATTAGAAAAAGAAAAATAGTGAAAATATTATACTCACAAAATATTTCTTTGCAGCTTTAGAATGTCCTTCAGGCACTGAAGTTGACTCGGATTTAATATTCCGGCAAAACGTCGTTTCGATAAAAATCGCGAGCAGTAATGTCGTCAGAATGTAAGAACTTTTATACGATGAACTTCGCGCAGATGTTTTTCCACGGAAATGCATATTTGAATAGCAAGGTGTAATCGAATGTAAAATTACGATGAATTTAATGATAAAATCTACAAAATTATTTTGGTATACACTTTAATTAAAAATAGACTACGAAGCAAGTGGAAAGAGGGGAGAAATTGAAGAATGATGAAGTGAAAAATTCAAAGAAAGATTGGCTATGAGAGGTTGCTAGCAAAATTTAGATCAAACGTTACTCGCGAACCCCTATTTTAATGTTAATTGGGCGTTTGAGAGGTGTGACCGAGACCAACAGTCTCACAATTAAGTGAATGACCAAACTTTCTTTGCTCTCGTGAGTTCAAAATAAAATAGCTTCATAATTTCGAGGTTTTTGTCTGTTTTATAGGTTTGGTTTGTACTGGAGCTTAGCGAAATTTCTCGATTCGATTTTCCATAGTCATTCTTTTATGTAGTGAATTTTGCCGGTCGAATTTTATAGAGGGTTAAGCAATTATGTAATTCGTTTTCCTTTTGATCAAGTTCACTAAAAACCAACCTATCCACACACCGGTAGCCTAAGGGGCCACATGAATCCAGTATCCTGTAAATAATTAATTATTACGTTTAATCTGTGTGATTTTAACTAAAAATCGGCTTTATCAGTGCGACTATTATCAATTTATTTTCAGATCAAAATTAAATATATAGGGGTTTAACGTCGTCATTGTTGTTAGGATTTCATTCAATGATACGCTACAACATCACAAGTTTAAAAGATGAATTGAAATTTCGTCAATGCCCTACTAATCACATCTTTATCTTTTGCTTGAGCACAAAGATGTGAAATTAAAATAATAATGCCTGGACAAATATAGTTGCGAACTCCATTAAAATTTTGTTGCATTTTATAGGCTAATAAGAATTTTATATATTGGCGATTTGAATAGTCTCCTCCGCAGAGGGCTATTCAATACAAAAAAAAAATCAGAACTTAATTAGTCTGAAACAGCTCCAATATATATACTACGTAATATTTTTCTGTCTATGCGCAAAACAGCGTGGCTTGAACTAACCTAAACGCTATACCAAAGCTGATTGAAATCGGCGTTTTTTTCGTCGCCCGCCAGTCACCGTTTCCTTTGATCCCCGACGGCTCGAGACTGACAATGTCGATGTTTTCAACTCACTGCTTTTATATCGTACCACGAAAAGGTTTTTGCAAAAAAGGCAACAACGTTCCGCGGAAAATTTTTCAACTTATCATATATTTTATCCTTTTGATAAATGATTTATAACGACAGTAATTTGTACGGTTCATTACGGCATTTCGACGGTTTTGCGGTAGCGTAAAGATGCTTTTATCATTACCAAGGCGACGTTTCGGATGAATTTAATCATAAATGAGATTATTGGCATATCTAACAATTGTTCATGCATGATTTGAGGGACCGAAAAATCGCATCAATTGTTATATAAAAAAATAAATTTGGACTAAATACACGTATTCATAATAACAAAAACCTTTGACTCGTGTATCCTAGTATGGGCTATTCTTTGAACTGTTCAAAGACCTTTTAAATATATTTACATCTCATATTTGTACGAGTTTAGAATCTATTTTGAAGCGTGTTAATAACTACCGGTACTCTAAGTTTCCCACGCCACTGAATGAAAAGACTGATTTTCGAATGCTTGTTTTATCGTTCCCATGTTATTATTTCGCAATGTATTTTGAACATGATGATGATATAAACCTCATATTACTAAAAAATTGATTAAAGTGATAAGTCCGACACCTGAAACACAATACAGACACGGGACGCGTCATCTGAGCAATTAACATATCACCGCCATTTGTAACGTGTTGTCTTCTATACGTCAAGCGCACGTGAGCACCAGAAGATATGGACCTCATGGCGGGAATATGAAAACTTTTTACGAAACAAGTATTTGCGAGAAACTAATCATACGGCAATGGACATTTTGCGAGAAGAAATATTTTGCACGGATAAATTTTCGCGACTTGGTTCAATGCAACGTATGAAAAAATGATTGAATTGCAAGAACTTGTTGGTTCTGATATTGTGTACGAGGAATGAGCTTTTGTGTGAATATTTTTTAATGCCAAGGCTGTTTTCGCGTTTAAAAGAAGAACTAAAACAACAGAATTTATCATTTAAGATGGCTCCTCAAAAAAGAGAATTATCAGAATCATTACCTTCTCAATCATCCCCAAAAATGAAATTGCAAAATTTTGTTCTAGTAAAACTAAATTTTCATACAATTTTTTTTATCCAAACACTTGCATTCTATACGTTTTCATTTGCGCAAGAATCCATTTTGCAATCTACATTTTAGACAAAATCCGTTTGCACAAAAGCTTGTGCTTGCGAAACTGCAGGCTCGCGAAAATCATTCTCACATGAGGCGGGTTTTCTCGCAAATCGCACCAATTCCCGACAATGTGGTTATTGTTAAAAGTAGCCAGCTTTCAGCTGGACATATCCTGGCTAGTGTTCCTATAAATAAGTTACATGGCATTTAATAACCCTAAAATAAAATTTAATTGAATCTTGAAGTAATTTAGGAAGTTGCGTTACCCTGCGCTTTGACAAACAAAATCAATCAAATATCAAGGTGCAAAAATGAAAATTGCGGAGTCTTTATTATTTTTATTGTTTCAACATATTTTTGTATTTCAAGTAGAAATAATTTCTCTCCTTCCGAAACCAATCACAAATAAGTTAGAGCCTATAAGTTTTGTAAAAAATCCGATTTCTTCCGGTTCGCATTGCCCATACAACTTATTACGCCAAGGGGACGACGTAGAAACGGAAGTGACTGTTAGGTCACCAATACCAAACGACCAGAAGTAGACAGCCGAGATATGCTTTAGCAAATGCTTGACCACATACAATATTCCTTTGGCAATTTCATATTACTCTTTTTTTACCTGTGCCTTTAAACGTGACAGCTGAACTATTACTATAAGCAAATACGGGGAATACAGTCAGATCTTATATTCTCAAACTAAAATTATCATTGCTCAGCTATTAATGAAGTTTACACAACCCAAAATATCCACATTAAAAAAAAATGCAAAAAAAAACTTTCTTGCGTCATATTCTAGTCATGACAATGGGCTCTGTAATTCACTAGCACCCCTAGAATGATTCTCGATAATCCAGCGGGTTACATGCTGCATAATGCGTTACTAATTTTATAATATTATATAATTGAAAATCCCTGAAAGTGGAGTAAAGTTCGTCTCATATTATATGAAACGTCAGATAAAAATCAGATCGATAGCTTCTATATTTATATGATTTCAAATGGGCGTGTATATTGATGGTCAAATGATTGATATCATTCAAGACCAAGACAAGACTATTCCAATTTTTCAAAAAGCTCGATTGCTTTGTTCTTATAAAATGCATAGCATTTGTATTCGAATGTGGTGTGATTGTTTTGTTTAATCAAAACATGTAGAATGAAAATTAATTTAATGAAAAATATTTAAAAAAAAGTGTAATATAGATAAACAACATTTGCGAATTTCCCTTTATCCAGACACACTTCACATATCAGTATGGGCATATAGTTGCAAAAAAATAATATAAACCTAAATAAATTGTGTCGTTGAAATCCAAGTATAGCGAAAATGAAACAACAATTTATACTGCAGGCGTGAAATTCATAGTATTTTTCTTTGATATTGAGAACATCTATAATTTCATAGTGAGAAAATTTTTGCGTGCGAGCATTAGGCTAAAGTCGATGGTGTTTTCAGAATCTCTTAGAACCCTCCCTACAAATTCTTCGATTTTAGGGTCGCAATTGATATTGCATTTTGAAATCAGAAGCTTTCGGTCTAATTCTAAGTATGATTCTTTGTGGGTACACCGCTTTGGTATTTATTGGTCTAGTTTATTTTCATACGAAAGCGTTTTGAAGGTAAACTCTCAATTATGGTAAATTGTCTCAGCCATAATCAAATTTTCTTCCTGATTTTCTGAGAAAAGTATTGACTATTGAAACTCATAAAAGTAAAGAACACGCCGCGAGTTCATTTGCAAATACTGATATTATTATATGTGGTTTTTACCCATTTCTCTAGGTCGGCAAAACTGCAGTATGTTTTATTGCTTTGGATTTCACTGAAAATCCAATACGGATATCCAACACTCACCGTTGAACAAGTAAAATTTAACAAAACGGTTGGACTATTTCTCACCGCAGCAAATCCCTTTGTCGGACCGCATCCTTGTTAGAAAATTTCTGCAACGTTGTGTGTGAATGAATATGTGAACGAACGCCTCAAGACACATGGCAAAACTTGTCGATACAAAGCATTATACATAGATTATATGATTTTCATAATTAACCATTTTCTTCCAATTAGAATCAGCTTCAACAATTGCGGGGCCTATAAGTCTTTGTATTTAATTACCTTTCATAAATACAAAGTCACGATTAAAATATCATACGAGCTTTGCGTGTAATAAAGTCACGCAGTATATCATCCAATTATTCATGATTACAATTTATATTGGTTAAATTCAATAATTGACACATAGATAAAGCGCGCGGCCCTTCATCGAAATGAGGGTACTCCCGTGTACCAGGTTAGGGTTAGGCCATAATTTTATTCCGATTTTTCTTATTTTAGTTCTATTACGAGTTCGGGGATTGTCTGTGTTAGCTAAGTGAATATATCCCATAGGTTTCATTCCCTTTACACAACTTGATGTAAAGTAGGCAAACAAAATTAGTTACCTCCATATTGGTACACTTACTTCTGTAGCGCCGAAATACGAGCCCTAATACGGCCGCATAAGTTGCAGTGTCCTAAGGCCCATTCTGCTGCCAATATTCTGCTTTTGAAATTACCGGTGTAATTTCAATTCCACGAAATTGAACTCAAAAAGTTGAGTTCGAAGTTAATAACGTCTGTGCTAATTATTTACAACAAGACGCAAATTATAAAGTAGACATTCAAATTAAATTAAAGAAAATATTTCATATTTTATCTCGTCTTCGACTTCTTATATTTCTGATCCGTTAATTAAAACGATTTTCAGGTCTAAAATTTTGAGATGCGATCACGTG